GGGGCGACGAGTCCGGCGGTCGGAGGCGGTATAGATCTGGTATCTGGTATCTGGTAGTGTCGGGAGGGAATCGAAATACCTCCAGTATAAGAGAAAGATTCAAATTCAGAAACAAAGGCCAAAAACGGAGATCCACAGGACCACAGAGAACCCGAAGAACTCAAAGAGAACGAATTGAGGGGATATAAATACCTCTGGGCGCTGAATGATAAGCAGAGAGAACGTCAGGACGAGGATAGACATGCGTACTTCGGTGAAACGCAAACGCGTTATTTAATATTTTCTAGGCTAGCCGTTGCAACGTCCTGGGGGAGCCAGTTCAGAGCTCGCTGGGATAGACAACGACGGCGGCCAGGGAGAGAGCGTATACATCGTACATGGCATGCCAGATTGGCGGAGTGGCAGCTGCATATGGGGCCGGGTGCTTGACCAAGAGGGATCAACCAAGGATATCTACTCAACTTAATTACTCGACTGGGAGCGGTATTATAAAGGCCTTGGACCTCTGTCCGCGGTGAGGAGCTTCCTCAAATAAATCTGCTTCTAACATTGCACATAAGAAACTTTGACTGGAGAGCGAGGGAACGCTACGCACGACGCACCTGGACCTTCGCTTCGCAGCGTGGAGGTGGTGCGATAGATAAGAAGGGATAGGCTCGGGCTCCTCATCAGAGCATGGGGCGAGGAGAATGGGGCGTGGGGCAAGGAAGAGCCCACTGAACCTCGAGGAGGTCTAATATCAAGCCATGACGCAATCCATGGGCGATAGCCAACAAAGCCAACAAAGCCGTGGTTCAGAAGCGGGCTGGGTATGTACCCGTTCGCAAGTCCAGCAGCGCCTTGCGGGCATAAGTCAGAATTCGCAAAGTAGATAAAGGTCAGGCAGGTACGCACTCTTGAAGACGCGCGCGATGCGTCCGAGCTTCGTCTAATTGGGTAGAATGGCGCGAAACCAGAGACCCGACTAGCGGATTCGACGAGGGGCATTGGCGAACGTGAAGGACGTATCTAGGACCGCGATGGGCATCCTTTCGACAGTCCGATGTTTGCGAGCGACAAGAAGGAAGAAGGTGAGAAGAATTCAACCCTTCGTGAACGCATACAGATTCGTGGGAGGGAGATAATTGATAGGAGGCAGTCGACGAAGAGGACAGTTTACGCGATTTCAGCGGGGGAAATATTGACATGAAAGACGAAATTTGAGGCACGAAGAACCGGGCCTTCTGGAGCGTCGAGATGTGACAGTAATATCATGACGAAGATGGGCCGAGACGAAATGGGAGAAAGGCGTCAAGGTCGACTTTGATACATCCTAAAAGAACAACGTTAGTTAAGCAAAGATGCGGTTAGAACTCAGTAAGGTATCCGTGGCATACCGGAATTTGTTCAACGTCCAAGACAGCGCTATAGTGGTCGTATTTCGTATGGAGACGGATGAAAAATAGAAAATGATTAGCAAGAGGATAGCCGTAAACATATCTGTGAGCAGACGCAAAGGTAAACTTCAGGATGAGGGCGTTGAGGAAGGAGCATGGGGCAAGGGCGAATCCTGAAAGGAGCGATCTGGCACCCGAAGGAGCACGAGTGTAGACGCAAGATGGCACAATGCTCAAAGGTGAATGCATCTTGTATCAGGTGCAGAAAGATTGGACAGGATCTCGAGAATAGGGCGACGAGGAAAGAGAAAGGAGACAGATCCACTGCCCGATCACGAGATAAATTTGGCGGAGAAAGAGAATCTAGAAAGTTATGAGGATAGTTGTGAAGAAAACGCGGTGAAGGCAACTCACAAGACCGTCCTTGTGCGTACGAAATGGTGATTCAAACGTTGCTGACGCCTTCGTAGAACCACCATGAACACAGTACGAGCTTTCATCCGTGTTAAGGATGACTTGGAACGAGCAAAGTCTGAGATGGAGCGTAGGCCCCTTGCGCATATATTCACCATTTTTTCCACTAATCTCTCCCTCCTGTCACCGGGGCAGTATGGCGTCTGCGGTACGGTTGCCTTCCTTCCCAGCAGCGTCAACTTCACCAAGCCCTACAGTCGTAAATGACGCAGGCGACATGGAGCTGCGACGTGCCTGAAGTCATAGAACGGTCTCCAGGTGATGAGACGCGAAGAGGTCCAGATGAAAACGAGCGTCGGGTTGTTCTACTTCTGGCTGACGAAAAGTCAAGATGTGCCGAGGCCGATGAGAGACTCGAGCAGGCAGAAAGCTTGTCGTCGTGGTCCAGGAAAATGGTGACGGGGAGAGAGAAAACGAATGATGTGTCGATTGATCGAGTATCGTAGAACAAAATAACCATAAACTAGAAAAAAAAAGTCTAGGGCCCAAAACTGTGATAATGATTCTGTACTCACCTAGCTAGTGCTTTTTATAAGGCGCCAAAAACACCACTTTTACCTTCGAATAACTACCAGAACCCCATCACACCACCCCCCACGAGGAAAAGAGAAGGAGACGGACAAAAAAAAAATCCACGACCAACGACCGCCTCAGATCAGTCCAAGCCCGTCCCTTTGAAAGTAACAAGGTATGCGGTGCCGAACGGGCGATGTCAGCGCCGCCTACGTCGAGGACGCGGCTGGCTCAACGCGCTGCACCAGAGGTATCGTCATCGGCGGGTTTGATTGTGGAAGAATCAAGGAAAGAGGAGGGCGTGGGAGCGAAACAACTTTATAGTCAGTGAATGATCGATTCTCACGATCACTTTTTGGGTCGTCTCGTCTGACGTCGACGCCTTCGACTATCTCCATGACCTTTACAATGGCATCTTCTTTAACATCGCTACCAGAAGAATTACTATTCGATATAGTGTCATGTCTCGATGGTATTTCTACTCGTTCAATCGCGATGGTACGTCCTCACCTGATTGGTAGACGGTCTCAAAGCGCTCATCTCGCCTTCGCAGTCCTGTCGAGCGCTCTACCAAATCTTCCGATTTCCTGCCATCCGGTATATTCTCTCGGAAACAATGCCAAAAAATACTCTAATGACGGAGAAAAAGACTGGTTCAGATACGTCAGCCCAATGTACTTGGTAGCTCGACTCCCCGGGCCGCTGATAGCAAATCTAATCTTATCTGCACATGCTGCACCGTGTGAATCCCCTTTGTTCTTCATCGCAGTCGACTTCTTCCTTCCTTCCTTGAATCCTTCCTTCCTTCCTTCCTTCCTTTCTCCCATTTTTCACTACCACCATGAGTGCAAATGATAGAGATACCACCGTAACAGAACTTTTGGCCGCTGTCCAGTTGAAGTTGGAGAGTGAAGACCAGCAGGGGATCAGATATGGGCCAGGGAATCGGTAAGTCGCGTCTTTCATTTCGTGTACCGTGTACCATCGATTAACGCACGTCGTTAATATAGAGACGACGTTAGAGCTGAGGTTCTCCTTTATTCTCCTCTATCCGTAAAATAAAACTCTAAACACGGTTTCGTATCCGCCAGATCCTTCAGCAAATACAGACAGGGAAGCAAATCATGAGCCGCCTCTGGACGCGGTACAACGCAGCCCAACCAATCAGCCAACTCCCCGTCGAAACACTCCTTCATATCTTCTCTCTTACACAGCCCTACGACCATGACATCTTCCCGCCTCTCACGGAATCTGAGCTGAAGGGCATGAACGCGTGGATCGCCGTTGCCCAGGTATGCCACCACTGGCGCACCATCGCGCTGGGCGACCGCCGCCTCTGGTCCAACATCGTCCTCGGGCCGACTATCATGTCGACAGGTGACCCCGACCTGGCGCTTGGCGCGTTGGTAGAGAGGATGGGCCCACACGTACCCTTCCACCTGCACCTTGCACTCCAAGCCCATGCCCGCTCGATCCACCCGAGGGGGAAAGGGCACGTGTATAGCTCTATTACACACCCACAGGTGCTGCTGCGCTTCCTCGGCGCGAATTCTGCGTGTGTGCGGAGCCTGCATGTCTCCGGGGCGGCTTACATGGGTAGCAATGCGCTCTGGAAAGTGCTCGACCAGGCTCTCCCTGCGCTCGAGAGTCTGCATCTCTCTCTAGCGCATGAGGACTCACTGCAGCACTTCTCCCAAGCACATACTGGTGGGCCGTCAGCGACCCGCCCCCTACCGCGAATCCTGCAAGGTGCTCCGAGCAACACGTTAAAGAAGTTATCCTTACAGCAGATTACGCATTGGCCGGAGAACAAGGGTACGTTTGCGGGTCTGACGCATTTGGCGCTGATGGACCAGTACCCTCGCGAGCGCCTGCACTTTGTCGACTTCCTCCACCTTCTCCAACGCCTTCCGCTCTTGGAGGTTCTGGGGTTGTTCTTTGCGGGCCCGCAGCGGTACGACGGCAACAGCGACGACAACGAGCAGCGTCGGCCAAAGACCAGCCTTGCAAGGCTCAGGAAGCTCGAGTTCGAGTGGACCGACGGCCAGGATAGCCCCTGCCAGTTGCTCGAACACATGGATCTGAATAATAAGCCGTCGCTCGAGATTGTGCTGAGCAGCAAGTCGCTCTATGGTGGGGATCGGTCCAGGGGGGTCACCCAACGCACGCTGCCCCCGCCTGAGCTCCTCCAGACGGTCACATGCCTCTTGATCCAGAACGATGGGACAAAGGAGTTTTTGAAGCTAACCACTTCCACGCTACCGAACGCCCCGAAGAAGGGGGTGTTAGAGATCAACACGAGCATGGGGCGGGACACCGTCCTTTCATCGATGGCGAAGAACCTTCCGAACGTGCATGATGTGCGGGTGTACATCCCTACCCCCTCGCGCAGAAGTGCGAGCAGCCTGTTCGACCTACCGTCGTCCCGCTCGAGCTGGAGTCCAGCCAAGTCGCAAGACCAGCACACGCTCGTGGACACGCTCGACCTTTTCCCGAAGCTCACGCACGTCCGACTCGAGTACGCGTTCGACTATTCCGCGCTCGTCTCGCTGTTAGCTTTACCGGTGTACGAGGACCATATCCAAGCTGGAAGCACCGGGCGGTCACGGCATGTACACTTCCAGGATGGGGCGGTCACCATCAGCTCGTCGAGTAACACGATGATCAACATTAGCAGCACGGTTAGCACAAATTCTATGATGCAAGTTCACTTCAACTCGGGCCCGGGCGGCACGAACACCATGTACAGTATCACAGGGGGCGGAGTTGTCCGAAGTCGCTCGTCGCGGGATGGGCTGCCGTCACGGTCGGCGCGGGGCGGCCCTATGCAGGAGCAGGAGAACAGCTCAGGCAGGCTTCCCTGGCCTAACTTGAAGGTGCTTACCGTGCATGAATTGCCAACTCTCAAGCAACATCGGAAGGACAGTGTCACACAGCACGCAGTGAGGATCGTGTCCTCCTTGTACGACTCTTCGAGGAAGGGCACTGTCTCTGGATGCGAAACGGGAGATCTGGAGGAGTACGCGATATCGCGAGATAGTATTACGGCGCAGAGTGATAGCAGACCCGTCGGTGCGAGTGGAAGGGAGAATGGGAATAGAAACGGAAGTGATAGGCCATCCGCGAAGAGGGCGCAGGAGGGAGGGATGTACGTACTCGTCATTGTTCCTCGCAAACCGGATGGATCGTTGAGGGTGAATATGAAGCCTCTAGGAAGGGTGTTGCCGAAAGTTGACGGAGAAGGGAGGCAGGAATGGTTTTAATCTCGGGGATTGCTTCGCGCGATTTATATTGTGCACCCTGAACGATTTCAACCAGCATGGAAGAGTGCGGTGGTATGAATCAATTTTCTCCTGGTATGTAAATGATTTCAGCACAAGCACGAGCGCTACTGTTTCCATGAATTTCAATTGTAATATTACAAATTTACGACCGCACTTCGTTATAAAACGGATGATTTTCCACGGACTCCCACCTTTCCTGTTCTTCACCTCGAGCCATTTTCATCTTTGGTGCAACGCTTAGGACACGGTGGTGCGACTGACCGTCGGGAACGGCGTGCCGGGCAAGGTGCTTGTGGGAGGCTTGGTGCTGGTGGTCGACGGGGGCACGGAAGTAGATTTAGTCGTAGACGGGGGAACGGAGGTGGTCGATTTGGTGGTGGAGGGAGGTACGGAAGTCGGCTTGGTGGAGGGTGGGACGCTGGTCGGTTTGCTGGTGGTCGATAGGACAATCGTAGGCTTCGTGGTGGTGGTGGAAGAAACCGAAGTAGACTTCGTAGTCTGCTTGGTAGTCGATGGCTGCGTAGAAGCTGATGTTGGCTTTGTGGTAGTAGCAGGAACTATAGTACATCGAGGTCAAATTAGTATCCCGAAAATAAAAAGATCTCTGGGATACAGGACATACCGGGGTTAGCGTGGACCAGGCCTACGGCAGCGGTCGCGATGGCGAGCAGCATAAGCTTGGAGGTGAAGGCACGCATTTTGGTCGTTTCCTAGTGTAAAGCTCAAACCAGCTGGCGAACTTGCAGACCTGTACGACTTTCGCGCTGAGCGCTGAGTATTTATACTCGAAAGTTAACGCTCACGGAAGAATATTGCTGCAAATAAATAACTTCAGAGTCGAGTTCGTAATTTTCGTCTTCATTTCCGCGACGATGTGCCCATGGAGGCGTCACCTGCTGGACGAGCAGCCTTCGTTCTGTCATTTTTTCCGAAATTCGACTTCTCTTGCAGCCTTCGTATCCTCGCTAAAGCCTTTGAGCAGACGGATAAAATGACTTGGCCTCTCGGACTTACGAAGCAGTAGCCGCTCTGGCCGTTCAATGGGCATTTATCGGCCTTCTCCCTTACACTCAGAGGCCGCCGGACTCACGTATCTCGATATTGTTTCATAGTAGGGGGCTGAGGCTTCCTCATGGATCACAATTTTTCTAGATTCTTCGGCCACATGGAAGAAAGAAGACCCTCACTCGATAATATCCTGTGGAGTAGCCGAAGACGTAGTCACAAGGGAGTAGAGGGTTGATTTTCGGCCAGTGCAGGCCATCTGAGTACGCTCACTGCCCTACATAGCACTTCTGGAGCACATATTTAAGTATGCAGTCTATAATGTGGTATTTCTGAAAATCTGTATACAAATTGTGGATACCGGTGGGTAACAGACCCGCCCCAGTCTGTAGCACCCAATACCTACAGTCATATTCGTTCGTTCGAACCGGCAGCCGTTACACGTGATGCTCATCTAATCTATCCAAGATACGATTGCAAACGTCTCATTCTCTCAAACCAAGTCTGAGAAACTCGCCCTAAGTTGATCGCTACGTACATCCCTCCCCCGCCGGGTCGCTGTCCATCGACGACGAGGTCCTCAACAATGCCGAGCCCGTCGGTCCTCGCGTTTTTGTTGAAGTCCAACTTCGGTTTGGCGGATGGGAATGTGTTCGGTGATTGCCACATCATGTGGTTTCACCAAAGCTGTTGGGATCCGGTCAGTGCGTCCCTTCCATGAAACTACTTAAGAGCTTCTAATCAACGCGGCTCGCTGAGAAGTATCTGGGAACGGCACAACATCGTTCAGCCTATTAATCAGCCGACCCCGAGACGCTCATCCTGATCTTCTCCATGGTTCGAAACTTTGGCTTCGATGTCTTTCCACCGCGGATGAAGCTTGGAGGGCGAGCCGACAGAAATGAATGATTGGACTACCGTCGCGCAGGTGTGCCATCTCTTCGACTAAATAAGTACACCGAAAGGAAAGGATCGTACATATGTACGGAGTGGGGATGTCCACCAACGAGGCCGACTATCTTATCTTATCCGAATTTCATCAACCTGTGACCGATCTGTCCCAGGATCTTTAAACTTTACTCACTACTAGCAATGACTACTCTCGAGGAAGCCACCCTCACGGAGCTTCTAACCGCTCTTCAATTAAAGCTGGAGTATGAAGGAGAAAAAGGATATGATCGACTGTAAGTCTCGGCTTCTCGACTCGCCTTGCGTTCGTCCATTTAGTGACACTCGATTGAGACCCCTGGTGGCAGCTGAGGTGCGTTCTCTTGTAAAGAGCTTTTGAAAAAAAGGAATCGCTGAAATTAATACCCACGATCATAGATCTCGGGACAAATAAATTTAGGTGAAATAATCCTAAAACGTCTCTGGGGACGCCGCAACGCTGTTCAAGCTATCAACCAGCTGCCCCCCGAGACACTTATCCTCATTTTCTCCATGGTTCGAAACTTTGACTTCGATGTATTTCCACCACGGATGGAGGGCGAACTGACAGGGATGAACGATTGGATTGTTATCACGCAGGTGTGCCGTCTCTGGAGGACAATCGCCTTGAACGATCGCCGGCTATGCTCGGATCAAGAGTGCAGAACCAAGAGCTTGTCTTTCTCGAGAGAATCGGTCCATACATTCCCTTTCACTTAAACCTCTCCATTCCGCCTCCTTTAAGTCCTTTCGACAGCCATAGCTCACGCCGATTGACTTCACCACTAGGCCTCCGCCAAGTCCTGCACGACAACGCCGAAAGAGTACAGTCACTTCACATATCGCGGGCGGGGTTCTTCTCCACTGAGCTCTGGCCCGTGCTTGACCAGCCCTTACCCGCGTTGCAGAGCTTGCATCTCTCACTTATGCGTGAAAATGTCGCCTCCACAGCTGGTCAGGGAATACCCCTTCCACGGATCCTTCGAGGTCAGCAGAGCAGACTCACCCACCTGTCATTAGCAAGAGTCACACATTGGCCGGAGAACAAGACCACATTCTCGCGCATTACTCACCTCGCGCTCATGAACCAGGACTCCAACTCCCGCCTCCGCTTCTACAGCTTCCTCCTCGTACTCGAGGGTCTCCCCCTGCTGGAGGTCCTTGGGCTGTACTTTGCCGGCCCGCAGGCTTGCCCGAATGATGGAAAACCAAGGGCGAAGACATTGCTTCCATGCATCCGGAGGATTGAGTTTGAATGGTCTGATGCCCAACTCAGTCCCTGTCAGCTACTCGATTTCATCGACTGGAGCAACAAAAAATTGCTTGAAATAATTTTCAGAGGGAAGGGCACCATGGGAGGACCTGGGAACGTGACGATGTCCCACTCATTGCCACCGCCAGAACTCCTTCTCACTGTGTCACGATTCTCAATCCAGAACGACTCGGACCCAAGGGTACATGGAATGCACCTGACAACTTCAACCCTTCCCAATGCACCTGGTGGGTTATTGGAGATCATCATTTTCTCAAAAAACCGAGATGAGACCCTCAATGCTGTCGCACCGCTCCTTCCCAACATCCACGACGTGCGCGTCTGCGTACCACCCTCCTTATCGACCCGACGGAAATCCTCATCAAGAAAAATACGCACTGACGGCAACGTTATTAGAATGTTGCACAGATTTCCGAAGCTTACACACGCCCGCCTCGAGTACGCTTTAAACTACCCGGAATTTGTTGCTATCCTTGGAAAATATCCATACCAAGGCCCTGCAACATTCGCACCGTCTACAGTGGCGTCGTACCCTCAGCGGGAGGAGAGGCCCACGACTCTTTTTGCATGGCCTCATCTCAAGCAACTTACGGTCCACGAACTACCTAAGCGGCACATGCACGAGACACAGAGCATCCAGCAGCAGGACAAGAAAGTGAAGGGACCCTCAGCGGAGCTGCTACGGGAGGCGGCAAGGAAGAGTCTTGTTGAATCGGGGGAAGAAGGCGATGTGCGCGTCATCCGCCACTCTGCAACTGTTTCACACGACGGCGATATCGCTCGTCGTTCCTTGCCGGATATTCACTCAAGCGCAAGATCGAGAGGGCAGTCAGAAGATGAAGAAAACGGAAGGACGTTTGCCCTCGTCATCCTGCCCCGTTCTGTGGACGGCTCCCTCAAGGTCAAGATGTCGACTTTCGGGAGGAATCTGCCATACATTGCATAGGCTTCGACGCTCAAAAAATTTGGACGAGATTCTTTTCTTGCCTGGATGTACTCGACATCAGGCATTTCAGAATGCATAGCCCATCTGGTTAACGACCCCGCAATTCAGGATTCCTTGTAGAGAACCATTAATTTTGGGTCAGATCCACGCGATTAAGACTCCCAAGCCACAAATGTCCTCTGATTCTCAGACAATAGGATGTACTTACAGATCACTTTCCGACGCCGGGACGGTCGTGATCTTTTCCTTTCCCAGTGCTCAGACTCGCGCCGCTACTAATTTATGGACACAATGACTAATCTCGAACTTCCCACCCGGTTTGCATTGAGCTTCCCAGAACGTAATCGCATGAAGTGCTTCTGCGGCTGAGCTTCAATTGCAAACTCCGTCGTCGACTGCACCTCTTCAACCTCAACCACCATCTCGTCGACGCATAGCCAGCCCGAGCTCACTTAGCATGAATCGATATCCCCACGAACCTCTTCCGACGTTACATACCCCAGTGTCTTGTGAAGACGAGTCTCCAATTGAGATCCCGGCCGACTGCCACCTCCCGAAAAGTGAAGACCGATCGCGATTCTCAGATTGTGACCCAAATCGAGGGGCCATTATCCCCTATCGTCAGCGAGCACATCATTTCGACCGGAGATGTCCTACGTGTACGCGTTCCTACATCCAAATTGGTTTGCTACTTTGACCTTCAACAGGTAGGTTATGTCATGGAGATTATGACCCAGTCGCAAGAGGACCAGCTCCGTCGTACATACTTTGCTATCAGCAGCGAAGAATCGAGGAGGAAAGTTGATGAAAGTCTGAGGCTATTGAGGGAGGCTTGTGAAGAACATAGCAGAGTGGCGAGGGAGCTGATGGAGGCGCTGAACCAGTTCATTAGGAAGAATTCGGCTGGAAGAAAGGAGAGAAGAGAAACGATGCGCGGAGGAGGTGCCTGAGGAGATCGATTACTGTAGAAATGAGAATGCAGTCGCACCGGTGGTTGGAAGGCATTCCAGCCTTCTCAAGCATCAGAGTACTGACGAGACATAGGGGCAACCCGAATAGGTGAATCTCACTGTGATTATTGGCTCGGTAGACTCGTACGGGGGGAGATGAAGACGACGGTATACAAGTCCGCTCCGGAGGCAGCGAGAATTACGGGCCTGGAGACGAGGAGAATCGCTTGATTTCACGGTGGCACGATGCGTTTAGAACAACCGAATCCGACACAAGGGGGAATGAGAAGGGAGAAGGAGGTTAAGCGCCTGTGGCCCTGTCCTCCTTCCATAGCGGCGAGGGATACGCGGAAGGCATCGGCGTGATCAGGGAGGCGCTCAGATTCGAGAGCTCTACGACGTAGAGTAATCTGCGTTTTGCTAACCCAGATCCGAGACAGGCGGGCAGGAGCTCTGAGCGCTTGAGCAGCGAGAGGACGAGCCGATCGACAGTTAGATGCCATACTATACTCATGCCAGACAACTATCCATCGGCCGAGGGTCACAACTTCACCCAAGACTGACAAGACAGTTCTGAGGAATCGAAGTCAGTGGACTTGAAAGCGTAGGAGAGTCTGAAAGAGCGACCGATCCATCGAGTATTGCGTGCATATTTCGAGAGATTTCGAGACGGCCGGGACCGCGGTGTTATCAAGAGGGTCGACAGTCTGGCTCAAAGACCACAAGATTATAACACCAGATGGGCCGCGCCGACGTCGAAGGAGCACTATATATGGGGGTGCAAGGGTTGAAGGAGCAGACGTGATGCCGGCCACATGGAAAACGATGAGAGTGAAGATTTTCTTCGGTAAGGGAAACGGCGGGGAGATATTGAAGCGCGTCGAGCGCACTTTAGACTTCCTTTAAAGGCTCTATGAGCCCCGAGGGCACGCGAGAATGTGCCACATGCTCGCAGACAGACCCCTTTCCTTCTCCAAAATTTAAGGTTTCTGGCAGTCTGCGGCGGCGCGTGAGTTTTGTGCCCTGGCGCGCCCTGAGAGAGAAGGGTCCCAAAAGTTTCATGACGCCTTGTGACGCCCACCAAAAGAAGCGCCCGACACACGCAGCAATGTAGACGGCTCGCTCCGCTCATTCTATCAGCTCTTCCAGCCTTCCACAAAATGGACGAAGCATTGTATAGGTCTAGAAAATCGGATGCGCCGTCCCAATCTCGCCGCGCGGCCCACCCCCATTCATTCTGATCCCGCTTCTTACGCTCGGGGCCCTTCGCACCCATTCGCTAGGATGAACGGTTTAACAAGGACCAAGAGATTTATCATCAATTCATTATTCTCTTCGATAAGGACATAATATTTTCTTTAACCACGCAGTTGAGCCAGTCACAAGCACTGCCCACAAAACACATCGTCCTTCTGGAGACAGATTCGCCCACAGAGTCACGAACACTCCTCTTTGTCCGAAAAGATGGTGACGTCTCTTGCGACCGGCGATCGTTAAACTCCTTCTAGGAGGTGAAGATGAGCGCCTCGGATCAAACTGAGGCCATCGGGTAGTGATGTTACCGGTTCTAAGTTGCCGGTGTACGAGGACAGGGGGAGATGAGGTCTCACCCCAGCTTGACGCGATTGCGGGGAATTCGTACGGAGACAGAGACGATCAAGAGCAGTCTCCTGGGGAATTTGATTCGTACCCCTGGAAGCTGAGTGGCGTACCGTAACTGGGCGCTAAACGCACCTTCTCCCACAGGGAGGAATTTAAGTGAGGAGGACAATCAAGACACGACCATGGTAAATCCGGCTCATAAGCCTCGAGGTTATCGAAATTTTGAAACACGGAGGTAGCTGGAAGCTAAGAGGATCACCGATGGAGTACTGGAGCGATGGGGTACTGGGGACCGTGAGCAGGAGGTGAATCATATTAATATCTGTGATCCGCTTTTCCACCCGCAATGGGTGTACGCGTCCTCCATATCAAGGAGAGAAAAAAATGAATAGGAGAAAGACCTCGGAATCAGCCCGCGAAATAGTAGCAATATGTACTAAACCGTCATCTCTCATTCTGCGAGGGGTTTCGTCAGGGGGTATCGACTTTATTGAAGCGAGATAATTCGAGACGTCTAAGTAGCGGAAGTTTTATACACCGATAAGCTTGACGCATATTTTGGAAAGCATCGGACGGCCTAGTAGTAGTATTACATGCCTCTGTTCTCTGCTCTTCTGAAGAATTCGGACCGTTGATACTTAAGAAAATGCCAGTCGACGACCTTCTGCTGCATGGTGATGGGAATATTGTTCTTGAAAAAACCGAAGGCATATGCACATTCCGTCTCATCAGTGGCGGGATCGGCTACGCATCCCTGCAACGACTTGGCGAATGAGATTGGAGATGTAATCAAAGTTATCCCAACGCGAAACCGGAATGATAGTCGTAATGCTCTCATATTACTTTCTGCTTTTCGTTCAATGCCATGACCTCTAATACCATTCATGTAAAACGAGAATCCTTCCTTCGCGAAGGACTCCGGGTGTGACGGCATGGAGGTGCACACGAGCCTCGGTCCTTTTAGCCGTACGCGGCACCGATCTTTGTCTTTAAACGGCTATTTCTCCGGGGTGGTGTAGGGGCCAAGACGGCCCAAGACTTGGTTCTTTCCGCCACTGTAACATCGATGCAGGTGCGCATTGAAATTTCTCTGGTTGCCGATCCAGCCGCAAGGGTCCATGAGCCCTTTTTCTAGATACTTATACCAGTGGGCGGGCTGGGTTCCCTGTCTCCCATTGGAATGCGCTCCCGCTGACCCGTCAACAATCCTCTCGTCTCTGTGTCCCCGCCCGCCCCGCGTAATATCTCTCCCTTACTTCGTTAGTCGCAATGACGAACGTCACTCTCGGAAATACTATTGGAGCATCTTTCCTCGGAACAGTAGCGGCTTCCATGTGAGTTCTAGCGCCATTCTTTCCCGACCTTACCTTTCTAATCTTCCCCGCCCTTCTCCACACACGACGTGACCACAGCCTATATGGGATTACGGCGCTGCAAATCTACCTATACTACATCACGTACCCAAAAGATTGGAGGTTTCAGAAGGTTGCGGTGAGTACAAATCTCTTTCGTCTCGACCACTTCTGATTGGATGGCATCCGTTTCACATCTTCTGCCCAATAGGTCGGTATCCTCGCGTAAGGACCTCCGCTCGTACCTTTCCTTTCCGTCAAATGACGATTCTTGACATCGCCAGAGGCCTCGACACCATCCACCTTGGACTTACCATCCACGCCGTGTATCACTATGTTATCACCGAATTCGGTAACCTCGCCGCCCAGCAATTCGTCGTGTGGTTAGTGGAGCGACTCAACTGCGTCCCTCATGATAACTGATTGAATGTCCTCCCGCTCGGCGCTTGCAGGAGTTTCAAAGTATGTCCAACAAATCATTTCTCTCGACGCCTGCGCAACAAACTGACGGCTTTTTTAGCTGCAAATAGCTGTTAATGTGCGTGGCGTGCCTTGAGATCATGTGGGCCGCATGGTGACCCCTGCGTCGCTTTCAGGTTGTCATCGTCCTAATGGTGCAAAGGTGAGCGACTCTCGTGACGAGAAATGAATCGTACTGAATGCCGGCTCCAGCCTTTACACTCTGAGAGTATGGAAACGTAAGTCGTCTTATGATACGGGATGTCCAGCCCGACTCTAATTGCGTCTTAGTCGGCAGACACCATTCGAGAGTGTGGCCGATTATTGTGGTAAGTGTTTTCTTATTCCTTGACGCCGTATGATCTTGATGTCGACTCTTTCAGATCGCTCTTGTTGGGGCCGGGTACAGTGAGTGTGCTGTTATTTTCCTTGGCTTCGGTAGCCCCTAACGCACGGGTGTCGCGGTGTAGTTATTGGAATCTGTCAGTCGCCCTCATCTTTATTCTATGCAGATACTAAGCGGTTTCTCCCTTAGACCTTGCCGTCGAAACGTTTGTCCCCTAGGTGAGATGATCAAAGACGCATCTAACTATCGTTCCTAGATATCGACTGAATACCTTCGCCGATCTGAAAGGCATGAATGTGAGTAATCTTATCTGATATCCCAACCTCCTTGTTCATTCGTCCATTTAGTGGGTCGTCTATGCCTCGTTCTCGTCAGCTACTTCCGTCGACATCGCCATTGCCACAGCGATTGTCTACTACCTTCGGGCGGCCAGAACTTCTTTCGCTGGGTGGGTATCTCGTTTCTCTCTTCACAGCCTCATTTTCGAGTGTTCATATTCTCGTATCACAGGACGAACAACAGGATCATCAGCATCATGCGATACGTGCTGATCTCCGGGTTCCTTACGAGGTATTCGTCTTGCTCTTATGATTGTACCGGTATCTAATTACGCCGTGCTCTCCAGCGCATGCTCCTTGACGGCCCTCATCACCGTACGACTCCCAAGTTTAAACCTCCCACGATTCTACTGATAACTTTTTCCTAAAGTATGCAGCGCTGCCGAACACCCTTGTGTTCCTCGGCGTCGAGTTCTTGCTTACGAAACGTACATTCTTCCGCCCTCCTCTTCGTCATTCTTACTGAATCACCTTCCAGTGTACATTAACAGTTATATCGCCATGTACGACCGCAGGTTCATCCACTAAATATTGAGCGACCGGGCTGACCCTCTTCTGTTAGGCTGAACGCACGAACCTCCGTTCGCGACACGGAGTCGTCCTCGGCCAACGTCAGCGTCAGCAAGATCCTCAACTTGCGAACCGGTGACAGACAACCTACCGACTCGACGCACGTTATGGTCACCCATGATGACAAAATCGATCAGGTACGTTCAACCTTCAGGTCTCCTTACGTCCAGTAGCTGACCAGTGTGTTCTGCACAGGATGCCATCCATCTTACGCCGACGGAGTACCGAGGCAAGTTGGACCACGAGTTGACGAGCGACTCGAAAGGGAGAAGCGCGACTGGGACGTCACCGTCGCCGCACCTCGGGGTGAGGGATCAGTCTCCAATCATAGCCTTGAACGCGGTTTACTGACGCTCGAGCATTCAGATCACCGTCCACCGAAGTGAGCAGCGTTACTACGACTCTGAACGCACCCCGGCATGAGCGTCAGGTATTGGTGGTGGCGGCTCCGGACATTCCTCCGCTCCTTTCTTCATTCCCGATCTGTATGGTTGTCATTTATATCTAGATGTAATAAGGGAAAATAGTCGACAAGGGACCTAGTGTCGTGTTTTATCCTGGAGTTCAAAATTCGAATTGTAGACTGTTGGTTCATCCGATATATGCAGAGTGAGTTGCCGTCGGCGCCTCGCCTTCGTCATCAGTATGTCGACTTGTCAAGGCCCTTGTCCTCTGCGCCGCCGGAAGGCGAGGGCAGCGTAGACGTCTCTGACGGAACAGATCCTCGTCCGCTGCAGGACCAACCAAAAGTTCTCTGACTTGCCTTGAGCGACTGGACGATGTCAAGCACGAAAGTTCGAAATGACAAAGGGGCGCATTGCTGTATAGAACGACGTTCTATTATTGAGCAAAGGCGACCCGAAAACACAGAGGCTTACAACGTTGAAAAGTGTAGGGAGGTTTGTTAGCATTGAAGAGAAAAGTGATGATCAGGCGCTGCAGCCAAAGATAAATCATGAGAATAGCGAAAGATGAGCTTCACACCAGTCAACGAGCGACGGTCGCTGGCTAGGGTCCGTCGTCATCAACTGCTCCGCAAGGTCCGAGAAGCTTCGACGGTCATGCCTGACAAAGATTTCGAGGATCTGACCGCACGCCCACCGATCCGCCCGGATGGCGCTGTACCTCAGTCCTTTAACTACCTCGGGCGCTGTCCGGCTTTCAGTACCACCACAGTACTCGACCTCCTGCTCCTCGTTCTCAACTCGCGCGGCAATGTCGAAGTCGATGATCTTGAACTGCCCAGCACTGGCGTTGTAGACGAGGTTGTCCAGCTTCAGATCGAGAAGAGCAACTCCGTGCTTGTGGAGGTGCGCGATGCTTGCAGCTAGGCTTCGGCAGGGCTGCTTGATCTTGCTTTGCGCAGAGAGTCTTCGATGACAGGGGCCAGTCTCGGGAGGATGAGATAAGCCACACCACCAACAACGAAGCTATCAACCAGGGTGATGCACGGCGAGGGTCGTAAGTAGTAAGCTGAGCCCAAGGGCGAGGGATACTGGACTGAAGGTGTGAAAAGGTCAAGGAGGGGATGAGCGTCAGGGAGAGAGCACTCACGTTTGGGATTGGCAACCAAAATATGAATTTCGTGGATCTGCAGTATCAAGTTCCTGCTCTAAATGATCGAGGATCCAATTGCGCGCGCGAAATCCGGTCATCTTGGGGCTTCACTTTGAGATCCGTCTGCTAAGAGTTAGTTGGATTGCTGTGACAGAGCGAGGAGGCCTACCTTGTAGAGGGAGAGATTGCCCTCGGCCACATCGAAGTTGCGGTCCCGATATTTGAGCTTCTCGTGGACTGCCGTCAACGAGTGCATGTTTACTGATAGGAATAACCACGACAGAAGACTCTGCAGCCGGATATAAACACATCAGTTCGAGCTGCTCCATCTTTCGGTGAGGAGAGCGGTCGTGGTTGTGGAAAGACGAGCTTGGCCGGAAATCGCCGAACAGTGTTCAACGTGCCTGGTCTTTGTTTACAACCAAGCTCACCCCCCCACAAACCGGCCTCGAAACGCAAGAAAAAGGTACGTCGATTATGTTCTTCGTTACTTGTATGCATACTAAGACTACTTTGGCCCTCACAGGACTCTGTCTGCGCCAACGACGATGCGACGAATCCGCAGTGTGCCCCTCCCCTCGCGATAGGGTTGTGGGCTGGCACGTTCTCGACGCACCGCCCTCACTCTTCCCAGCCATACCCATTTCGCCACTCAACCTCACCCGACCTCGCCCTCTCGCGCCCTCTCTTGCCTCTCACGTCCTCCCTCGTTCACGCCTCGCCTACCCGCTCGTTCAGCCCCCATCCACCCAGCAGTGCCGCTGCCTCAACTCCCCGCCCATCCGACTATGACCGCGGTGAATACGGGTGAGAAGGATATGATGGCGACGACGACAGCAAGAGCGGCATGAACATGAAAGCGAGGGCTAGACGAACACGAGGCCTGACGAATGCGACCACCGACACGAGCAGGATGGGATGAACACAGGCGCAAGCGGATGAAGGAGCACAAGCACGAGCGGGCGTGGGCGTGGGCAGTTCGTGTAACAGGGACAACAGGGATGTGGGTTCGGCCCCATACCGTACCCAAGCCCTCCCTACAGCTTTCGATCACCTCTTGACACCGCGGCTGCCCTGTGTCCCCTCCATCTCCACTTCTCAAGACAGCAGAAATGTTGAGCCCAACACCAACATTGATAGGCCGGGACGAGGGTAGAATGGCGAGGGGGACCCACGAAGTGCGAGGTCCACAAGGTGCGTAGCCGGGCCTTCCACCCCATCATCCAGCTCACCACCACCAATTCCAAGCTGCGCCAGGGCACTGCAGCTCACATGCACACCGTGCCGCTATGACATGCGCTATGTACCTCCGCCACGTCCTCCCTGACACGTCCTCTCTCGTATGATCCCCCTGTACGACTCGTTTCACCCTGGTCCAACGGGCGACCACCACACCCAACCTACCGCCATCTTACCAGTGTACAACGATGCCATACGACCCGCCACTTCCACATGAACGACAATGCGTCAATTTATTCCACGAAGACAGATACTAGCTCGATAAGCTCTAGGCCATGATCCGTTGTGTTTGGGGTCGAGAGACCTGAACTGTCACAACCGCAAGCCCATGCATAGTGCGCGGCACATTCCCCGGAGACAACAGCCCACCAGGAAAAGGTGATCATGAGGATGGCTGCACCCAGGAATCGTTGATCCACCGCTCTCCTCGCGTCGCTCACTGGTTCTCTGGGTAAGTAAGCTCCCTGTGGTGCTCTCCTAGTGTCGCTCACTGGTTCTCCACAGCTGTATCCATTCCGTCGCAGACTCTTTCGTCACCCACCCAATCCCTCTCCCCCTTTTCCTCGGTCTCTCATGTAAATCTTTATTTATCGTTCCCGTTGCATGTATTTTCTGTAGACCTTGTTCACGAAATATCAGGCTCTCTTTTCGCAGGCCTCGCCGCTGACTCCACAGGGCGGGGTCATGCACCCCTTTACATTCGATAGAATGGCGAAAACGACCGCAGGCGATTAGATGTATGCATTACATTCGCAGATAACATAGATTATCTAGACACAAGCCAGAAAACGATCAGCACAGAAGAAATAATCACGAAAATCCATACACTCACTCGATGAGGACATGAAAGAAACGATAGGTGCCTCGTCGATAGTCCGGTGCTTTTGAACGACGAGGAAGAAGGCAAGAAGAATATAACACTTCGTCTGCGGAGGAGAAAGTTGTTTGAAATTTTACAAAAGAAGGATGAAAGTAGAGTGCATGGACTGACGGATGGGGTTTCATGGGAGGTGGTCGACGTACGGGAGGCCCTTCGCATGTTCTGAGGATCTCAGCGTGTGGAAGAGCACGCACAAAGAACTGGACCTTCTCGGGCGTTGAGCATGTGCAGCAACATCGCGATGAAGACGCTCCGAGGCGAAAATCGGAGACCGCTTCGAGGTATCATGAAAGAGCTGAAAGCGCCAATGTTAGTTACATAAAGAATGCGGGTCAAATTCAGTAGGGTAAACGCAGCATACCATGATTTTTTCAACGTCTAAGACGGCAATGTAGTGTTGTCATTTCGCGTGTGGAGGACAAGCTAACAGGAAACAAAAATTAAGCAGCAGGAGGGTACCCCCCAATGCAGCAAGGAGCGGAAGGAAAGAGTTCGTTCGGGATGAAGGCAAGTAAGGAGCAAGGGGCACGGGAGAATCATGAAAGGAGCGATCCGGCACCCGAAGAAAGGCGAGTGCAGGCCCAACGCGACGCGATGCTCAGTGGGCAACGCATCTCGCATCAGGCGCAGGGAGATTGCACAGGAAATCGGGAATATGGCGACGAGAAAAGAGAAAGGAGACCGATCCGTTGCCCGACTGCAAGATAAATTTGGAATAGCAGTAGAATCTAGAAGATTATGAGGTCAATTATGAAGAAAAAGCGGGCAAGACGACTCACCAGACCGTCTTTGTGAGTAAGAACCGATAATTCAATCGTCTCCAACGCCTTCGTAGAACTGCCTTGAACGCAGGACGAACTTTCGTCCATGCCGAAGGAAGTTGAAACGACTTAGAGCGAGCGAAATTCGAGGTCCATGGATAGGCTCATTGTGCCTATGTCCAGCGTTTCTCCCACTCTCTCGCCACCGAACCTGTGTAGCGTATGGGTTGTGGCCCAAGAGACCGAGGACCGGGGACCTAACCTTACGGTCGGATGCGACGCAGGCGACATGGAGGTGCGACATGGCCTAAATCGCACAACGATCTCTCGATCGCGAGGCGCGAAGGGATCAAGACGAAAACGGAGCAAGAGGGAAGAGAGAATCGGAATATCCTGTTTCTGACGAAGTGAGGTGGCTGCCAACGAAATGTGAAGATGAGGCGAGGCGTTTGAGAGGTTCGGCCAGACATCGGGTGCAGAAAGATTGTTGTCGTGATCCAAGAAATGGAAACGGGGAGAGGGAAAACAAAGGTGTCGATTGAGCGAGTATCATACAACAAGATATTAATACCGAGGTAGAGAACTATAAACCAGAAAAAAAATCAGGGCACGGAACAGCCACAATGATTCTTTACTCACCTAGCTGGTCCCTCTTCCAAGCATAAGGCGCCAAAAAACCACATTCGCCTCCCAAAAACTGCCGGAAACCCATTATTAACCTCCCTGGTGGAAAAAGGAGAGAAGCGAAGAATAAATCCACGACCAAATGACCGCCTCAGATCAGTCCAAGCCCGTCCCTTTGAAAGTAACAAGGTATGAGGTGCCGAACGGGCGCTTTCAGCGCCGCCTACGTCAAAGACGCGGCTGGCTCAACGTGCTGCACCAAAGGTATCGTCATCGGCGGGTTTGATTGTGGAAGAAAGGAGGGCGTGGGAGCAAAGCGACTTTATAGTCACCCATCGATAGATTCTCACGATCACCTTTTCGTTAAATCCGACGCGGAGCCCTCAGCCTTTGATGTATTACAATGTATTGGCGCTCATCTGTCTCCATGACCTCTGCAATAGCGTCCTCTTTGACTTCGCTACCAGATGACCTTCTATTTGTTCTAATGGCTAACCTGGATGGCCCATCTATCCGTTCGATGGCTCTGGTTCGTCCTCAGAAACTTCGTTTTCAACAGTTCCCAGCGGCTAACCGTAAGGCGTAGACCTGTCGAGCACTATATCAAATATTCCAATCCGCAGCCATCCAGTACGCCTACGAGCTTGACTTAAATTGCATGGAAGATGCAGGCTCTGGTCGACCACCGGCAGAACTCTTGAAGGCTTTGCGCGACCGACGAACAGCATGGGGAGAGCTGAATTGGAAGAGTGTCAAAACCGTGAAGGCCGGTCCCGTATTAGCTGCCTATGAACTCGTCGCGGGCGTATTTGCTCAAACAGATGGATTTAATTTCTCTGTATTCCAGCTTCCATCTACGACGTGCAAAGGAACTTGTATCACGACACCCATTGACTTCAGGATCCGCGATTTCATCATCGACGTGGCACAAGATCTGGTTATCTTCTTGCACGAAGAGTGAGTTATTCCCAGTATATGCTGTTATGGTACTGCTCAATGTCTCCTCTGAATCAGGGTGCTGCCCAGCGGATCCCGTCGTGGCAACCTTTATTGCCGCACAATCTCGACGAATCAGCCACACCCTGCCTGCTCAGCAGCCAGCACGCTGTCTTTCGAAGTGCCCCAGCATCCTCAATACGGCAACATTATCTTTGTTGTGGAGCTGGAGCTGGCAGTCGATGTTCTCTTCTTGTCCATGCGGCAGGGCCATGCCCTAAGACTCTTGATCTGGAATTGGACAATGGGAGTGCTCATCTACGTACGTCTTGCAAGTCTCACAAGAACGTATAGAAGAAGAAACTAATCGAGTAAAAGCACAGGACTCGCTTGATCAACTATCACCTTTTATCAACGATCTTGACATCGTGCAACGAGACGTCTTTATCCTTACTTCATATGCCGATTCAGGGAAGATCCTTATATACCAATTTTCACCGACTGTGGCTTGTACGCCTGTGCTTATTGCGACCCTCTCCCTACCAGAGATGAACGGCCCTAGGATGCTCTGGTTCCGGGTGCACTCGGGACAGTACCAAGAGCGCCCGACACCTGGCGCGCTTTTCATGCCCTCTCCCACCGCCCGCACACACGTCCTCTCTGCGGCCTACTCATCGACACAGGTGGGGGGGTGGTACACCCTTTTCGTTCAGAGCAGCACTTTCCTGCGATATGTCGACAGAGGGGATGAAGGCCAAGAGGTATCGTGGAAGGAATGGGGTGAAGAAGACAGCCGTTTCATGGCCAGAAGGATCGGAGGAAATTGGCTTCGGTAGGTTCCCTATTCTATCCAATTCATACATTTTGTCTCTCATTTCATTTCTTAGGTACGTGCACGGAAACCGTGTCGTCTGCAACTCCCTCGACAAAATCGGCATCGATGTATTGAACTTTTCTTCTTTCACATGTAATACCGATTCCTCTGCGTCAGGTTCCCGAGAACGGCAGTGCTTTAGCCGGGGAAATCCTACCGTAATCTCAAAAGACGTGAAGATATTCGAGGATGATGTTATAACACGCCTCCCATATCAAATCGCGTCGCATGAGATGGAGAAGACGCCGTTCGCTTACATGATTGACGAAGAACGAATTATTGGCCTGCAGGTACGTCCTACGCCGTGTGTATTCCGGACCTTATGACTGATTATACATGTTGATTGCGTAGTTTGGGTCCGACACGGTAGAATTGACGATTTATTCGTTCTAGGAGTCGCACAGGATGTCATGGTGTTAGGAGCATCCATCATTCAACCTTAGAAGAATATTGCAGATTTAAGCCGACATGGGCGAGGAGGGTCATGGCTGCCTTTGGTCGGTAGACAATCTTTGACTGTGGATGTACTGTTTATCAATTGTGAGAATTTAGCTTCTTAGCCTCCTTACGCTCTAAGCGCTTTACGACCGAGATCCAGGTGCTCATAGAGGGGAAGGTTGTCACGCCCTTTTCGACGCCTAGTGGGTGTTTCGTTGATTACTATCTTCTCACGCTGGACACACCGACGAGAGTGGATTCATCCAGCACTCAGTCCGTAACACCACTCCCAAATCGCAGTTAGCCATGTCAGACGCAGATGATGCAGAATACTGGCCCGAGATCTCAAGCATCTTCCACCCTCCCGCCCTCAACCACTCAATTGCTCCCCCAACAGAAATCCTCGTAGGTCTCCTCCCTTTATTATGGAAACACAGATCGTCGTCGTTCGCCCAGTCTCTCATGCGCTATGCTGCGGAGAATTCTCACACCCATCCTTTGGATATCTCCTCGATCTGCGAGGCGCTAGGCCTCCTTTTCAGCAACGACCGCGTCTTGGCATTGCAAATCCCCAATCCCGACAACGAGAAATCCGTTATCAGCTTCGAATACATCACACACCTGGAACTGATGGAGGAGATCGACACACGTATTCATGACAGATTCGACAAGGAGAACGTGAAGATTTCTCCCGATAATGAGCGCATTAGCGGGGCTCTTTTCTCGGCGTCGCTTCTTCGCAACCGGGTTAGTGTCCTCCAACGCCGGGTGGAGGATACAATACTGTCAGGACTGTACCAATTCGACGAGAAGAATTTGAACGAGCTCGATGAGCTCTACGGAGTTATGTCGATCATCCACGTCGCCGTCGCAGGAAAGTTCTTCCCTGGAGGCCTGTGGAAACGTCTGCCCAACCGTGACGTCGCGGAAGCGCTGAGAAAATGCAAAGAAGTCGGGTTATTCAAGACCGAAGGAGTCCGTGAACTTCTGGAGGTAAGCTCTAATGATTCGTGACCCGTCGGAATCTACGACACTGAAATCACCCTGTCACTTGAAGGCTGCGATAGCAAACGCAGAGAGCCGGTACAACAAGAGGGTTACCGAAGAGCAAGCATGGAAAATTCTTTTCCCTACCTATATAGCTCAGAGGGGACAGTGAAATTGATATAACAAATGCGTGCTCAATCGAGGGCGCTTAAATAATGAATAACCATCTTGTCTGCTTTGATTGGCTTGTTGAAATTACATAAGTCTCTCTTATTCGTATTACTAGCTGTTCTGCGCGGCGTAGGTAGGGAAAAGAATTCTCCAGGCCTGTTCTTCCGCGACGTTCTTTGTGTACCCACTCTCCGCGCTCGCTATCGCGACCTAGAAGCGAGGTAATATTAGTGACGCTGTCTCGAAATCGGTAGTTCTCACATCTAGGAGTGCACGGGCTCCTTTTACCTTAAATAACTCGGTTTCTATGCAGTTCTTCAGCGCTTGTATAATGCCGTCGCCAGGGAGGTGCTTCTGCAGGTCTTTCAAGAGGAAATTTCCCGCCACGGCAATATGGATTATCGACATAACGCCAAAGAGCTCGTCGAGCTTGTTGGCATTCTTCCGGCCAAATTCGCATAGGCCGGAACATATTATATCCACCGTCGTGTTCTGGAGGACGTCGACTTGGTGCCTTAGCAGCGACGCAGATAGCAATGCACCACTAATGCGCTCGTTGTCGGGGGAAATCTCCATCTTCCGCTCGTCATACTTGTCTTGAAGCCGTGTGTCTATCTCCTCGATTAACTCCATGGTGGCGATATATTCAAAACTGAGAGTTGAGTCTTTGTTGTCGGGATCGGGAATCTGCAACGCTAAGACATTGTCGCAGTTGAAAAGGAGCCTGAGGGCCTCGCAGATCAGAGATACGTCCAGAGGGCGCGTGTGGGCGATTTCTGCAACGTAGCGCATAAACGATTGGGAAAATGATGCTGATCTGTGTTTCCATATTAAAGGCCGGAGACCCGAGACGATATCCGTCGGAGGAGCAATCGTACTGTTGAAACTAGTGGGGTAAAAGACGATAGACACGTCTGGCCAGTACTTCTTATCGCTGAGGGATGTCATGGTTAGAGTGTTGGATGGGAGGCGGGGGTGGTCTTATGGGGAGGGAACAGAGGGCCGGAGTCTTCTTTAGTCCGATGGCCTACTGACTGTCGTGGGTCCAGCGGAAGAAGATGAATGCGACAGACACACAAGCACCAGGCTGCTGAAAGTCGGGACTCGGGAAGCCGTCTCGTCATCGTTCTTGTGTTTAACTCCCACTTGTGCCAGTCGCTGTGGCGGGGTTGTTGTGGTGCGACGGAAAATCCAGTATTTGACAGTGTACTTGGTTGAAGCTCCCAACGGAGTTCGAGTTTCTGTGCAAGAACTGATGAGATAGTATGACGGCAAAACATTAGTTTAACGATGCGTAGAAAACTCGCGCGTCAGGCTCGGCGCAATTTGCCTTTTTCCCTAGCACCTCTAGGAGATATAATTCTTTGACGACGCGCAACGGATCGTCGGCTCACAAATTGTAGGTCTCGGGGCTCGAACCAAAGAGCCGGGTCTTTGCAGTTTTCGCCCTTGCGAAGGGGCTCGTCAGAGGGCTTAACCGCTACCCTAAACTGCTTTGGTTCTGTAAGCCAATTTTAACATTTCGTGCTACCCGATTTGACTTGCATTACGGGGATTCCACTGAGGTAAGGGCGTTCCACCCAGGTACCGTGCAGTTTGACCCTGGACTAGCTGGGTGTGCGTGAGGGGGGGTTATCACCTGATTACGGCACTGTGGCGCGCCTGATGTAATCACAGGGGCATCACTCGCGGTTGAGCAACTGCCGACGTACTGCCATTTCTGGACTTTGCGCATCCCATGTCTGTTCGCTGAATGCGCTGACCGATCTCAGACTCAGTCGGCAGTCTCCGAAGATAATGCCGAAACAGTGCAAAGATACAATCCAAGGTCCTTCCTCAACACCGTCATCCCAGGCATGACTGCCAGACCGAGCAACATCCCGAGCTGCGCTCAACTATTGTTATTCCAACCTCCATACGTCGTCTACGGTCAAGCCGTGCTGATTCAATACACCGCCCATGTCACCAGTCCTGAAGTTAATCGTATAACTCGTCCCAAAGGCGGGTCGGTGTCGGGTGATAAGGCCAGACTCGGGCAGCTGCAACGGGAATCCCTTGACTCTTGCCATCCTCCTCCTCAACAACTTATGAGCTATTACCGGGTCCCTGACGTCCTTCTCCTGCGTATACACTGTGACCGTGCCGAGATTCGGACAAAGGAGCCACGGCTCCGGATTGCAACCTGGAATTGCATCTTGCTGGTCGTCAAACACCCCAACCTGATGCTCAGACTCCAGCGCGAGTACAAGCTTGTGGACTGCATGGTAGGTATACAGCTCGAGGTGCTCGACGGAGCGAAACGACTGGAGGACGATGAAGTTACCGCGGCAGTCCTCGATGCTGGATAGTCCGATGCTCGTAACGTTCGGGAGATGATCCTTCCATACCGCAAGCTGTCTGTAGGCGCGAACAGCGTTATAGTTGTCGTGCTCGAACACAAGAATATCGCCAGAGAGCATGAAATAGTTGCCGTCGCCACATCGAACGATGACCTTTGTGACGAGGGCGAGACGAGAAGGGGGTGGCAGCTGCGCGGCGAGGATGCCCGAGCCGGGTGTCATGCTTCGACTGATATCGGCCGTCCAAATGACTTCTGCGGTGGTGGGGAGAGAGAGGGAAGGGAGGAGGTAATGAGGGTATGCACCGAACGTATAGGTGTTGTTCATTCGCAACCGCAGCATACGAATTACCTTGAACTCCACACGACGGCTGGAGAATACATTGAGGGCATGAGGATGATAGATGTCCTCGAGATGCAGCACTTCCAGGGAGGTCAGTGATTGCAAGACGTCCAACACCTCAGAGGGGCTGACAAAGTCCTCTTGCCCTACGAGATACAGGTGCGTCAGGCCGACGGGGAACTGGATTATTCGACGCTGACCCCCATCAGGAGGATAAACCCACCACCCGAAATCAACGAGGTGCAACCTTCGCAGGGATGGACTTAGGTCTCGGAGAGCGTGGATCCTTCTGGTGTAATTGAGGGGGCTGTAGTCTGCTCCTTCGTCCTCATCTTCGTCCTCATCATTATCACTATCCTCGAATAAGTCGCTCCGAAAGCCGACATGGAAATCAAGTCGAAGTGATTTTATGCTTGGTAAAGCCTCCCGGAAAATCTGCAACGCTCCTCCGCGATGAAACTTCCCTCGAAAATCGATCGACTCGATACGTGATGCTTGCTGGACTAAGGCCAAGTAAAACTGGGCCAGATCGTCACGTTTGCCGTGTTCGATACCACGTGCAGTGAATTCCTGGAAGAGTGACACAGGGAGAGGACGAGATCGTTGAAGGAAGGTAAGACCAATAGCCTTGGGAGACGCCAACGTCTTGTCCAAGGGTATCGAGGCCCAGAGTTGCGGGATGTTCAGCGTGGACATCCGCCACTGATGGCAGACATGTGTAACCGCCATGACCGACTTTGCGGTGCCTCTGCAATCTGGCACGTTTGACATAAAGCTATCCGGTGGCAGCAGGAGCAAGACGATGGCGCCGAAAATCTCGAACGGCAGGCGGTTTATTGGGCAGCTGAGGTTTGAGCGGTATGATGCCACATCTGCAAGTTTCAAAAGCTGGGTTCGTCTTTCAGAGCACTAAGAATGTGTTGGGAATTCGTCAAAAGCCGTACCGGAAAAGCTTCGCAGAGATGTCCATACCTTTTCCTTCCAGCTCGCCACTGAGCGGTCTTTTGAGGCTCTCACGTTCGAAAGGTACTCAGAAAACCCATCGTCCCCTTTATCGAGTTTGACTTGTAACGCCGCCAGCAACTCATCAACTGAATGTCCAAGGACGCCTCGTTCCATGATCATCACCTGCCATCGAAGTGAGAACGAGGAGGATTGAGTAAGGCCACGACGGGGGCACTTACGTGAAATAGGTCGGGTCTCTTGACAAAATTCTGCTCCCAACATCCATCTATGTCATGAGTTCGACAGGCAAGCAAAGGGAGAAAGAGAAAGGTGTGTAATTATGTAATATTGGTCTGAGTTGCCGAAACAGGCACACCTTCTATCTTTTCGTTCTTCTATACCTGTAGCGAGACCCCAAAGACACACAGACTTGAGGTTCTCATTATCGCGTTCTGTCGGGTGTATTTCCGGCTCTTCATCGAATAATACAAGAATATGAGTGACGAATTCGCACTAGCATGACTCTCGCTTTGATTTCATCCTTTTCTGAAGACCTTCTACTAAGGGTTGCCCTCATTCGTGTGTAGCCAATTACGAAGCGCCATTTCTCCCAGACACGAACTTTCGTGTCACCTTCTGTCACGTCTCTCCGCCAAAAAAGTGTTACCATCAGTGACCACGAATGAAGGGCGTCCCCGAACGAGGGGCAACCCTTGCTATCCCTGTTCACGTGTTTGTAAATTTTGGGCGCATCGAGGATTAAGCACCCTTGCCGACGCTCAATTGCATTGAAATTTGGCACATATATCCGCAGACATCTCCTCTACAATAAAATGAAATTTAACTGACAGAGGGTCTGCTGTGGGTGGTGTACGGGCCTCAGCAAAACGGCGTGATGCTCTGTTCGGGAGTTTGAAATATATGTCACGGCTAGTAACGGTCGATTTTGGCGGGGAGGAGAGGCATTTTCCCACACAGAATGGCGGGGAAATGTCACGCTGAAAAGCTGCTCAGCGACTGTTCGGTCCACCACCCGCCACCACATCCTCCGTTCTTTCTGAAATTTTGTGGAAGCATGCGCTATGACCCTCTGAAAGCCCCTGCAGACTATCAGAAAAAATGAGCAACAGGATCTGGCAGGATCTGGTAGAATTGGAGCATGAATTCGCATACATCACCCTTTTTGATGTATCCAAAATCACATTTCGCCCACTGCAGCACTTTCAGCACCGTTTTTCACCAATATTTTTGCACACATTCACATATACACTATGTTGGAGTGCAGATAAAAAAATTGTAGCATAACTCGAGGATGCGGGAGTGTAATGAGCGATTTTCAAACACCCGACACTTTCAAACACGTGAACAGGGATAGTAGTACGCTTAATATCTTCTTTAAATTTTAATCTGGACCAATACTGCGTGTTTCAGGAGGGCGTATCTTATAATTACCAGATCCTCTTTAATGACTTGGTCGCAATCTTCTAGGTCACTGATAATCAATCCATTTTCTGAGCTCTGAATCCCTCCCATCGACACTATCCCTACTTTCTCATCCGCTGTCGGTACTTCAACGAATGTCTCAAGTTTTCCCACTCTGGAGAGCAACAGTTCTATCAGTCTTGCTCTCCGGGGTCGGCTCATCGCCGTCGGTGTCTTCAAATTATATCTCACTAGGATCGGTTTGCCGAGACCCTCTCCCGAGCTCGGCTAGCTCTGATGCCTCGTACAATGCACATAATTCGTACTGAAAGCGACTGACAAGGCCTCCATCGTTATGTCCTATGCATTTGCCATCCTGTCAGAGAACGGGCTCAGACTTCTACCATCTTATAAGGCACCCCCCTCGGTTTCGTCCCTTTCTCAAGGCCTCTCAGGAGCCAGACGCGTAGGAGCTGACGTCGAGCTAATGGCACATCCGGCTTTCAGCTGCTATATGCAGGCGCGGATGGGTGTCTATGTTCATATTTTCGTGGTGCAGTCTGGCCGTATTCTCTGGGCCTCGTCTCGAGGGCCGATCGTGAATGGCGTCGTCGGTCTCACGACCCAGCGAACGAAATCGCGGAGCAAGCATAATAATTCGCCCACATAGCACCAATGCTCATCATCGTTCCAGAGCCAAGCGACTACATAGAATAATGCATCGAACGTCTGATAAAATGTCAGAACTGATGCCATGCCTATCGACTCAGCTCAGCCGTTCTTCTTCCTCTCGTTGGACCTAGCTCTCCATGATCGCCTTAATCATCGCGCTTCCGACGCGGCCGGCCTCTTCGAACCGGCCCTCAAAGAACGCCCTAGTCTTTTCGAATCGTCGCCGATACACCTCGAAGCTCCTGAAGCTCACGCACTGGCTCCATCCTCGCGCAGCCACCACGAACTCCAGGTCGTCAGACCGATGCCAGGTGTCGAACAACGCGGAATGGATGGACGCGGAGAGCAAGGTGGGCGAGAGGAAGAGGTACTCGGCCACACCAAGGAACAGTCGGAAGATCGGGGTGGCTGCAAGCGAGAGGTGGGTGTAAGGATTGATGGAGAGGTGGGCCCAGCAGTCGACCATGGCGAGTAGCGAGAGATGGGAGTTTGGACGATATTTCGTTGGTGGTTCGATGGAAGAGGTAGAGGACGATGCTTGGATTTCACTCGAGGGAAGCTTAGGAGAGGTCGGTGTCGAGAGAGAGGCCGGCGTGCCAAGGCTAAACTTGTCTAGAACATCCTCAGAGAGCAGAATCGGGTGGCGCTTGTGCTTGGTATCATCGTCCACGTCGCCGAAGACGATCTTTCGACCCCACTCGATACGCTCCCTGAAGCGATGCCGCTCCTCCTCTCCTCCACCTCCTCCCTCGAGCATCAGTTTGAACAGCTCCGTAGCACTGGCGGCATAGCGATCGATCTGCGTCCGCGCATCCGGGTTGAGGATTGCCAGCCCGGCGTAGACGTGCCACGCATTGCTATAGATCCGCAGGGCGATGTTGACTTTGGCCGTCTCGATCCCGCCCACGTAGAGTCCTTGCTCCCAAGGGTAAGACTGCGCGGAAGCCCAAGCGGTGCCCATGCTGAGGAAGGCGGCGTGGGTAACTGCTTGCGTATTTGCGGTGACGAGATCGTGTTCTTCGTAGGAGAGGTGGACATGGCGCGAGCCAAGAGGCCGAAGGATGTTCTCGACGAGTTCTTTCGCTTCGTCTGAACCGCGATGTTGGATGATGACCTACATGACCGTATGTCGAGCTCATAGGCAAGGCAGTGTAAAGAAGACTCACGAGCGGCTGACCCAAAGGACTGACTCCTGGCCCATGAAGAGAATGGCACGAGACAATGTGGACATCAACAGGAAGGTGCTTCTCGAACGCGACTTTTTCTGGAGCCTTCACAGACGTTTGGCCTGCTACAACGGCGTGCATCTTCGTGGCTATCCTCCAGTCAGAAGAAGGTTCGGGTCGATTGAAAAAAAGTGCTCACAAGGCCCATACTGGGCGACGACGCGTTCAATGAACTCTGCTTCGACAGAATAGAGGATAAAGTCGGAGGAGCGCGCTACAGCGTGTCCATCGCGCATCACGTATATGTTTTCCGCGTCTGGAGGCAAATAAAAACCTGTAAACCGTAGATGGGGCTGTCACTCACTTGAGTACTCCTCCTTCAGTTCCTCGTACTTCTCTGGGACGTCGCAAACATGAATCCTGCGACGTTCCGTCAGCTCCATTGGTCGTCTTTCAATCGATATGATTCGTTCCAACGTACCTGGACCACCCTGCCTGTCCTAAATGTTCTGCGTACATCCTTCCCATTGCACCCATTCCGATGAGACCAATTGTTGGCTGGAGATGAGGCGCAGAGGCCGGCGAGGCATTGGAGGGGACATTTATGGGCAGCTTGGCGTAATATCCGGCGGTACTGGGTTCATTCCTCTCTGTAGTCGACATAGTGTTGAGCGAAAGCGCGCTGGCTGACAAAATCGAGTCGATCAAGCCAGTCCAATCCACAACGAAGATGAGTTCGAGAGTCGAAAGAAACGAGTACAACAGGTCTTCGACCTAGCATAACAGGACCTGTATGTTAAAGCCGCGCAAACGAAGATTGAGAGTCAAGTTTCTTGTCGTCGTTTCTGCATTATGGGCGAATTAGATATCTTCGTCGACTGAATTTCGTCCAATCGACTATTGGTTCGGCGGAAGCCGAATATTCAGGCTCCGAGAGAATGTGTGGAAGATAAGATAAGATGACACACTCTCATTCTCTGCGAATTGTAGTACTTATTAAATTATTCATTTAGGTCTGAGAGAAGGAAGCTCAGTGCGGCTCAAACATCCAGGGCTTTCACTATTAACAAGGCCTCAGCCACTCCTACTCATCGCCCTACTGTGCGCCTTATTTTAATCAAGGTTTAATTTTTGGCGTAGAGATAGATGCGACGATCGAGCAGCAGAAGACGGGAAATAAATTGCCATCCAATCTTGTGAACAGTCAAATGTAATCGATTCATTCAGCCTCGTTCACCTACGTAGGTTTTCCTAGTCGTCCAATGAATGCATTCGGAGAGCTTAGCCACAATGCTGCAAAATAAAGACTCTCTTCCAAGGGTTTCGCGAGAGTTTCGACGAAGCTGAGTCCAGCACCAGTGACAGTTCATGAGGGAATTTCTACACGAATCGGTTGTCGATCCACAGACCGAGTTCTTGGCTACCCAATAATAACGACCACGCCCCGCACGCGGGGACTGGATGGCCTCGCAACTCAAACATGATGCTAGGCCAAGGCCACGCCCGCGACAGCACGACGTCAGACATCCCAGTTTGCAAGAGTCAAGAGAGTCCAGACTCGACCAATGAACCTTCGAGTCCAGCTAAGTAAGAGAAGAGTTGTCATTTGTCAAGAAGGATGATGGATCCGCGCCTGTTCGTTCCAAGGGCTCAACTGCGTACAATCGCGGGAGGGACACAAGCTTATTTTCGCCACTTGGCCCTCGGGCTAGAAGATTGAATGGCAGGTCGCCGTCGCCTTTGTTGGTTGGTGCCAGTAGTAGGATCTCCCCGACGACGTTTGACGGGGCAGCAGGGTCTCGGAGAAACAAGGGGGAAATTGGAGTATGCAGTACAGCATACTGGGGTCAAGAAGATATGTAAATTCGAAATTGGGAAGAACTGAGGGACTGAGGGGATGCGGGAGGTCCGGTCTGGATACAACGCGCCGCGAGCCAGCTGTCCAATGAAGGGGAGGAAAACTTGTGCTGATACGTGGAGGCTTAAGCCTTGCATTTGTAATAAGTCGAAGCTTCATCTGCGGTTCATTAGAGTACCAATAATGCGGAAAATGAGCTTGTGAAGAGAAGGATGGGCCCCACATATTAGGCCGCTGATGAATCTCGGGATCTACGCTGTAGGGAGTAACCCTATCAGACGTCTGATAGCAGGAGATTAGACATAGGCAGAGGGGTGAAACGAGTCGTTCCGAGTGGTCAACTCTCTGATCACTCCACTACACCCGTTCATCGAAGTGTGCGGCCAACAGACAAATCAGAGGTTCGGTGATCTTTCATGAAGAGACAGCATCGAAATGATGAAATAGAGACGCCATAGGCTTGGTTGCACGCTTCAACTCGAAACATAGAGCGGAAACCATATGAGCGTAGTGTTCGCCATCCACTGCAAGTCGCCGGCGTGAGGGAAGCGCGAAAGCGAATAGAAGAAAAGAACTTCGACGGGCCCCATATAAGTGAGGTAAAGAGATCGTCGCAAGCTTGCTAAGTGCCCGAGAACGTAGAAGAGGGTGAGGTATCCACGTCAAGGATGCGCTCGAGCCGGAAGGAAGCAAATTGAAGGAATTACGCAGCGATATGTGCAATCTACTAACAGCACAACGCATGATCGAAGAAGGAACACAGAGACAGTCACAAGTTCCCCAGAAGAAACGATAATATGCACAGACCAGATCCCCCGAGCCACCTTTCGTGCTAGAAATATACCCGTCATCCTGACCAGGAGCAAGCTTCTTTGGAAACAGTCAGTTCCATCGGAGGCGCTGGACAGGTCCAGCGTTCCAACAGTTAGGAGTAAATAGAGGTGGGCTCTTCACAGAAGAAATCTGGACAGCCTGCCAGCTGTCGTTCCCGCGAGAATTGATACGTTCCAGGAGCGTGAGGGCCTCTAGGTCGAAGGGTTCGCTGAATTTCCAAGGAAAGTGTACGTCTAGGCTCTAGTTCATTCGTCTTTCAAGCCCGAGAGGTGGTCACAATTCGAGAGGTCGCAGTTAGAATCGATTGACGTGCTTGTCGATGTTTAGGCTGTGGGTAGTTCTTCCTCCATCTGTCTATAATTTGGCGAGAGTCCTGGTGGTTCGGTTTGAATACGGGCTACCTCGCACCTGGGTTGAACTTGGACGAGAAGACGAAGGCGGTAACAGTTGACAGCAGACAGCAGACATAAAAGATCCCGAAGTCTTCACGTAGTATGCAGATAGCCATTCCTGCGAGAAGCTCAAATGTCATCCAGGGTCTGACTAATTTGCGGAAGAAGAAAACAGGAGCGCTAGAGTGTCCAACACCACGAACGCCGGCGGGATCAAGCTCCACTCTGACGTTTGCACTTGAGAAGAAACCTAAAGCAGAAGGGATAGGGCATTGAGTCGATGAGCGCAAGAGCTGTTGGGTACAGATAAAAATACATGCAGGGTCCATTTGTGAGGGACTGGTAAGAGAAAGACTTGAATCCGAAAGTGTCCGTTCAGAATTGATTGACGGTGCCCTGTCTCCATGAGTCGAGAATAGGGCGAGAGAATCAGTGTAATCGCACCAAAGGATCAGTTCGAGTGATGTGCGCGGTGAAGCAGAGTTGCACGGGAAGGGAGAAATGAGTGTTATTCGCAGAAAACAAAGTGCCGTCCATGTCCATGCCCCATGAGTCGATAATTGGATGAACAGAGAACACCGGTGTATTAAAGCCCGGCGAAGGATGGATTGAGTCGGGTGAACTTGAATAACTAAGACGAACTGTTGACAGCTGGAAAAGGCTCGAACACACCTTTATGCCTGCTTCAGGCTTCAGAGATTCGCAGGGCAAACGAACGGCCATTCTCGTTCCGACCGCGAGAAGTTTGAACCCCTCTCGTGCCAGAGGAATGAGCAAGAAAATGAGAACCTAAGAATGTCTCGCAAAATGAGAGCCGGCGGTACAGAGCTCCACTCTGACGTTTGTATTTGGGAACTGAAGGAACAACCTCATGGTTGGTTGGATGTCGGCAGGAAGTCTCGCGGGTGAGATACAACCTCAGTGTGAAGCTTGTGAAGTAAAGCAAGTCGAAGAGAGCACACATGGGAAAGAGAAGTGCTGCGCTGAAAGATTCCTGCACGGAATTTCCCATCTTCACATTTGTAGAATTTCCTCCATCTGTCGATAATTCGATAAGCGTAACCGCAGATACGTGTTGGAAGAACCCTCAGCGCAAGCTCGGCCTCGTACCTCAGATCACAGACCTCAGTTGCTCAGCACAGAGGTGCAGTGAAACTGAAGCGAGAGGTAACGGACATCTGCAAACCATAACGTCCACCCCGCAGCATTTCCTCCTTGTGTTGCTCATTGGATGAAGGCACCGGTGTATTCAAGAATGTCTGAAGGACCGGTTCGGTGAGCTTGGACGGTAAGTAAGATGAAAAGACGACCAGATCAGTTAACAGAAAGAAAGGACCCGAACCCTTTTTGCACAAAGTAAAGAGGATGACCATTCTCACCAGCGGGGGGCATGGTCGTCTTCGGAGTACAAGGCGAATCTGCAGGCCTTCAAGCTTCAAGTCGTGCAAGACCAGGATTCGACGAGAAAATTCTACAATGAGCCGTTCTATCAGAATCTCTCCCGAAATACTTTACCCCGTCTGTTCGAACAAAGACGAGCTGTCTAGAGCGAATGAAGTGATTTTTGCGCCGCATTGGTCAATTTGAACGTAGTAGAATGGGCGAGAACGAGGCGCGACTCGAGTAGCAAGGTCTGGAGCCCGAGAATCGGCATGTAGGCGACGTGAACGCTGAGGTGGTTGCGATAGGCGAAGCGTGCAGTAGTAATATATCCTAGACTGTAACGAGGAGAAAGGCGAGATAGCGAGCGAGTGCAGAGTAAACGGGATAGATCAACGAGAAGGCAACCGAATGGACGAGCGAGCCGGAACAGACAGGGCTTTTGAATTAACACCGAGAATCTGAGTCGGTAAAAGGGGAAGCAGGGACACTCGGAAGCACGAAGGGCCCAGAGAATCAGGACTCAAACGCCAATGAAGCTCGAACTTCTCGAAGCCCGCAATGACAACGATTGTGGCGTTCCGGGAATAATGGTCATTATTTCGTGATGGGCCGTGGACTGCATTCCAAGAACAGTCGAACAGATTGGACAGGCGAAGACTAAGGATCGTCCTGCTGCTACGCCTCGCCTGCATTACAGAAGGATGTCAGCGGTTTAGCATTTTGAGTGTTTGATGTCCAGGGTTTGATGAAGATAGGACAACAGAGGCAAAGGAAGGCAGGTGTTGGACATGGGAACCGAGGAAGATCTAGGAAGGCGTGAGGTGAGGCTAATCTGCCATGCCCACGAATTCGAAGGAAGAGTACACACCGGAGGAGGCAAACGCAACCATCCTGACAATCTCCTGGCAGCCAGCAGGCAAAGAGACGGGACAGGGAGGCGTAGCCGCACGCACCAGCTCAACAGACCAAGAGGGGGTAAGAAATATGATTTCTACGTATGGATACGAGGCGAATTGGAAGCTTTAGACCCTCGGATGGGCCGCGAGTGCCACGACCGCGAGAACCGCGTCTAAATTCGTAGGGGTGCGCTTCTGGAGTTAAATGGCACCAGATTGGAGACAAGGAGGGTATTTTTAAAACAATCCTTGTCTAGCCAAATTGCACGGAAGGAAGGAGGTTGTGACGAGGAAGACGGGCAAGAGGGCGCCGCATATCCGGGTAAGGTCCGTATGAGGTCCAGAACGTGCGGACTGTTGTTCACCAGAGGCAGTTGGGTTGAAACTGGTTCAAGGAACGACAGAGAAAACGTCGGGTGTCAAATAAGCGTCAGAGTTGTGTTGAAGGAGTTTTGTTTGAGTTTCCAGGATGACGAATCGGTATCTTATCTTATCTCTGCAAGTGTCGACATCAACCAGCACAGGACTCGTTGAGGATTCGTCCTCTTGTTCTCTTTTATTCTGACGACACTTCAGCGGAATCAGAAATCCACTGGGAGCTTATCCGTGCCCGGGCCGTGCACTGGTGTTCCATACTCTTCATCTTTGAGGAAGAAACTCGAGTGGCGAATTCCACATCCGAAATGGCTCTCCCCTCAATATCGTCCCTCTCTCATGACCTTCTGTACTCAATATTCTTCCTCAATGCTGATCTCGACCAATACTACGTGCTTCAAGAGCTTCAAGAGGGCAGATCTCATAACCACCCAGTTCTCTATGACGATGAAGATACAGATAATGAAGAAACGCAACGCAAGCCTTCCGCGCAGTTACCTAGTTCTCCACCTATCCAAATGCCTGCAGAGCAATCGTGGTATGCCAATCCGTTCACCTGATTCTACCTTGCTACTTAATCCCTCTATCTTTCAGGCGTGAATTCCTCTTTTGCCATCCGCTATCGGTGCTTCGACGAGCTTCCCAAGTTTGCTCCCTGTGGCGAGGAATCATTCTCTCAGCACCCCTTCTCTGGGGCCAGCTCATCGACATTGATGTCTTATTCGTATCACACCGGGATTGGATCGCCGAGGTCCTCTCCCGATCTGAAGGTGCTCTCCTTCATGTTCGCGCGCGGCGAGAAACCCATCGCCTCCTGTCATTCGATCTCCTCTACAACAACCTAGACCTGGCATCGAAATACCTCGATTTCACTGGGAGGGTTGTCGAGGAAAACTGGACAAGGATCCAGAAACTAGATGTCCGTTTCGACCGCTGGATGGGTTTTTGCGAGGTCGGATTTAGGGATCGGACGGACGTTATCAAACAGCCCACTCACGTACTGGAGTATTTCAACTTGAAGATCGAAGACAGCAAGAATCTCAACTGGAAGATCCAAGACACTAAGATCGCATTTACCCATTCAGCTGGCAAACTTCGGCATTTCCACGCATTCAGCAATATTGCCTTCTCGATCCATGCACCTTGGGTGACCACGCTACACACGTTGGAGCTTGTCCAGTCTGCACCCCCCTGGTCAATATCGGAACTCGTCACGATTCTCCAGAAGATACAGCGTCTAGAAAAGTTGTCCCTGGCAGTAGCTTGGAAGCGCGTGGAGAATGACGTTTGCATAACACATCCTCGAACCAAACTCCCTCATCTTAATAGCGTCAGCCTGTGGGATATGAGCGCCGCGGGCTGTGCAGTCATACTCGAAACCCTCGTTCCAACCCATGTACGCCACTTCTATACCAAGACTTATTACCCTCAATCTGAAGCCGAGATACGCGCTCTTCGAAACGCCATTCAAGCCTTCGCCCTTGACCGCCAGTTCGGCAAATACCTGACACTCCAGGTCTTCTTTACGGACGGGCAGTTTGAATTCTTCGACAAAGACCCGGCTCCGAACACATCTTTCCAACTTTCAGTACAGCATCATATCGGCGTCTCGCACACCACTGTCCCTCCTCAGATGCGCGACGAGTTCATGGAGGACTTGTTCCGTATCTTCGCACAAGGAGACTTTAAATATACGCGTTATTTAACACTTGGACCTGGATTTGACACCTTGGGGCCTCGCGTGCCGAATCATGCCCGGTCAGAGTTGTTGAACGCTGTGCGTCTACTCTTCCAGGCACTTGACAGGGTAACCGTGGTCTCGCTTCCTGGATACATTATCACGGTCCTCCACACGCTAAGTCGGCGTGAGGCCACCAATGAAGGACCAATTTTCCCCTCGCTGCGTCGACTGGTATCGATGAATTGGTGGGAAGAATTCCCCGCTGCTACCCGAGCATTTTATGCAGCTAGAGGGCAGGAAGGACATGCCCCTCCTTGCCTCGATATTGGTAATAGCTATCTCCAGAGCGACGTGTCGACGCTGAATGACATCACTGGCCTTCAGCTCCTGTACAACAGAACAGATGGTCGCCGGGGCTCATATATATGTGGTGGGATCTGGCCGGAGTCTCTGAAGCCGGACTTGGAGAAGGCTGATGGGTTTTACTCTCAGTTTCGTACTGAGGAAATCGCAGACTATGCATCATGGGCTGCTCACCTAGCGGCAAAGCTCGGAATCGTCATTCCAGAAATTTTGGGAAATGTCTAGTATAGCGTACCATTTAAGTGAGACAGAATATACACTGCCCTATATGATGCTCGTTTGACCGCTTTTCTTCTTGCCGGATCTCGCCGTTGTCGTACTGCGCTTAGCATATTCAGGAGCTCTTCCTGCATCAGTCGCAAAGCATGACAGCTTATAAGACCGATTATTTCTCGCCGTACTGTCGGAATATCGGCTACCTTCTTGAGGTCACTCGTCCACCAGAGCTCACTAAGAGGATCGACGGCCTTGGCGATACACTCCCGATAATATTCTCACGACCCATCGTTCCTCCGAAAGCATCCGTCCATTTTTGACCTGTTTCTCGACCAACCAACCACCATCCACGAAAATGGCAAGCATCGCGTCCTTCTTCTCCTCATTTATCTCGACAACCCACGCCGACTCGGAGGAAAAGGCGGCAGCCGACACTGAAGTCGTCGTCGAGGAGCAGGCTGAGGAGGAGGAGCCAGAGGATGTACGTGTCGCGCTGCCGGTTTGGTTTCCTCGGAGGTGCCGCGAGTTCTAATATGAGATATTGTGCTGCAGCTCCAACCTGTCATCCGCGACGAGTGCAAGGCGTCAGCGAAGTGCGCTGCACTGACGAAACACTTCGAGCATTGCCAAGAGAAGGTTTCGGCTGGTGAAGGTTTCAAGGGAGAGGATTGCGTTGAGGAACTGTGCGTCTTGATGCTTTCATGCGTTGCGAGTTGTTGCTAATGCGTGTCTGTCCGGTTTTCATCTATCTAGATGTAGGTGCCAGTTTGCTCCGGTCCGATCTCTTCTTGACTGAATTACACTGTGCCTCTCCGATTCCAGTCCAGTAAGTCCTGTTGCCGAACCGTCTGATGAATTCAAGCTTAGGCGAATCGTCTCTCTGTCCAGCATGATGCACTGTGTCGATGTTCGTGTCTTCAACTCCGCAACGTGAACCTCCGACTGACAAAATCACAGGATTGTGCAGGCCCGAAGCTTTTCGCCAAGCTGCGTTAGATTAGAGAAGTAGCCAGGCCCATAGCCTTCGTCAACAGTAGGTACGCTGCCGCCTTCAGCCCTTTTTGCTTAAATTCATTTGGTCAGATAGGGCACGTTGTCGTATATACCACCTTCGGTTCAAAACCCACAACCGTATGGTGTGGTGCATTAATCGATACAAAGTTTTATTTTTGAATCACAGGCTCAAATGGCGACATATAACCGGAGGAAAGACGAACGTCTGATGGTGAACGGTTGAGATGAGACTGAGTGATAAAGAGAATCGTCCGAACTGGTTTAACCCATCCGTCTTTTCAGATCCGTCTTTCAGTAAATCCTTACGGAAGAACTCTTGCAAATACAATCTCACCTCCAATGCGTCAACCACAACTGGAGAAAGAATCCTATTCATTCCGGAGACGAGCCCGAGCAATTCACACCTCTCTTTCCATTTGTCTTTTCCAAAGGATGCCCCATGATCGGCTTAATTTCATGGGTCATTTTCTCTCGCGCTCCCCAGCGCCACTCCGATGGGAGAGTCGTGCAATGCACCGCTGCCCACTGATGATTCAGACCCTTCCATTTTCTTCGTATGGATTTTTTCCTCCCCTGGACGAGGCCTGACTAATTTGTTTTTGCCTCCACGCCTCAGTCGCCTCGTGTACGATCAGGACCGGCATTGCCACCTACGGACGAGGACACGATGCAATCATTGCCGGCGTTGATCATCTTGACGGCACCTGGTGTTGTTTCGTTAGGGTCGCGACGGCACCAACGCTTGTATACTTTGAGGTTTTGCTAGCGACAATATTTCTATGAAGGTCGTGGCGCCCGTCTCGCGGCACCTTTGCGGCCGCGTCGTTCAAGTGAGGTTCTTTAGCACTACACTCCCATTGAGATTTCCTTAGTGATTTCCAGAGCAATTCTGCAAGTTCAAAACAACGTCGGTGCCTATGCCTGATAAAGCTTCTATCAGCGCGCATGCCGTAACTGGCGTGAATATTGTGCGAGGCGAGCTCGGGATTGGCGTTGCACGCGAGGTCGTCGTGGTCGGTGCTGTGCATGATCGCCTCTGCGGGCGTTTAATTTCTCGCAGCAGCAGTATCGCGCCTCAGTTGGATTGCTGTGAGGTCGATGATCATGATCATGTTGTTTATTCACCACCGGTTTATTTCCGCTCCGCTCCAGCCTCGGCACCAGCCTTCGGAATCCGGTTTCCTGACGGTTGTGATTAGCCCTCCTCATTCGTCCCATCTCCACTCGCAGACTCAGGGTTAAACACGTCGCCCAAGATCCTACCCACCTCAAGGCTGGTCGGCTACCTTTCCTGTGACCGTACATGCGCTATTCACGCCTCCCCATGGACATTGAACGTAGGACTGTTGATAGATCAGCAATTTCGATGAGCGCTGAGCGTTTAAGCAGCGCAGCGCGTGCCCCGAGTACGACAGGAAAGATTTCAAGCATATACCTGGGGAAGATAATGGCTTCGCGGGCGGTGACTTGTCTATGAATATACAGATTCTAGTCACAGAAGACTCATACCATCATTTTATCTTTGTATTGTTCGTTCTAAATTTGTGATCGTCCTCATCATCCTTCTCATCGCCCTTGCCCATAGCGTCATACAAGGGCCCACGAGATAGTCTCAATAGCAAGTTCTCGACGACTCGGGATTTTCGAACTAGTGCGGCAGTTGCAAATGAGTTGTTTCTCCTACCAACTGCCAACTATAACGGCTACGACGACTGCTGAAGATTTTCCGGAGCTGAGGACTCGACCCCAAAATTATTGCAAGGCTCGAACGAAAAGAGCCTCCTGGATTCACAGGACACCTGGCTTCGAATTCAGTCCGCACGTGAAGACAACTCGCCCTTCGCCCATGCCGAGCGCACCTCAGGCCTTCTAAGTCGGTACCTGTTGCTGCATGTTTGAGCTTCAGCGAAGGCATTGGGGTACGAGGCAGTGTTCGTGGAGAAGCCGTGCGTCCTCTCGCCCTCGCACTGTTGGGGCGGTGGGTGGAATATCCCTCCAAATTACACGCAAATCTGCCATCGGGCGCAGTGCACCCCCGAAATTAGTGGAGATCGTGGGGCCTGAGGTCTGAGGGCATATCTCGTGTCTTGTTGCTCGTGAAGCACGAGTTACGGCGAGGAAAGCGGGTTAGATTTGATTGAAAGCATCCCAAGAAGATAAGGCGCATCGCGCGATCATGATTGTTGGCGCTGGGGGTTGACGGACGCATACGTTGCAGGTATGTTCCATTTTTCAGAGGTTCTCCAAGACCAATCGGTCTCTCCTTGTTGATCAAGATACGTACAATTCAGGTGCATTAGACGGGAGTCGCCCCCGCGAGGCACAAGGTTTCGGAGGGTGGACATACGATCGCGTATCCCCGTATGTGGTGGCAATGACCCAGGGTCGCATCATTGGTTGAAGTTTGCGTTCCCTCCAACGCCGATGCCTCAAAAATGGACCGTATCTGTGCGATGTTCTTTCTTCGTGGCGCCCTTTTGTTCTACGTCTGCGGCTTGATCATCGACGACGTCCTTCTGTCTCCTCTTTCATAGCCCTTCTGTCGTCGTCTTTGGAGCATTCTCCTATTTGCGCGGATCGGCCAACGTCACTGGCCTCTTCGTCGTATTCGAGGACATTTGTCGTCCGACTATTCATCTACACAATCCAGTTTCTTCTTCGGCCTCGTTGCGACTTCCGTCATGGCCCCTCATCTGCTCATAAGCCTCGCCGAACCCAGCTTAGACAACACGGTCGGCGCTGCTCTCCTCGGTGTAGTTGCTGCTGCATTGTATGCCTTCTGTATCTTCTTTCTTCCTTGTACAGAGCTGATCGATTTACTCTAGTCTCTTCGGAGTCACTACATTGCAAGCGTATTGGTACTATCATTCGTATCCAAACGACTCGCTTCTGCACAAATGCTCAGTAAGTCTGCAATATTGCCTTTTCCGATGACGCATATTCATGGTTTTTTTAGGTCGGAATCCTATGGTTCGTCCTTGATCATGCATAGATTCCCCCATCACTCGTCTGAGATGGATCACATTTATCAGGATGTTGGACGCTTTACATCTCGCCCTGACGCTGCATGCTGTGTACACCTATGCCGTCAAAGGGTTTGGAGATGTTCTTGGGCTAACGCATATAGTCTGGTAAGCATAGCCCGAGATGAAGATTGTCATGCTCTTGAAGCTGATTCTCTCATAGGTCAATCAAGGTATGTCGCAGAGAACAATTAGAAGCCATCGACATTAATAGACGCCGGGGCACAGCTTCAAGTTAGCTTCAACGTAGTGATTGTCTTGATCGTTCACAGGTCTGTCCAGCTGTCATGCATTCATGCCTCGAAGATTGTCTCTCTGACCCGCTATCAATAGTTTGTATGCGCTCCGCGTTTGGCTGCGTGCGTCATTTTTCTAGTCGTAGCTTCGGCGTCCATTCATGTTGCTCTAGTTGGCGGATATCATAGGGGTGTCCTTGGATATCTAGTCGCATCGGTGGTAGCTGGTGGTTTCGGTGAATCAAGCATTCTATTATTGTAACCCCCAGACACTTACTGACCGTCACGTAGTGATTGGGATCGTCCTCGCATATTCAATGTTTGTCTTTTCTTCGGGATATGATAGGACCCTTCTGATGCCGTTCTCTCAAAAAAGATATACCGTCGACACCTATCCCCAGCTTGATTCGGTCTCGGTACGTTGTACTTCAGCCGAATGGCCCTTAGACCAAAATTGATAATTTTTATTCATGTAGTGGACAATCTACGCTGCGCTTGGGACTTCAACCACTATCGACTTCGTTCTCGCCGCTGCCATGTGCTACTATCTACGAAAGAGCAAAGGAACCATAACGCGGTCAGCAAACCTCCGTTCCATGGTCTCGGGACCGTTTCTTATCCGACAAGTATAGATTGAACTCGAGGATTTCCGTCATTATGCAATACACGCTGGGATCTGGCCTCTTCACGAGGTAAATTTGGCGTCTTCCACGTCTTCCTGGAAACGTTCCTTATTTCTATTTACAGCGCGTGTTCGCTCTCCGCGATGTTCCTTGTAGGCAGCCAATTCTGAGCCTGTGGAAACGACTCTAACTATCACCTTCTGCAGTACATTCTACTCCCTCACACGCTCATCTTCCTCGGGGTCCAATTCCTCCTTACGAAACGTAAGTCTCAAACCATCTCCTAGATTCGCCTCTTACTCATCTCCCTTCGAACCATCGGCAGTATACGTCGGCTCCTTCCTCATCATGCTCAACGCGCGCGAGCGCAAGACCGTGCAACAGCTGACCTACGAAACCGTGAGCACCGACGCCTCCTGGCAACACAAGGCCCTCAAAATCCGCACCACCTCCAGCTTTTGGAGCCCGAGTCCGCAGTCGCTGGCATCGCCCGTATCCCCCGTAAGTCCATCCTCCGAGAGGCCCCAGCGCGGCTGTCCACATGCAGCGCGTTCGGGGTTGCCTTTGAATTGCTTTGTTGTGATGACAGTCGGCTGATGGTTTGTTTCTTTATTGGTTTTGCCTCGGCTAGCTCTCGCCTCCGACGACGTTGGTCCCGTCACCAGCGCCTACCTATCCCTGGCGTTGATCCGGGTTCGAGGCCCGCCCCGCCTTATCAGACTATATTCGCCATCCCGTTGGTTGAGAGGCGCGGGAATGACTTGAACGCATCTTGACATTGATTGTCTGTGCAACGCCAGTGCTTCTGCATGTATCATCACTCCAACCATGCCATACGCTCAATCACGCTCGTTGGAATCCCGATTCAAGGAACTGTAACAATACTACACTATCTCTCCAGGAGAGATCATTCATTCACTCATCTATCACTGTCGGTCATTCGTTCATTCATCCAACCGTTCGTTCACCTCCGTTCCTTTTCCCTTCTAAGTGCATGTACCTTTCTCCGACCTTCGCACCCCATCTTCGTTCGTCTTCTTTTCCCGGTTCCTCAATTCCACACACTCTGTAAGCCTAGCTAGTATCATGTGTATCCTCGTGTATTATACTATACCATCACAAACTCATCTCGTCTAAGCCGCTATCTTACATGCTCACGTTCTACGTATGTAGTACTTCCACCTCCACGCTTCCCCACCTTCGACTACCGATTTCTCCCAAGCAGTCACAATCGCCTCATCTCTCTTCCGCTCGTCATATGGGCGACGCAAACGTGTTGCCACCACCTTCGAACAGACCTTCTTGTACTCTGGACGTTCCTTCGCTGTTTCTTGGACATTTCTTGGACGTGCCTATTGACTGTTGACCGCTGACATCTGAATCCTTCAACGCACCGTCGTGTTCAACGTTTCACCCATTCACCCTTCGACGTCCAACCCATCTAACCGTCTCCGGCTTCCTGGGGTCCAGTGAGAAGCCTTCGCATAACTTCACAGGAACGGCCCCCGCATGAAGGAGAAGGAATAATGATAGGCTTTAAATTGCAACAGCGGACAAACGACAAACAGGTGAAGCGAAGGAAGGGGTCGAGAGCCGCCTGGTGTCTGATAGCCTTTCATCTACGACCAAATGAGAGGATCTGCATGGGTACGTACAATTCGTACCAGCCAGCCGGGCAGCGTGAGTGCGAACGCGAAAATAAAACGTCAACGCTAAAGGCATCCGACCGGGGACAATAACGACGACCTATAGCCTCCAGCGGATTGGGGCGACGGGGTGCGTGGTTGCGAATTTCAACGGAGACCTTGGGAGATTGGGATCGCTGATCGGCGTGGCGAACTTGTCCAGGTAAAGGTGTCTAGAGTATGTAGATCTTGTGTGCTCAGTGCTGGGAGGTTGAGAAGCGGAGCGTTCACGTCCGCGTTAGGATGCTATATAGCTCCAGCCAAATATGTTGAGTAATTCAGGTTGGGAAGTTGCCTGCGAGGAGAGGAAGAGGAAAGAGGAAAGCGTAAACATCGATTAGCACGCGGAACGAGACAGATGCGATACCAAATACAGCGAAAAGAAAAACGAAAACGAAAACGTATTACGAAAGACCAAACGAGAGAGGAATAATCACATTTTTGCATGCTCGTCTCCTCGCAGCCCAACCACTCCAGCCGCCCCCTCGCCATTCTACCCGACCCTAACCGCTCAATCGTTAAGTACCTGCCCAACCTACCTGCCTGCTGGGCAGCGTGAGTGCCAACACCGAAAATAAACGGCTTAAAGCGTCCAGTCATCCACATCCGACAACAACAACAGCCTAGAGTATACATAGGCTCCAGCGGATTGGAATTCGGGCGACGGGGATGCGTGTGTTGCGAATTTCAACGGAGACCTTGGGACTCCTCCATAGGGCCGCTGATCTGATCGGTGTGGCGGGGTTTTCCAGTCTGTCGGGCAGGTATCTGTGGATGGATGGATGGGAGGCCGTCGCCATAGCCGTGTCCATATCCGTGTCCGTGTCCGTGTTGGGGTCCTCAAACGCTCGCGGCTCCAACAATAAAATCATCTAGAATCTAGATTGCGAAGTTGCGATTTGCCTGCGCTGAAAAAGGAGAGCACAAGAAGTCGATTAGCACGAGTGAACAACACAGCAGCAGCGGTAAAACCCAACACCAAAAAAAAAAAAAACAAAAAAAAAAACAGCAAGTAAAAAAAAGAAACGAGAGAGGACCCGAAAACATACGACGAAAAATTCAAAACGAGCGAGAGGAATAATCACATTTTTTTCACTCGCTCCGCACGTCCAGCTTCCAGCTTCCCCTCCCTACCCTTCCATAATCCACTCGGCCGCTCAATCCCATAAGCAGGTTCCGTGGACAGGAGGTTGAGCGCTAGAGCGCTAGCTGCCTAAAGAGAGAAATGATAATAGTTGAGGTCCTCAAAACGCTCCAACGATAAGATAATCCGGGGTGCACAAAGTTGCGAACGTCCCAATTTGCCTGCGAGCGCTGAGCTGAAAAAGAGCACAGAAAAAAGGCGCAAAAAATCGATTAGCACAGCACGATAACAAAAAAAAAAGGATACAAAAACAACAAATTAAAAACGAAAGAGAACCCGAGAACATACGACCAACGAGAACAGAGAGGATGGAGGATAATTACATTTTTCTGCCCGTCTCCCCCTTTCCCCTTCCGTCCTCTCCCCGCCGTCTCCTCCTTCACCCACCCTCCCAAACCTAGCTAAAAGCCGACGGGTCCCTAACCATCGCATCCTCACATCCCAACCACTCCAACCACTCCGTCGTATGGTACAGCGCCCTCCTCTTCGGCCACTGTTCCATCTCTATCACCTGGCCTCCTACGCCCACGCCTCCTCCTAGCCCACCCATACCGCCAACGCCTATACCATGTGCGGAGGGTCCCGCGTGCGTGTGCGCACCGCTGTGGGTATGCCCGGCGTGGACGGCGTGCCCACCGTGCCCACCGTGGTTATGTGCGTGGCTATGGCCGGCGATGCCCATGTTGGGCGAGGACGTCGACGAGGAGGGGTTGCTGTGTCTTCCCTCGGCTCCAGCGCGGGAGGAGGGTAGGGGGGTAGAAGATGATGAGGTGGTGGAAGACAGCGAGAGAGAGGCAGACAAGGAAGAGGAGAGACACGCCGACGCCGGGTCGGGTTTCCGCGCCGCCGTCCAGTAGTTGTTCCCTATACGCACGACGCGTACCATCGGAAAACCGTGCTCGAACACGGCGGAGGCGCTGCGGACGTTGATCTCGGAGAGGCCGATGAACCGCAGAGTTGGGGGGATGCCGTGGCGGAGTTGCTGGTTCATGAACGTAAAGGCGAAGAGAGAGAGTAAGAATAATTAAGAGTAATGAATGAGAATCCCCAAGAAACTTCAATACACCACTCACCTTCAAGAACGGAATCGGATCCCTCGCATTCGGGTTATTATAATCAATCGTCAACCGCAACGCCAGGACCGTCCTCGGGATCAACCACGACGCCAGCCCAGGCGCCAAATCCGCGGGGTACGTTATCGTCAATCCCCTCAAGCCCTCTAACGACGGCAGGACGCCCCAGATCGCCGCATCGAACCCGACGGCCTGCTGGACGGCCTCATCATACACCACTAGCTGCAAGCTCCTTAAGTACCGCCTGCCCCTCAAGAACTCCGCGATAGCGGGGAACAAATCGCGGTCCACCGTGCGCCGCCCAATGGCGTGCACGGAGAACGCAAAATGCCTAAGAAAAGGCAAGGCATGCGCCTGCCACCCCTGGTGCGTCATCACACTCCTAAACTGGCTGCTCGCACTACACCCCTCCAGCGCACAGCAGCTAACATCAAACACCTCCAGCTGCCGCCCGTTCTCCAGTATGTCCGCAAACGCATGCGAGCTCGGGGGGAAGTGCCCCGTGAAGTGGATGGTGGTGAGGTTGCGGATGCTGAGGGAGGGCGTGGGGAAGGTCCAGTGCGGGGATGGGTGCGGGGACTCGAGGGAGAGCGTTCGGAGGGTGGACCGGTTTTGCGAGATGAGGGTGTGGATGGTGGATGGGGGGGAGGAGATTGTGCCCGCGGAGTAGGCGAAGTGGGTGAGGTGACGGAAGTCGAGGAAGGAGAGGTCGGCGGGGCCTTCGGGGGATCTGTGGGGGTGGGTAAGAAGAGAAAGGGGGACAGAGCGTGAGAGACGGACTGGAGTGAAAGCCCGCGCAGACGCGGGCTCGTCGTTTGCAGGATGCGAAGGACGGGGACGATCCCTTCGCTCGTCGATGACAAGTGCACGTTGCGCAAGTTTATCAACTTCGGAAGCGCGTTCATCAGCATACCTGTTCATCCAAAACCAGAGTGTCAACACTCTTTCCCCAAAACCAGACAGATGCACGCACTCGTCTGGAAGGCCATCGAGCCGTCCTTGTCGCGTCTCGACGCATATATCCGGAGGGTCCGCACCGCACTCGCGAACGAAGGGTCAACAATCATCCTAGTCAGGATATCCGCGCTGCGCTGTGCATGCCTCGCATCCTCATCGCGGTGGTGCAGCTGCGTCGCCGACGAGAGCACGCGCTGGTCGGGTGAGTAGGAGTCGGGGTAGTGGGGGTCGTCGCCGTCGACGGAGGAGCAGAAGTGGAGGTCGAGCTCCCAGAAGAGCAGCTGGGACGCGATGCGCGAGAGGCAGTGTGGGACGAAGAGAAGCGCCTTGAGGTCGCGCCGGGGGAGATAGAGCGCGATTTCGCGCCAGATTTCGGTGGATATGCGTTCTTTGAGGTTCTGCTGAGGGAGTGGGGACAGGAGCTGGGTGACATGGGATGGGGCATGGGTAAGTGCGTGCGTTCTAGACCCCCCCCAGGAGGAGAATAAAAAATACCTTCTCTACGGTAACGGATCGCTGATGGAGCAGCGCCTTTGCTTCGGGGTTGTCAGGCTCTGCTGCGAGGGCGGCGTGGAGATCTTCATGGTGTTTTTGGAGGTAACACGGCATGCCCACCGCAGCAGAATGGGACGAAGAGCGAGGGGACCTACGTGAGGGACGTTCTTTTCAAGGGATGGGATGGGTGGGGCCAACGCACCTTCCTGAGCACCCAAGGGGGAGCCACCCGCCAGCCTAGCCCTCGCTCTGAGGATTCTCGCCTTTGCAATGTTTTCTGGACTGAGGGTGGAGACCTGCAGACAAGATTGGATCGCGTTCTCGATGACCGTTCGAGACCGGCTGTGGACCAGTCAGATGTCGTGAGTGGCTTAATTTGGGCACAACAACACGCACGCACCCCTCGATGTGCAGACAGCGCATAGCGTAGAGCAGCAGGTCGACTTTCTGGTTGTCGGAGAGATACGAGGCGACGTCCCGAATGCTGGCATCGAGGATCTTGGGGTTGAAGACGTCCATGGGGGGAGGGCGGGGACGGGGAGGTGAAGGAGGGAATCGCTGTGGAGGGCCGGGGAGAGTATAAGAGCCCCGGAAGTCGACTGCTGAGGTACACACTAGATGACAGGTCAACGGAAAGAAGAGTGTTCGGCGAATTCCCAGCACACAAACAAGTCAAGCACGGCCAATCCAAGATCTGTCAGCCCTCTCCACCAATCCCCGTCGCCCATTTATCCTGCAGGGTCTGGACCCGCCTCGGCCTTCATCTCGGGGCTTGGGAGGCGATTGGCTACTTTTAGACGCGCACTGACATCATCTCCGTTTCTGATACTCCACACAACGCCTTCAGCACGCTTACGCTTATTTGACGCCCGCCATTTTCTGCGCCGTTCCAACCGGTTCAAACCAACCACCCTCCTTGCTTTCAACGTTATGCCTTTACGGCTCGCGTTCTGGACCCTCACCCGGATCCGTGCCACCCTCTCGCCCGTACTTCCTCATCACCGTGCAATCTTTCCCAATCAAAGGTTACACATTTCCCTCCCTGGTGCCCGTGTGCCATGATCCAACTTCGAAACCAACCGAACCGGTGTACACAGAATCGTCACCGAATCTCCCCACCCAAGGTCTAGAGCCCTGTCCAACTCTTACCTCACCCTCACCACTCCGGCGGTTGTCAGCCCTCCGATTCGCCTCGCAAGTATCCACCCATACATCCTTCGTCGCCCTATTTCTGGTGCTCGTCAGCCCTTCTTGGTGTGCCGTAGGCCGTGGCCCATAGTGGTGGTTGTGCCTACGGCTACACACTCCACCCTTCTCACTTCTACATGTGCATCTCTCTTCCCGGATCTATCCCACATACGACGGCAACAAGTCTGTCAGGACCGTTACGTTACGGTGTGCCCACGCCCATGCCCACTCCTGTGCACTGTCAGCATAAACGCACATCCTCCCCTTCCCTTAAGCTTCTCTGGAATTACACTTGGCCCCCCTTCGACTTCGAATCCACCACAGACATGGGAAGAAAAAAAGCCTCACCTCACCTCAGATCCTTCCCTTCCTTCCTTCCTCGGCTCCCATGTCCAATCTCCTCCTTCCCTCGCGTATGCTGTCCTGTCCGGCGTTTGCCAATCACGTACTTACTATGTAACACCTTCCAGATTCCATCTCGTAAGTAACGCACCTGCGCGCAGCAGCAAGAAGAGCAGCAGCGTGATAGGTTTCCGAACCCCCCACCCAATCAATCGACGGTTCGACGGTTCGACTATTCCCGGAACACACTCAGACTGCCAGTGGGGCCCATCACGCATGTGCATGGAGACTTAATCTCTTCCCCCAGCCTGCACGTCACCGGCACCCTTCACCTCCACCTCCACCGGCGTGGCCCTTGTCATTCGCCATTCGTCAATGTCATCGTCCAATGTCATTGTCCAAATGTCAGCCTGAGGCTCGAAGCCTCGATCTTCGAGCTCATTTCGCATTTGAGCTCTAGATCTAAGCCCTGACTCCCGGGCCCTTCAAGCTTCATAATGATAATGCGAGCTGCGTGCTTCCGACCGGTGTCCATGTCCAACCTTCGCTTCGCTCTGTTCAGCACTTCAATTGCGTTCAAATTTCAATGCCTATTGGAACGCACGACGCACGACACTCGACGCTCGACGCTCGAAGGCAACTCAATTCAAGACCTTTGAATCGCATTCGTTCCGGTCCGTCCGTCCTTCCCGTCGTTTCCTCTCTCTCGCTACCTATCTAATGGTTTAGCTATACAGGATATATTACCACTGCACGGTGTAGCCACGATACCCATCCACATCATCCACGCCCCCTCACGCTCCCGATCCTCGGCCTCCAGACTTCGCACAATACTCAGGTCGCGCCTGCTCTCGCCCGTTCCAATATATCCAAACCGTCGAAACCGTCCAATGGAGACCGGTGAATTATCTCTTTCGTTGTCGACGCCTCGTCTTGGCTTGAGCAGAAGGAGCAAACCTTCATCCTCGCCTTTACCTTCGCGTCTTCGCCTATGCCGTCCTTTTTTTTTTTGCAAAACAAGTAGGTATAATAGCAAGAACTACCATCGGCTTCCCTTCCACCCAATCAATCGACGGCTCGACTCTTCTTGGAACGCGGTAGCCCCACGCTATGACCACTCCCTGCGCGTCAACAAGTATCATTGTTGGTATAAGCCTTGAGCTCGAGCTCCGTTGGCGTTTCGGTCCCAGGGACTGATCCCGAGTCCCTTCGTGCTCCCGAGCGCCCCTGCCATAGCTCTCTATTCGGTACTTCAATCCTCCTCAATTAAAGCACACGACGCCCGTTGATCGAAGTGCAATTCAAACAATCGTTCGTTCCGGTTCGTCCGTTCCTCGTTTGCTTGCTTCTCCGTCCATCCATCATCCATCGTTCATCTCTTTCAAGTATTCTATGTTCGCTAGCGCTAGCGCTTACCTATCTCATCGTTAATCTATCTAGGATACATTACCACTGCGCGCTTCGCGCTTCACCTATCGCGACCGCCTCAGGTTCGGCATACGTTAACGTTCATATCACCCTCGCTGGGCTCCCGATTCCGCTCATTTATCTTGTTTACTCTCTGTTCGGCGTTCGCTACCCGTCTCATCGTTGCACTATCCAGGATATATTACCACTGCACGGCGCAGACACGATACACGTTCATATCATCCACTTCCCCTCACGCTCCCGATTTTCGGCCCGCACACCTTGATATTGATACTCGAGGTCGCGCCTCGCCCTGACCCTCTTCGACGACCGCCAAAATCACCTTGGAAGTGGACCGCTCAACGAGGTAATATTAAATAATTACAATACCAGGCGAACAGGCAATTTATTAGGCTGCGGCTGCGGAAGGAGGAATGAATTCGCATCGTTCGTCCACGGTCCATCCCCATTCGAGCTGTGGGCTATTTGGACTTACATAGTCGTTTAGGCGCCCCAGCAACCCCCGACCGGTCATCTACCACTAAGTAGTCATCGAGATTTGCGCGTCGACTCGGATGTCCAGGACACTCGGGAGTCGTACAGACACACCCAATAGGTATCGGATATTCAATCTAGATCTGGTTCTCTGTCTCCTTGGATATCTCTGTCGTCTGCTTCGCCTTCATCGTCTGCTTCGGCCTTGGGCGTCTCTAAATTCAGTATGTATTGGGTACGTTGTTGATCATGACCAGACTGGACGCGCCTGATCTCTAATGGCTACCTGACCGCTACTCCCTGTATACTTTCCCCCGACTCGAGGTCAGGTCCGATGTCCGCCAGGACCCACACGTACTCCGACATGGCCCGACACTAGAATACTATGAGTCTACATAGGACGAGGATTGAACAGCCAGGGCAAGGGTCCGGTGTGACTGGCGGATCATCTACCTGCTCCACCTCGGACAGTAACTTCGGACAGTGGACACGACTCGGAGGCCCTGAGTTCAATTCAAGGTTGACGGTGTATCGTCTATGTCTATCGTGGTAGACACCGATGGTTTCGCTAGGAGGTGAGCATGTATCTATATTCGACTTGTCTTGTTCATTAATCCCCGAGCATTAACTCGTATGCGTTATTAATGTTTACTCTACAGTGCCCTTCCTGGAGTCTGCGCACGGCTCGAGCTCGGTCGAACCGACCCGCTTCCGAGTTGAACGCAACGGAGGCCTCACCTAGTCACTTAATTATCAACAGATGGAGCAAGAGCAGCAATTTGACCTGGTTGGCCGATTCCTTGCGGGTTCTGTACATCTCTCCACGAAATGGACTGTACACGGCTCTCCGCCTTCTCCGAGCAACGACGAACGGACTGGGTTCTCGTTGGACTTGCGCCTTGGTGAACCCAGCTGAGCTTCCGACGTGGACCACGCTGGCGCCTTCCAGCCCGTATCGACCCTCGAGCGCTCTCTGGCTCTCGTGGACGCTGTCATCTCTTTCCACTTCCACGGTGCAAAGCGACTCTAGATAGGCTCAGGCTCGGGCTTCTCGCGGGAATGCGAATGGCCATTTCCTTTCTCTGAAACACCTCCGGTTTTTTCTCAGTCTGTCAAGCGTGCCAAGGGTTCATTCTGTGCCTTCATTTTATCGAGGGTCGAGCTCAGCGCACAAGCGGCATCCGCTGTTGCGCATTTCATCAACTCATTCAAATTACCGACGGATGGAGAGAAGGATCCCACACGAACTGGAGGTGGAACATGAACGTGAACGTGTTGATCGGTCCACCCACCTTTTGCACTTCGCTTCGAGCTTCAGTTTCAGCTCTTCTCTTGAGCAACTCTATCACTCGAAGCTTCGCCGACTCGGAATCTCAGCGCTGAACACATCTTCCTACCTTTCGCCCGCCCTTCGCCTACGTCAGAGTGGAGCTACACACCGCCGGCTGCACACGCTCTGAATTCAGGGTGTAGGACGCTCTCTCGTTCCTCCCACTGCCCCCGATATCTTATCCTTCTGCAATCTTGGTATCCTTTCCCGCGACATGATGGACATTCACGCTTCTCGCGGGAATGCGAACGGTAATCCCTTTCCTTTGCGAAGAATTCGAACTCGGGGTCTTTTCTGTCCTGTCCTGTCAATTGAGGGATAACCGGTTAATGCCTTCGTCTCTTCGTTTTATTGTTCAAGTTCGACCGAGGTGCTTTGAAGAAAAGCCGAACCGATAATCCTTGGACATGGAATCTTTGAGTATCCGTGCACCCAGCCTATCTAATTATCGACTCATGGAGCAAGCACCACGGTGTCGATGCTTCACGGTCGGTTGACTCCGAGCGGGCGCTTTCGTTCAGCATACCCGTTCTGTCAGCGAGAACGCTGAAGCACTCTTGTCTAACCTTGCTCCGCCAACGGCCGTCCACCCTCTTCCTCAGACGTCACTGTGGAGCTGAACACCGCCGGCCTTCAATTTGGTGCATGGGACGTTTTCTACTTGTCGCCGGTCGCCCCTTGCGCACGCCCTGTCGTTCAAATTCTTTTGCCGCGATGTTGTCAGGCCCCTTGACAAGATGAAATAAGGTTCATGCGGGAATGGGAATAGCTTTCTGCTATATTTCAATTTCTCTGTGCGCCTTGAGGCATTCGGTCCTTTTTCGTCTGTCAACTGCTCATATGTTCGTCCTATCGCTTCTGACCGGACTGACCCCGCACGCCCCCCCCTTCAGCTTCAATGGTGATGCGCTTGAAGACGCCGGTAATGTCGTCCAATTATCGACGGATGGAGCAAGTTGTGCGTACAGGCTGGACTTCATTCTATCTACTGTGAACGGGTGTACCCTCTCACCTCCTGGAGCCTCTTGGCTGATCAACCGTTGTGGGAGGCGAAGTTCGAACAAATTATCTACTCATGGAGAAAGGGACTACCAGTAAAGCGAGGCTGCTGAATTGCAACCGCAGGCTTTCGGATTCGGCATGTCATCTCTTGGCACGAATTGGCTATGCGTTGGTCTTGGGTTGGATTGCTTTAAAGATGAGGAATTTCACTGGGCTTGCAAGTCAGCGAGCCTACCCGCGCCGTCGACCCCTGGCCATCTCCCAGCCTTGCTTCGCAGACGTCACTGTGGAGCCATATACCGGCGGCTGTTCACCGCTCTCAAGTGTGGGATCAAGTCGCTCTTGGTCTGTTGTTTTCTTTTTCCGTGACATTCTCTAATTGCGCTGCTCGCGGGAACGATAATGGATATCCTCTCTCCCCGATAAAGAAGACACCGGGTCTTTTCTGTCTTTCTGTCAACTGGTCGTCTCATTGGCATGAAGTTCACCGGAACGTAAATTATATCCTCATGCTCTTCAAGACACCGGTTACGCACATCTAATTATTGACAGATGGAGCAAGGATCAATACTATTGGGCGCGATAGAAGACCACTTCTCTCTTCATTTGCTCGCACCTAGGTACGAGGTGGCTTGAGCCGGTCCTTCAAACACACCCTGCCGCTACGCTTCTCGGATTTATCGACAAATGGAGAAAAATCCGCGAACGAAGGCGGTAAATTCCGAGCGGGAACGTTTCAGCGCAGGACTTCTCTCTCACATCCGTACTCTCTTATGTTACTTCGCAAGCTTCACGCTGTCCTTGTAGCTTGATCACCCGCGAGCCTTCCTGTCGACATCGACGTTCAACGCCGTTACCGTCCCTCTCTTCCGCTCTCAAATGCTCACGTCAGAGTGGAGCTTTGTACCGCCGGCTTTCAATAATGCTGTTCTCTCAGTTTATTCCTCAGTCCCCGGACAGGATTAAACTTCTCGCGGTCAGGACGCAGAAAGAGAATGGCCATTCGTTTGCCCTGTGCATCCCCACGCCTGCCGCAGGCGTGAGGGAGATGGTCTTTTCGCGTCTTTTCTAACTGTCAACTGTTCATGTTATTGTTTGAGTTCACCCGATTCGCCCGATCCTTCTTCGCGGTCCTTTCACCCAATTATCGACTCATGGGGCAAGGACCGTGGACAGCACTTTATTTACTGGATATGAAAGACATTTCCTTTGCGACTCTGCTCTGCCGCGCATCACCCGAATCAATCCTTCGATGCACTGTAGTTCACCGGCTCTCTATCCAATTTCCGACTCATGGAGAAAGGGCGACAGGCGGGATGGGCTTCATTAATTCCGAGCAGACGCTTCAGAATAGAGTTCTCTTTCACGAAGGGACTCTGTGTGCAACATTGCTTATGCACGACACGTCGACGGACGCGTGGTCTCTCAGCTTAGCTCGTCTTTCAGCCCAGCGACCCTTCTTTCGACATCAACGTCCGTACCCGCGTACAGTTCCTTCTCGAGTTCGAACGTCAGAGTGGAGCTCTATGCCGCCGGCGTTCGAGGCGTGGGTCGTTCTCTTGCGCTCCTGCTTTCTTTTTCCACAAAGGAGTCAGGCCCTGGATTACATCGGGCTTCTCGCGAGAAAGTCTATCTGCTTGCTCTGCAAAACACTCGGGTTGTTCCGCCTGCTGTCAACTATTACTGCGTTCATCTCCTTGTCCGAGTTCGACCGGGGTGCAAGATCGATGGTACCCGAACTGAACCTTGAATACACCGGGACTCTCACCGAATCATTGACAGATGGAGGAAGGACCACCCACGGCCCAGAGGTTGCACCTCTCAGGCTTGAAGCTTGAATAAACTAATCATGCACTTGCCTTGGAAAACTCGGTGAATCTTTCGACCCAGAACACATCCTCCATAACCAACGATCTTTCTCCTGTCGCTTCCCTCACTGTCAGTGGATCCCGGCCCACCGCCGGCGTTCAATGTGTGGGAAGCTCTCCCAAGCCCGTGTTTCTTTTTCCGCGACCCACACGTACTCGGAAGATATTAGCTTCTCCTGGGGACGACAGGTGGCAGGCTGTCCATATTTCTTCTGTGAAAGGGCCGCCTCTATTTACTCTTAACAGTTATATATACTTAATGCTGGACCTGCCCAGCGCCTCCGACCGAGCTGGCCGTCCGTCTCGATGTCCAACCCTCTTCCTTGCTTCGCATCGCAGACCTCAGTGGGGCAACATGCACTCTGATAAATACTGCCGGTAGTATGAGACACGCTGCCTGTTTTTCCGACGACAGTCAGGAGCGCAGTGATGCTGATCGAGCTTCTCAGAGATCGAGCACTGTGCAGAAGTATAATAAATTTCTTCTTTCTGGGAACGCAGCTTTCCTGTCTTGAAGAACCGTCTGCTACCACTCACACTGTTGTTTCGCTTCCGTACCTCGGCCTGTTCATTGATCTCTTTCACCTCCTTCATGAGACCAGGGGACCTGCATGCACGCGATTGCATCACCATAGGCCGGTTGTGCAGTCCCCAGCCGTTATTCATACGTCATCCCTGCTCTTGTAGGATGGTCTGGATTCTGAGTTGGGTGACTTCTTTGAACTTTCTTCTGAACGAACCTCATTTCTACGTCCAACCGTCTTCTGTTCTTCTCAAACGCTTAGCGAACTTCCCGCTAACATCAAGCCTTTACTTCACTCATGTGGGGCATATCGAAACCCTTCTCTTCTCTTCGCTTTCGCATCCCGCTCACACCGGTGACTTGCAGTAGTTAGTTACGTCTGTTTCTTGCTTGCGGCCTGGGGTGTGCGTTTTTGTTCTAGTGTAAAAGGTACAATTGCGTCTGTTTCATGTAGCCGAGCCCAATGGCGTCTTTATCCCTATTATTCCAATTTTTTCTGTCTCTGAATTCCCACCGCGCTTCTAGTTTGTTTATCGACCTGCATACCTGTGCGGGGACCTTGGACTTCGATGAATGGTGGAGTGGAGTGATCAAAGAGTTGACCACTGGGAACAACCCGTTTCTCCCTTCTCCCTCCTTCTACTTCCTTCCTATCAGACGTCCAATAGGATGAATTCCTACAGCGTAGATCCAGAGACTCACCGGCGGCTTAATATGTGGGGCACACCCTTCTCTTCCCAAGTTCATTTTTCGCACCCCCGCTCCGATCATTGATACTCTACTGGACAGTCTCCTGATGAGTCGATGAAGCTTCGAGCCTTCGACTTCTCGCGAAGGCCATTCGTTCATTCGTTTCAAACTTGTTTCAAGGCGTATTTTCCTGTCTTGACCGTCCACACACCAGCATAAGTTTTTATTGGACAGCTGGTGCGTGGCGCCCGCGTTGCATCCGGACCGAATTTCCCGCCTCACCTCAGTTCTTGACCGTTTCTTCCCAATTTCATTTCTTCTTGACCCCAGCACACTGGTAGTGCGTCCTCTACTTTCCACCTTGTTTTTCCCAGACTCTGCCCATCAAATGTCACTCAGGAGATTCTTTAGCATATCACCACTGGCACCAACCAACAACGGCGACGGCGACCTGCCATTTGGTCTTCTAGTCCAAGGCCCAAGTGTCGAAAATAAGCTCGTGTAGCTCCCGCGATTGTACGGGGGTGGGACGTAGAACGAACAGTCGCGGATCGTCCATCCATCTTGACAAATGACAACTCTTCTCTACCTTGTGAGAAGGCCATTGGTCGAGCCTGGACTCTCTTAGCTGTTGCGAATTATGAGGTCTGACGTCGTCCTGTCACGGACGTAGCCTTGGCTCAGCACCACGCTTAAGTTGCGAGGCCGTCCAGTCGTCGTGTGCGGGCCGCCGAGAACTCGGTCTGTGGATTGACGACTGATTCGTTCAGATATTCCCTTATGAACTGTCACTGGTGCTGGACTCAGCATCGTCGAACTTCTCTCGAAACACTCGGAGGAGGGTTTTTATTCGGTGGCCTTGCGGCTAAAACTTCTTTCCCTCTCCAAACGCACTCATTGGACGAATACGAACAATTACGTAGGTGAACGAGGCTGAATGAAGCGTTTACAGCCGTCTGTTCAGCACACTATTGGCTAGATAGAGATCAATTTGTCGTTGGTCGAATCCTACGGCTTGATCGTCGCCTCTAATGTTATGCCACCGATTAAACACTCTGGTTATTGGCGGTGGCCGCACTCGAGGCCCCTTCGTGGCTCCGCAAGGAACTGGCATTGGTTAGATGGATTTAATCATACCTGCAATCTTCTGTCCTCTCCCAAGGGTTCTGTTCCACCACCCTATTTTTGGGCAGCAACGCACGAGCTGAGAACTTTGTCTCTAATAATACCCAAACACCCTCGATGAACCATGAGAGGACCAGTCAGAACTGAAATAACCTACGGTACTCCATGAACTGGATACGAACAAACAGCACTTCACAGAAAGAGATACTTACAACCCTCGTCCTCGAGACGTTGTCTGACGGTGATTCAGTGCAGCACATGATTGACCGCAATAAGTATACCAAGAGGGAAAAAAACATGCGGTGGCAGGGCTCGCATTTCCTCGCCCAACTTTCGTGGAAACTTCCTCTGCCCCGAAATAATGCACTGTCCTCTCCCAAATCTAACGTCCTTGCGGCTCGATTTTAGCCCCCATTATCCGAGATGAGTTTGACACCGTATGGGATCCTGCAGCTGGAGGAGGTTTCAATCGTGCTGCTCAATTACCTCCACTCGACCGCCTAGCCCTCGCGAGCCCTCGTGTCAAAACTGATCACTCGCGCAGGCCCACGTAATTATTTTGTCCTCCGTGGTGACGTCTTGGTGCTGGAATTCGATTCTCGTCATTTCTCGTGGGCGAATTCGGAGCTGTCGAACCTGAACGAGTTCTTGCCTAACATCAAGACTATTGGGAGGCCCAGTATCGACGAACGCCAAGTCACCTTCAGCGTCTTACGTGCCTTCAAGTCAGTGGAGCGTTTGGAGGTGTACGGCCCCGGCGCTCTCCAGAAGCTGCTGGCCGCCTTGGAGTCTGACGATCCGTGTGTCATTCCCCCGGAGGAGGGAGCCCATCATTCTTAAGTATGCTACTGGGCTGCTGGAACCTGTCCCGCTCTGCCCGAAAATTTCCTCAATCACGGTCTACACGGGGAAGGACGATACCACAGATCCTGCAGTGGCGAAGAAGATCTTAAAGAATATGAAGAAGATTAAAGGTTTTGCCGCAGGGTTGCCAGAATCTGGGGTCATCGAATGACGCCACCCAGCTTTTGGGACAACTTACACTATTTGCTTTAAGATGGGCGATGTCGACAGTGTGTTGCGACGCAAAGAACTTGTCTTGGATAATATTTGGGACCCAGAGCTATGATTGCGTAGGTACTTCCAGTGGTCAAGTACACATTTTTGTCTCAATTTCGTTGACTGTGTCCAGCGGAAATGAGCCTGTCGCTCATGGTCAGCATTTGGAAGATGGAATAGATAGTGTCATTTTTATCCCACTAGGGACGTTATTGAGGACAGTAATCTGGACAAGTATGTGCGCTAATCGCTCTTTTCCTTCTCGGTCGCCGACTTGAACCTGGGCAAGCTCGCGTGTGAATTATTTAAATGATCATGGAGGCATGGGGCGCCTTCAATTACAACCACCTCTAGCTTCTTCGATCTTTCAACCGAATGCCTGCAAGCGATATGGATCGCACAATATCTGAACTTTCATTCGATGAACTCTTGGAAGCACTGAAGAATCGACTGGATGCGGGGGATGATGGATACACCTCCCATCTCTCGGAGATTGAGGATCATTCTCTCAGCGGAGGTAGCCAGAGATGGCGGGACAAGGTGCGGAATCATTCAGGCTGCCTGAATTTGATATTTTACGAAATTCTAGTGCATTTCAAGACAAGTTGAGCTGTCCAAGATGGCCAGAGTTCTCCGCGCTCGTGCCAACTTTGCATCTTCCATCAACCGACTTCCAGGCGAAATTTTTGCCGCCATCGTACACCAGCTTCTGCCTGGAGACACGTTCGTATCGGACGCAGCGCTGTGGAAAGGGGTGATGGCGTCGCTCATCGCAGTCACTCATGTCTGCAGCCACTGGCGCACATCTGCGTTGAGCGATCCGCGACTCTGGAGCTCGATATACTTGGACCAGAGGATGAAGTTTTCTGGGACCCAGGCCCTGACATTTTTTCAACGATCCTCGCCACTCCCAGTATCAATTCACCACAAAATCTGGACGTCCAGGCCGGAACCTGGCGAATATGCGGGCACTGGGTCGTTCCTTGCCGCATTGGCTGCCCACCCAGAGCGCATTCTGTCACTCGATATTAGGGGCGTGTACGAGAGGAGAATCTTTGAATTTCTCCGAAACCCACTACCCAACCTCGGATCGCTGCGCGTCGACATTCGTTACCCCTTGTCTCATACATCTGACCTCCAAGTGCAGCATGACCGTCGCCGTCTTCAATCCATGTGGCCTCTCCGAAAGTTAAGCGCGGCTCTCAAGAGGCTGTACCTCCACGACCTAGGCGCGTGGATCTGCCCACTCGACGCGGAAGAGCGAAAGTTTTCCCAGCTTAATGCCGGAATAACGCACCTGTATCTCGTCAGGTGGCAACAGGAAGACGTTCGTCCTGTGGAGGTCATGAACATCTTCCGTTCTCTCCCACTCCTGGAGGTTCTGTGGGTGCAAGACATGTATAACACGCCAACTGGCTATGATGGTCCCCCGGTTTCCCTTAACGCGTGTCGGAAGATGCGCTTGAAAGTCAGCGGCGCCATGGGATCTCGAAGATACCCTCACTATCTCCTACACAGTCTAATCATCCCTAGCACCGCTGAAATAGTCTGGGGCGCTGAAATGAGCATGTCCAGTTCTCAGGTTGATGTCACCCATCTGCCGCCATCTCAGCGCCTTTCCAATGTCAAGAAGGTGTTCGTACGTGCAGGACAAGGCTTCTATTATATGCTCCAAAACGACATCCTATTCCTGGAGTGTGTTCTGCCGCTCGCCCACGAACAGCTCGCCTTATTGGCAGGTCACCTCCCGAATGTCAGGTTAATCGGGATGCCGAGCATCGAAGACTGCCGGTTGGATTTTATCGTCTTCGAATCGTATGCCGGCGTCGAACATGTGGAGATATACACCTATGACGCTCTCTACAAGCTCGTACTCGCCCTCGAATCCGGGGAACCGCAAGGGATCTCAGAAGAAAGAGGTGCCAGCGAGTCCCCGAGGCGAACCGCCCTCTGTCCAAATCTCTCCACTATCACAGTGCACACGGGGTACTTCGACACGTCGATTCCTGCCGTGGCGGAGAAGGTGCTGAAGCGGATGGAAAGAGTCGAGGGATTCCCACTTCAACTCCCACAATGTGGTTTCATTACCCGTCAGCGCCCTGCGCTTGGGACGACATACGCGATATCTTTCAAGAAGGGCTGCATGCAAACCGCACTGAAGAGCCATGGCTTAAGATCGTCCTTGGAGAATCTCTGGGAGTTGGAATTGTGACTCTAATTCATCTGTGAGTGCCACTTTTACCCAGGAGTGGAATCAATTACTAAGAAACAGCACCTTTTCAAAAAGGACAATTCTATACTTACTTCCTTAACCACCCCTATACCCAACCAGTTCATAAATGTGTAGCTCGTTCCTGCACTTACGCTCGGAAAGTGTGACCGCCGAGCACTGAGCAAATAAGCGAAAGAGAAGAGAAGGACACATGGAAATCATTACTTACACAAAATCGCGAGGACGTCGTAGGGGATCATGCGGCGATCTTGCTCCGATTCGCGTTGGCATCGTCAAACTCAGTTCGTCACTCGAGACGAGAAGAATAAGATACTTCGCTTCACTGAGTCTGCAATTTGTCTGCAACGATTACTATGGGTCGAAGTTCTCATCTCATCTTATCTTATCTTCATCACCTTGAAGTCATAGTGCAATTCAATTCGTGTCTATGACTATGCAAAAATTACGACCTCGAACTTGACTGGTGGCTTTCAACCACTTCCTGGTGCAGCTTCGACCTAGCCTCCTAAGTTGGAGATCTATTGTACGCGTTTCTTATGACAATCCATCGTTGATTGACTGACCTGTGGCTTCATCCCGTCATCGTTAGCCAACAGGCTTCGAGTCAAGGCCATGTTGACTACGGAGGGGAGAGAACCCAACACCACGGAATATTACGCCAAACTACCCATAAATGTCCCCTCCAATGTCTCGCCGACCTCTGCGCCTCATCTCCAGCCTACAATTGGTCTCATCGGAATGGGTGCGATGGGAAGGATGTACGCGAAACATTTGAGACAGGCGGGATGGTCCAGGTACGTTGGAACGAATCATATCGATTGAAAGAGGGCCAATGGAACTGACGGATCGTCTCAGGATTCATGTTTGCGACGTCCCAGAGAAGTATGAGGAACTGAAGGAGGAGTACTCAAGTGAGTGACAGCTCCATCTGCGACTTACAGGTTTTCATTCGCCTCCAGACGCGGAAAACATATACGTGATGCGCGACGGACATGCTGTAGCGCGCTCCTCCGACTTTATCATCTATTCTGTCGAAGCAGAGTTCATTGAACGCGTCGTTGCTCAGTATGGACCTTGTGAGCACTTTTCAACTGACCCCGACCCTCCTTCTGACTCAAGGACAGCCACGAAGATGTACGCCGTGGTGGCAGGCCAAACGTCGGTGAAGGCTCCAGAAAAAGTCGCGTTTGAGAAGCACCTACCTCTCGACGTCCACATTGTCTCGTGCCATTCTCTTCATGGACCAGGTGTCAGTCCTTTGGGTCAGCCGCTCGTGAGCCTTCCTCACATTATCTGGCGCATGAGCTCAGCATACGGTTAACTAGGTCATCATCCAACATCGTGGTTCAGACGAAGCGAAAGAACTCGTCGAGAACATCCTTCGGCCTCTTGGCTCGCGCCATGTCCACCTCTCCTACGAAGAACACGATCTCGTCACCGCAAATACGCAAGCAGTTACCCACGCCGCCTTCCTCAGCATGGGCACCGCTTGGGCTTCCGCGCAGTCTTACCCTTGGGAGCAAGGACTCTACGTGGGCGGGATCGAGACGGCCAAAGTCAACATCGCACTGCGGATCTATAGCAACGCGTGGCACGTCTACGCCGGGCTGGCAATCCTCAACCCGGATGCACGGACACAGATCGATCGCTATGCCGCCAGTGCGACGGAGCTGTTCAAGCTGATGCTCGAGGGAGGAGGTGGAGGCGAGGAGGAGCGGCGTCGGTTCAGGGAGCGTGTCAAGTGGGGTCAAAAGATCGTCTTTGGCGACGTGGACGATGACAGCAAGCGCAAGCGCCGCCCGATCCTGCTCTCTGAGGGCATTCTGGACAAGTTTAGCCTCGGCACACCGGCACCTCTCGAGACGCCTCCCTCTCCCATGCTTCCCTCGAGTGAAATCCAAGCATCGTCCTCTACCTCTTCCACCGAACCACCAACGAAATATCGTCCAAACTCCCATCTCTCGCTACTCGCCATGGTCGACTGCTGGGCCCACCTCTCCATCAATCCTTACACCCACTTGTCGCTTGCAGCTACCCCAATCTTCCGACTGTTCCTTGGTGTGGCCGAGTACCTCTTCCTCTCGCCCACCTTGCTCTCTGCGTCTATCCACTCAGCCTTGTTTGACACCTGGCATCGGGCTGACGACCTGGAGTTCGTGGTGGCTGCGCGAGGATGGAGCCAGTGCGTGAGCTTCAGGAGCTTCGAGGTGTATCGGCGACGATTCGAAAAGACTAGGGCGTTCTTTGAGGGCCGGTTCGAAGAGGCCGGCCGCGTCGGAAGCGCGATGATTAAGGCGATCATGGAGAGCGAGGTCCAGCGAGAGGAAGAAGAACGACTGGGCTAGGTTACACACGGTGTTCATCCGAAATCCGTGTTCTAAACAGCACACTATACTAGTTACTTGGTCCATATGAAAAGTTGATCGACTCATCATCAACGGATATCGGAGTCCGCCATCGGGAGACTAGTTACTTGGCCGAAACTCTGGAACGGTGCTCCGAGACTTGGTGCTCTGTATGCAACCCATGATACCTGGTCGCTATTTCCTTTTCTGCGTCGTCGTAAAACCGACAACTCATCGCTCCGAGACAAGGCTGTGCGGGCCCTCGCTCTGATGTCAGATATTCGGGTCCGAGAGAGAAGGAAGATTTCGGTGGCAGACTCAGAATATGCCTGCCAACTTGGTGCACCCTGAAAGCACGCCGAAAAGCGCATGTGCTCACCCCATTGTGAGCGCCAAACAAGGTATTCATGACCATGTATCCAGTCATGCAAAAATGAACCTTCAATACCCTTCTACAAGCGCCCTCTCTCGAAGAGGGAAATTGTTGCGAAAACTAGACCTCCATGCTATCATACGGCGCCTGGCACTCAAAAAGAATACACTCGTAGTTCAGTTCTGTCATCTGTTTGCTGTCGAGAAATAGTCAGGACCAATTGGTAGGGCAGAAAGAAGAACCAACATTCAACGCGACGATGCGCTCCTCGTCGATCATTTTCTTGTGTAAGTCGAGCGGCATTGCCTTGGAGGCGGAGTGGTATGGCAGACGTGTTACGATGTCTTTGGTGAATATGCCCCCGCACTTAAGGGTAGTTGGTTTATCTCGTCCATACCTCTTGTGTTCAGGAGAGGCAAGATATGGAGTACCGCACGAGAAATCCAGCAGATCGATGGTGTTGCGTCTAGGCTGATAGAGCACAACGCGGTCTCCGTGAGCATCCCTGGGACAGTTGTCAGGATCAGAATACAGCTGCAGACGTAAGAGGGTGGCTTACTCACAGTGACCATGTTCCTGGAGCCATCGGTATAAAGCGACTCTCGTTCTCTCCCCATTGCTCCCAGGACACTACTTGCAGCTCAGGGGCAATCTCAGGACCATCTACGTACTGAAGGAATGTCAAATTGCGTATGAAGAAAAAGTAGAGCTTGCTAGGCAAGCTCAGGTCAAAAGACGCTCGGTAAATGACGGAGAATACATGTGTTCGTGTTTCAGTAGAGTGCGTGAACAGCGCTTCTGGCATGGGATGTTGCTGTAGATGCACGGAAGGGGTCCACAGAGAGGCGACGGTATATGAGGGAGCAGGAAGGGGTAGCGCAAGGGAGGCAATCAGTATGGGGTTTGCCAGCGCAACAGGAGAGAACAGGTAGACATGGATGAGGCCACCAGAGATCGAGGACGTCAAGGTGAATGCGTCCCTGCGGAGGAAATTGAAGGTCTCGATATAGTCCGGTAATACTTCGTCGAGAGAGTCCTGGATGGAGAACTGTTAGGGACCGAAAGGGGGCATTCAGAGAGGAGGACGCACAAAGAGAAGCAGTCCCATGTTCCAGTTCCAAAGCAGGAGCCGAGGACGGACCCTGTCACCTGAGTGAAACGCGCAAACGTCGTCCGCTATCTGAAGCCTGACCTTCCACAGCTGATCCCCAAGCGGATGGTTGGGTATCGTGAAGGAGAGTACGCCCTGGGCCGCTTTGGGGTGAGCCAGGTTGGTCGAGATTGTGCGGCAGTGCAGGCTCAGGCGTCGATCTCGGCTCGGTAGCTCACTGTATCGATTTATCACAGCATACGCCTAAACAAAATACAGACTCACATAGCTTCCAACACAACAACCAAATCTTGGCTTGGATCGATGGCGAAATCGTGTATCTTGAAGTCCAGTGAGGTGCGATGGAGGGCGTGTCCAGGGTTTCTGGCAGACGGCAGATAAAGTACAAAGAGATCAGTGCCATCCGAATATGACAGTGTCCCTGCTGCGAGTTTGGGAAATAGTCGATTTCCTGGAGCCTTCACTACATGGACACTCTTCCAGTCGAGCTCTACCCATCTCCTTTGCCGATCGCGAAGGAGAACGAGCAGTTCGTCGGGCGGTTTATTAGATCCCGCGTCTTGCATACCGTTCAAGCCAAGTTCGTAAATGTAGCGAATAGGTTTAGTCAGGAAGGTTTCGTGAAAGGACCGGCAGGACTGACGTACAAAGCCAAGGATGTGAGTTGTCGTCGCATTCTCGGGAAAAATGTCGCTTACAAGGGCCATCTGGAGAATGGAATAGCTGTCGAGGAGCATCATAATCTCTGAAATGAGTTCTTCGGGGAGGGGGGACATTGGAGAGGTCGTAGCACTCGTGGGGTGCATGAAGGTTCTAAACAAAGGAGTTGGGCTGGGCGAAATTCTAAAATTGGGAAATCGATCAGCGCTCAAATCAGCGCCGGCCCGGCTAGCGCACTTGTATCATGGCTCAAGCGCTCATTTCCCTCGCCCCTCACGCGCACGCTCGAAGTACCACATCGTATGCGATCGTCCTCTTCCCAAAGTTCATCGTGTAGTCCTTGCCCCCAGAGGATATGCTACTTACTTTCAGGAGATACATCAGATCAGGCATCCAGAGAAGCATATCCCGAATCAAGAATTCCCCAGCGCGCGAAGGCTCAAAAAAGGCTAATTCAAGTCGAGCATGACTAGGACTCACGGAGGTGAATGATGCGCGTTTTGTCGTCTTCGCGAGAGGATGCAGCACCCAGCATGTCCTAGCTGGCCTTCCTGATCATCCTCGACATCCTCACGAAAATAAGTCAATATGCGCGCTAGAATTGCATGAAAGAATAGTTTATTTTACCTGAAGTACATTGCAGAAACGCGTGATGGGACCGTCTCCACACCCTGGGGATTATAGTGATCCTTGACCTGCTTTAATTCGAGCTCTTGGGTAAACGACACTGGGTAAGGTTGTGAAGTCACCCTGCTGTGGGTTTCCCTTCTGAAACGCGAATAGTCTCGGTCAAATAAAATTAGGACCTTAATTAAAGAAAGTGTCAAGGTTCATCATGTTGAAGCATAAGACAGGCTGTTTCAGGACAAAGTATTCAGGAGTCAGCACTAATATGCAAACTTTCATGGGCGCTTATGCTTTCCTTCTCCGACTCATCGGAGTTGCGGCGAATTGGAACAATCGTCTTGCCCTTTGGAGACTTAGAAACTTAATAGTTTTTAGAAAGCTCGCGGTGGAAATCTGTTCATTGGTTCTGGACATGCGGCCAAAATCCGGTTGAATTTCGGATCGTTAGGCACCAGCAAAAGAATCCTCGAAGACTTGAATGAACTGGGCGAACACCACTTCCATGTCCGTGCTTCGTGCTCGGAAAAACTAACAGACTGTGATGTGCTGTCGCATGGCACTAAGATTGTCCTGATGCCCTCACGCGCTATTCTCGTCCTTGGATGTTCTTCCTTGTGACCGATAGACGCCGACTCGAGGCTTTGCAACCCGCCTGACAATCTGGGAAAGATCCGTTTGACGTGTGGGCGTTCTCATGACAGGCTTCGTTACCGCTACAACCGAATTTGAATTGACGGTAGCTGATAAATCGAGGCTAAAGTTTCAGTTGAGGTTGAAGTCAAAAAGTCTCGAAGTTCTTGAGGGAAGCTCGGAGACGACGGCCGGAAACTCAGAAAAGTCGCACATATAGAAAGGAGCCCTCAGAAATGACTGTTTTTCAAGAGAAAATATATACTACATGATGCGCGAAGCTTTTTGGGACGATGATACATAATCGACGGTATCGAGGAGAATATGACTACGAAAGACAATTTTTACAGGCACTGGCTGTACCATTGGTTGGAGACGGTGCAGGTCGAGCCCGAAGCGCAAACGGTGGGACCAGTCCATCCTTGGCCGCCACTAGAAAAGAGAGACAAACGAGTGAGAATGTATGAGAATGAAGAGCAAAACGAAGGGACGCACCATTGACCATACTTCGTCTGCGTAGCACCAGGCGCGGTCGTGGTCGTGGTGGGAGGGAGGGTGGTGCTTGTGTTAGGGCCGCCACCAGTCGAGCCGCTGTAAGTCGAACCGATCTCACCAAACTTGATGTTAGAGTAGGTGACGGAAGCGTTGGGCGAGTTGGCTTCGACGTCCTTGGGGTCGCCACCAGTGGTGGGGCAGGTACCACGAGCAGCGCCGGGATTGGTGGAGCCAATGGGGTAGGTCGAGTCGAGCCAGAGCATGTGGGCGTGGTGGTCGTCCCAGATGGAGAGGGCAAGGACCATGCCGTTCTCGTTGAGACCTGAGGCCATTCCGTCGATGCCGCCCTTGGCCTGGAAGCTGTTAGTATCGCCGAAGACGGACTTCTGTGCGGTACAGAACTCCTCGCTGATGGAGTCGTAGGCGGAGATGCCGGGGACGTTGACCTTGGAGTTCTGGATAACCCTGCCGTCCTGGACGTAGATGCGGCGGATCTCCTTGAGCCTGCCGGTGGCGCTACCGTGTCGGAGATGAACTGGGTGACGACGGTGAACTTTTTTGTGGTGTCGACGGTCTTGCCTGGGCCGTAGAAGCCGGTGTCGCCCAGACGGTAGGAGTTGAAGTCGCAGCCATCGGGGTCGCAAACGCCATTGTAGCGCTCGGTGGGCGTATTGCACTCGGCGCCAGAGCACCGGTACTGGCCCTTGACGGTGCAAGGATGGGGGGTGAAGGCGGTAGAAATGGAGTTGGCCTCCCAGATATCCATCTCGTTGCAGCAGGTACCGAAATTCCCGGATCCGCCGTTGGGGTCGGTGGCAGAAGCGGTCCAGCCAACGGAGTTAGACTGCCGAAAAGATAAATTTAGCATCAGTAAGATCAAAAAAAAGTTGAATGCAAGAGAAACGCACCTCGCCGTTGATCCACTTGATGTCCTTCGGGCACTGCGAGTCGCAGTAGCCAGTTCCGTACTTGGCACCAGCCTTGTTGGTGGAGAACTTGGAGAGACCGCCGTCGGCTTCCATCTCGGAGAAGTAGAGAGCGCCATTGAGACCGCAAGGAAGGTTGGAAACGTCGACGTCGAAGGTGAACTCGCGGTTGAGGAGCTTGACCGCCTCGTACCTATCCTCGCTTGCCATGAGGTAGACACGAGAGCCGACGTTCTTGCCGTTCGAGTTGGTGGTGACAAACTTCAGGGTGAGGGCGTCGCCGCTGGTGGTGATGCCGTAGGTGTTAGCATAGTCGGCACCATCGACGGCGCAGTTGGCGGCGCATGTCTGGGCATCGGGACAGACGGTGGTGTTCCAGGCGTTGCCGGTGTAGCAGTTGGTGTAGCCGTCCTTGTGGTGGGTCCAGCGCCAGTTGGAGTCGAGGACGACTTGGCCGGTGGAGACGGTGGTGCAACCGCCAGAGACAGTGCAGCGCTGGAAGGGGAGCCTGGGGTGGTTCTCAGCCTGGTAGGTACCGACGTTCTGGCCAAAGGCGAGAGCGGCAAAAGTGAGAGCGGCGAGAGAGGCTTTGGGGAACATGGTCGATGCGATGAACTGGAAACCGCTGAATGAGATTGGTGAAGTTGACGAGATCAAGCGACCTCCTTTATACCATCCAGAGTGCGGAAAAAATCCGGAGGCCTCAACGTGAGCAGGCGGATATCGGTATGCATGTCCAGCGTGCTCGAGCGACAGAGCAGAGGACCAGGCGCGGTGGCTGCTTCTCGGAGGGAAATCATGCCCAGCAACGCGCTAAGTTACATTCCTTTGCCTTGGCTATCACGAGATCGAGTACGGCTTCTCGGCTGTTTTTGGCAGAGTGGATTCAGGCTTCGACCAGTGACGGTGATAATGAATACTGTCTCCGAGAAGCTGCTGACAGTCGGTCATATTGAGCCGGGGTAGAGCCCAAATATATACCGAGGAAAATGCGGGGCAGGGTTGTGGGGCTATTGGCATCGATGTACCCCGCGTGCGACCCTGTTCATCATGAAGTCTGCGTTAGAGGCTAGAGTAGCGCGAACGGACTAAAAAAACTCACTATGATTGAGAGAAGGGGTTTACCTAGAATAAAGTCCTTCTAACTCCCTTCCCTTTCGGAGCCGTCCTCGAGAAAGAACTCCAATACATTCCATAGTTATATGTAGCTCCAAGTTCGTCGCGTGTGTGAGACCTAGTTGCTCGAGTGGCTGAAATTCGGCGTATCATCAGAGCAGGCGAATTCCTGGACGGACGCTAATGATCGGGATATTAGCGATCGGCAGGAGGTTTGAACGGAGTGTTGACGATTTCGAATTGATATTTGAAATGAAATTACTCACTCGTTTTGCAGCTCAGGATGAGTAGACGCACAGTGTTCCCTTGGGAATACGAACGAAGACCAGGCAATCTGATATTCCAAGGGCTGATGATCTGAAAGGCCATCAACATAAGGACATAACGGTGGGAGAAGGATCAGACTTACCATTTCCCTTACGAAGCAAGAGAAGACTTTACACAAAAGAAGCGGTGGTCTTCGTCTTCCTGACGGACGCTCTTTCATCGGAAATATCCACAACGACGGCGTCTCACTATCGTCCATGTCCTCTGCGTTGGCTCCGCCCTTGAGATGTCCGTTTCCGAAACAGAGACGGAGCCAAGCTATCAGGTAGTCGAAAGCGGAGGTCCGAGGATATGTTGAACTTGAAGGGTGCTCGGAAAAACTTGGAAGGGTCAGCGACAAGCGAGAGAAGTCTTCGAAGAGGGACGTCATGCCACAGCAATCCGTTTCTATCCGCCTTACAATACGTATCTATCCTCGTCCATCAGAGAGAAACTTCAGGGAAATGAATGAATCATACAACGCATTCCAAGCCTAGCTCCTTCGTGCTCAGCTGCGACTCGTTCCGATTTTCAAGTTGTTCCTCTCCTAGTTCTGTACGCTTTGGACGGTGAGGAGCGGTGCATGTCGGACATTATATGTGCCTTGTGTCAATTCTTCCGCAAGCAAATCAAGGGTGCGAGCTGACGGAGGTAGTGTGTGTGGGTGCAATCGTAACACCAACGTGCACTTCGAAAAGTGGGTAGGAGATTGAAATTCTAGAAGAATAGAGCGGCGACCCAAATTGACCCTGATGCCGATGGCCACTCTTGGCACAGTGTGGCGCAGAACCCGCAATTCTCACCTTTCGCAAGACTATATACGACTTGCAGGTACCAAACGGGGTCATCGGAAGATTCTGGCGCTCTTCCTTGTTGATCCCCATTTCCGTGTTCTTAGTATGGCCAACGTGCCTCGGCACAGTAGAAAGACGAGTGGGATGAACGTCTTCCGAGTCAACGTTTCTCGAGCACTAGCTATGTGGCGTCGACGTCAATAATGAATGCACTGTTTGCGCAAATTTCGATTTCGAGATGGATAACGGGCGTCGTGATATATAAAGAGATGCATCGTGAGTGTACGAGCCAGAAAGGCTCGGTCTCAGAGAAAGTGGCGATCGCTTTGGCAAACTTCGGCGTGAAGTGAGCGAGCTCCTGCTCGCAGTTCGTCGATACCAGTCCGGAATAAGCTGGCGTGAATCGCCTGTCGTCTTTGATAAACTTGAATTCAGATGTTATGGCCTTGATGCATTGCCAATAAGCGCAGGAGGATAATTTGTTTGGCTTCGCATAGCAAGGGTTTTTAATTATTTGAACAGGGAGATCAGTTGGAAAAGATGGCCAAGGGATGGAAGACCGAAGCCTTCCTCAATTCAGGACTGCGTAACTTTTGTCCCAAACCTACGGTCAGTCTTTGAACCTGATACCAAGTAAACTGGACCGTGGTTTCCTGGTGCAGTCAAAGAGCGTCACCTCCGCTGTCGGTGCCGGCGACCATCAATAGATTAGGTATGTAAGATGAAACCTCCCCGGTCCCCATTAGGCGCCCGCCTCCAGTCTAACGAGCCCTTTCATAACAAATATTTCCGATTCTAAGCTACTCTTACAAGATAAATTCAGAAAGAAGAACGAGGTCTCTTGTGACTTGGAATGACCAACCGGGGAGGCGACCATCAGTTCCGATTTCGAATTGCACTATCGCGGCTGCCCGTCTTGAATTCCAGCGTGTACACTACGTCGAGGTGCGGACGTCGGAGGGTGAAACATGCTCCAGCGGGCATTCGCGATGGGGCATCATCGACTTGTCGTATTTCTCGCAAAATCTTCCGCACTGTGCCTCGATCCTCCAAGCTCTCGTCGCCTATGTGGACGGTAATCTTGGAAAGCTTGGGTAAACGTCTGCCTTTCGGGTCCTTCCGAGTCTTCCGCTTGCAGCTGGACGAGAAGTGTCGATAGGGATTCGTACCCGTAAACTTCTAGGTGCTGGACAGTGCTGTACAGTCTGAGAAGAAGAAAGTCTTGCTGGAAGTCGCTTACTCCACCGAGATCAAGGTGGGATACGTTGGGAATGCATGCAGCCGCCGCTCTGAGGAGAACGTGCACGGAGGAGGGAGACGATTCTTCAACGAGGAGGCTGGGCCCCTTGAGGGTGAATGTGCGGCCAGGTCCTGGACGCCATAGGACATCGGTTACCTGCTCCATGTATCTTTGTGGCGGCAGTAGAGACGCAGCCCACGGTTCCTCATCTTCATCCTCGTCGTACTCCTCGTGGAAAGTGCCCTCATCGCATAAATTGCACGTTTCCCAAACGAGCTCCGCGTCCATGGGAAATATGAAGATTTCAAGGCTATGCATTGGGAACCCGATTTCCGACCAACTGTCGTTTTCAACGATCTCGAGTTTACGCAGAGACTTCAAGTTCACGACTCGCTCCGGATTTTCATCACGATCCGTTTGCTCGAAGGTCCAAGGACCACTCAATCGAAGGTATTCAAGGTTTGGGAGGGGATTCAGCGGCTTCCGCAGTTCCCGGACTGACGGGCCGTAATCTTCACCAACGACAAGAAGATGCGTAAGAGACCCTGGAAGAACCTTTGGTATGAGAAAATCCGCAAGGCGTAGCCGTCGCATATTCATGCTGGGCAACACCTTTACGAAGCCATGGAGGGCAGTACCGTCCCACTGGGAAATCCTAGGTGCAATATGAAGAGTCCGAAGGTTTGGAAGAGGACCCTGTAACACCGCCCAAGCGAGGTCTGTGATCTCGTCCTCGAGGTACAGAGAGCGGATCCGCTCTGGGATCTTTCGCAGGTGGTCGTAGAAGGCATCCAATTCCTCAAACATGGTAGGCAGGGATGGCGAATGTTTGACGCGGTAGTGTTCATATAATCCCGAGTCCAACGGCGGGGAGAATTGATGGTAGAGGTCGATGGGAAAAGGCTTCGATCGCTCCAGAAATGCCATACCAAGCGCACCGGATCCGGGGGAAATGCAGGTCGCTAAATTGATCGAACACCATAGAGAGGGGTTATTAAGCGCAGCGGCGCGCAGGGATTTGCAGACATGTGTAATTTTGATCCAGGAATGAGCCTGCGACGGTCGCAAACAGTGCACCTTGTCGGGGTCGAGAAATGCGTCGCCATACTGTGGCTGCAAGAAAAGCATGATCTGTCCCAGAATTTCGACTGGAACGCGGTTGATTAGAGAGGATATATTCCTGCGGGAATGAACAAGGTCGACGATATCGGCTGCTTGCCGGATCCTGCCGTCGCACTAGACAGCAGCCTCTGCAGGTCAGACGACAAACAACGTTTGGAAATGTGTGCCACAGACCTTTTTATTCCACCTAAGGATGCGATGAGCATCACTCGAGAGGAGGTAGAAGGAATGCAACAACAGTCACTCACCAGTTGGCGAGCTCCGAGCTCGAGATGCTGGCATTATCGTGAAACCCATCGTCTCCGGCCTCAAGTTTCCATTTTAACGCAGTAAGGAGGTCTTCTACGCTCAGCTCCCATCCTGCTGGCTTCGTAGACATTGAAGAATAATAAAGAATACGGTGTCAAAGTTCGAGTCGATCTTGAAGCGATTGAAGTATCGAATTGGGGCGTTCTTCTTGAGCAAGGTTTGCGCCAAACCGTACTCCTAAGGGCTGGGAGAAAATAAATGGACTGGTCATGCCGAAGGCGCCGCCTCGGCGCATTCCGTCCTGATGCCCCTATATCGCCTTGACTCGCTCCAGAATCCTTCCCTCGGGTTGGAAGCTACGGGTCCCAACGGATAGCCAACATTTCTGCCAGAAACCCTTGCTCGGGGGTGTTGAAGTGGTCGACAGTAAGTAGGTATTGGGCGATCGACTCTTTCGATTTGGGGTCGAGTTTGCTACATATTAACAACCTCGAGGTGAACAGACCAAGAACAGTTGAACAACAGGCCTAGAGAGTGATGTAATCGGGGAATTCAAAAAGAATTCAGAGTTCCAACAGTGTGATAACCCCGAAACTCGATCCGAGCGCAATGCGCCCCCGAACTTCGTCATAATCAAACGACGTCCAATTATTTGCCTCATTCACGAATACCCTCCTCGCCATGACCTCCCCCTCTCCAGTCGAAAGCGACCCAGGAAAGACGGCCATCATCAAGCTTTCGTGGGGTACTCTTCCTCGTCGGTCGACTTGCATCTGCTGCGGAACATCCGCGAGCAAGCCGGCGAAGAATCGCTCTTGGGGCTGGATCCACGCGGCAGTTCCGAATCGCCCAAGGAAAACCTGTGTACACCGTAGAGAGCCGCGCAGGGAGCGGACCTGGTTCATGAGTCGCGGTGGGAAGATGTATGGAGGAATGCGGGTGTCGAGATCATCGTCGTCCGAGGGGTAGTCAGGGTTGGGATCGATGGTGTAGAGTTCGAGGTTCAGGACATCGGAGGCCCAGGGGTCATCGCTCTCGCCTCGAACGAGGATGGAGAGCGGGCTCCAGGAGGAGACTTTCGTCGTACCTCTGTCGAGGTAGGGGCACACGTTAACGCACAGGCCATCTACCCACCCAAAGGAGTGGTGGGCGATGGGACTGTAGGGTGTCGGATGTGGATCGTCGGGGTCGTAAGGCTTCAGAAGTGGATAAGGAAACAGGTGGACGGATCGCGCTCGAACGACCAAAATGCTCCGACGGGCAAAAAGTACTTGAATGCATTCGTTGTACTGGACGAGACGATTAGATAATTACGAGAGAAAAAGTTGTTTCATTCGGACTAACCGCAGATTGTCCGACTGGAACATCTTCTATAGAGTGTTCCAAGATGGCGTAGGTCCCATTTTTCCAATTCCAGACCGCCGTCTGCGAAGTCTCGTCACTCAATGCAAGCAAGTCTCCAACGAGCTTGAGGGGTTTCATCATCGTAGACGCCGTGTATATCTCTCGGAAGGTACAAGGTCCGTCTATGCTCTCATCCAAGCTGAGTAGTCTGACCGAGGCCTCTCTAGAGGATGTCAGCAGATGAAAAGAACGAAGCCCAGATGGCTTACCCATTCAAGTGCACTGAAATGGCCAACTCCGCCCCGCCATCAGGGTCCTCGTTCAACGCAAACCCATTGAAGATCGCACCTCTTGGACTCCACTCCCCAACCTTTCTGCTTTCCTTCGAGCTAAGATCCCATATCGCGACCGCAGACCAGATGCTCTTCGCTATTGTCATCAAGAACCTATCCCCATGTCCCGGAAGAAAGCGAACATGAGACACGGAGGTGCCCGATGTTCCAGATATGTACGATTTCCTTCGAGGCGAGGACAGGCCAGCGAGCCATCGATGTGCGAGCGAGTACGCAGAGAGGGTCTTCCGGCGCAGATCGCGTACGTTGTAAGAGGAAATGTTGATGGAAGGGAAAGGATATCCACGCGCTATGACGTGGAATTGGTATGCATTCGTCCATACGATCCGTAAGTTTCCTAGTTCATACAGACGTTTGCATGTCTGAGAACGATTCAGAACCTCGGCTGTGAGTCGGGAATGGTGATCTGCTCACCGAGCACAACGGCAGGATATCGGGCGGTTTGAAAAAGGAGAGGACATACACCAGTGCATCCTCAGGCAAGGATGTCAACATCTTCCTCGCTTTACCGTCCCCGATGACGGATTCAAGATGTTGAGTCTGTAAGGCAGAAATTAGACTGATAGAGCGGCGGCATGACGGTCTTCTGTTGCGTACTCTGTGTAGAACTCTGCCAGAATAGGTATCAGTTTTTTTAGCATCCGTTAACTCAACGAATATACCACAGCATTCCAGGATATTGCGCCAGTCAACGCCAGTCAGGAGCGCAGAGTGTTGGTTGAAACTTGAATGTAGGTCTCGATTCTAAAACGGGATGCACGCCGGCGGCAGCAAGTCGCTTACGACATCTATTCCCACACGCCACATTGAAGAATGCCCAGTGATCCTCAGTGATCTCGAAGCTACAGGTGCGCAATTGCCCTCAGGACGGCTGGCTTCGAGACTGTCAAAAAAGAGGGATGCTCAGCATATTCCTATTCAGTGCGTGCAAATACAAGAAAGTTTTCTCGGTCGTGACAAACAGAAATTGCGGTACAGGTCCTTACCCCTCCGACGAAATCTGCTTATTGCTGGGCTTGATAGAGCCAGACGGAGACTGCGTAACAGCAGCACCTATGCGATGGGTGAGTAATTCGGTGGCGAGACTAGATTGATCACGGTTACTTACCCAAGGCGTTGTTGTTAGAAACGACCAGCAGACCCGAAGCTACACTCATCGCTCCGAGGTTGTCAGATAGCGGATAGTTGACACGATGTGCTACGCTTTGCACAAAGACGTCTGACGACCTCGTCAACGAGTAGGACACGAAGGAGGACGGTAGGAAGCACGTGCGGCCGAAGTCGATGGCCCATATGTTTCCCTCGTCATCGATCATAAAATTGGAATCGTTGGGGTCGGATGGACAAAGGACCAGGCCGTCAGCGGTTTCGATTTGGAAATTAGCACGAAGACCGGTCCCTGAAATACGAAGCACCTTATTTGCCACCAGAGCGCGGGTGTTAATACAAGATACTAAAAGCGAGCGGAATACATACCTCGTTTATATGTGCCTCGAGATCCTCGACCGTGGGGTACTTGAGCGCTGATAAGCAATCGACGAAGAAATCGTGCCCGATAAGACCACCTCTGACCGGGCCAGGAGCGGTACCCGCAGACATTTTAATGTCGGTGAGCTGCTGAACGGCGGCAGCAACGGCTTCAATGTCGTTGTGATCGTAATATCCTTTAGACAACTTGCGTTGGGCAAGTGTGGTACCTTGAACGAAGTCCATGACGATATACGAACGCTTCCCGCGCGAGAAGACAAGGTGAACTTTCGGAACGCGGACAACACTCGCAGGGTTGTCATTCACGATCCCTGCTACATAAGCCTGCGTACGGCCTTCACCTCGGATGACGGAGCCCTTGCCGTATTTGACCCAAAATTGAGGCTTGCCTGCCACCTGGATGGAGACGCCGTTACGGTTAAAACCAGTTCTAGCGCACAAATTAACAATGTAGTCGTAAGTCGGGAAGTCTGCTGGGACGTTCACTGAATACCAAACCCGGACGTTTGCCATGGCTAGATTGTATGTAAGTCGAAGCACAGGGGCAAAGGAACTCGGAGATAACCTCACTTCAAAGTGCAGAAAGTGCAGAACACGAATTCGCAGAACACACAAGTGATGGTGAGATGTAGAGGAGCGTGTGCGCTTAGGCCTTAGGAATAAACGCCGAAGAAACACATATTTACCGGAGCTGCTCATTAACGACACTTACCTAAGCGCTACCCACGACAGTGGATAGCAGGAGGGCGATGGCCTGAGAGGTTGAAATACTAGGAGTCGAAGGATGGGGAGAAGTGTGCCGAGAGCAACGACGAGACAGCGAACTCTCCTTCGCTTGGCCTTCGCCTTTCTCTAAAGCACTCGCCCTCTCCTGTCGTCACCGTCCGAGTCGTCTCACCATCTGGGGGGCCGCAGTGTTCTCTCGCCTTCCTTTCACCATTTCTCCTCGCACCACCACGGCGACGCAGGCAACGAGCACAGTGAGCCGTAGTTGGATATTTCGGCGAGTTTGGCACTGGCGAGCTGCGGCTGCCTGGTCGTGGTGGCCGTCGGTCGTGGTGGCCGTCGGTCGTGGTAGGGACGCCGGCGTCGCGCTAGCCGCCGGATTGCGGGCGCTGTCGTGACTCCACAAAATCCATGATCGGTTACTCTCCGATGTAATGAGGTGCAGTTTCATGTTTATTACTTTGAGATCTGAGGATGCTCCACGCTTCACCTCAACAGTTGCGCTGTTTTGTTTCATCTCGTGAGGCTAAGCGCTTTCTACTTCAGATATTTTGGACGCCGCGGACGGTGCGACCCATTCCCCCGTTCTCATGGCCAGAATCCCGCCCTGCGCTTCAGAATAGCCTACAGGACTTCCATCCTTACCTCAAGGCAAGGTAGATCACTTCGTAAATAGCGCAGCCAGAAATAGACCGCAAGGTTTATCGCTCGATTGAATGCTTCATGATCCAGATATAGCAGAGACTACAGGAGCCTGTTATCAGCCCCCAGACAACTCAAAATGCCACCTACTATGGCCTCGTGAACCTCTGGTGAGTTCTTAAACCCCTATCTTGTTCACCTTAAAGCTCTCACCCATCTTTCGATAGTGGTTCTCCTCACCCCACGTAGCCCTCTCGAAGCAATGGCTGCAAACTCCGTCGATCCCGGCGATGAGAAGCCCATTAGCGCCCGCAACCCTGTCTCCACAAGAGATTTGGACACCGCGGCAGCGTTTACCACAAGTAAGAAGGGTATTCTAAATCCGGCAGAAGCTCTTCGTATCAGGTATCACTCTGCCCTCTCAACTCCGATTTTTTTTTTGTTGTGTGTCTGACTTGCGGCATTCAGGAAAAAGATCGACAAGCACATTATGCCCCTCATGTGTAGTGAGTGCTCATTTATGCTGTTGATGACAGACGCTGAAATATTCCCCAGTCCTTTATTTGTGCGTCGTGACTTTCGTGGAGTTGAGACTCCACCAGCCACCGCTCACAGAGCAACTAGGATACAATACATGGACAAGTCGACGCTCGGGAATGCTGCTATTATGGGCATCAGGCAGGTTACCTATTCCTGACGCTTGCTCCATGTCGGTCTTGATACACGGCCTTTTCAGAGAATCGGCTCATCTAACCACGAATGAGTAAGTGAACAAAGCCCAACTTCTATCTGTACCGCAATTAAAATAACGACTGTAGGTATAACTGGTATGCATTTCCCCCTGTTGAGCCCTCGATCTACGTCAGGGATTCATTGATCTCAGGCTAGGCACGATATTCTACTTGAGCTATCTAGCATTCGAATTTCCGCAAAGTCTCTGTCTGCAACGTTTTCCTGTGGCCAAGTGGATGTTGTATGTCAATGCTACTTGCACCCCTTAACTTCCGTTTTTAACGGGCCCTTTCGTTCCTAGATTTAATATCTCCCTGTGGGCAGTCGCACTCTGTGCCCATGCTGCATGTAGGAATTTTGCAAGTCTCCTGGTAGTTCGAATGGTCTTGGGTATATGCGAAGGGTCCATCACGGCAGGCTTCATGATTGTCACCTCAATGTTTTACACCCGGAACGAGCAGACCGTGCGCGTTGGGTACTGGTGTACGTTCAAATTCCCTGTGCAAGTGCGTTGACTGACCGACTAATTTGAATGTAGTCCTCATGAACGGTGTTGGTGGGTACTTAATGCATTCCCACCTAAAGCTCGTTCAATTATGAATTTTCGGCAGCCCAAATTATTTCTGGTTTCGTTGCCTTCGGAACGCTGCATATCAGGACCGGCTCCTTCGAGGCATGGCAATGGCAAGCTCCTTCACTTAAGACACCTTTTGGAGAGAGTATGATGTTGATTTTATGCTTTCGTCAGGCTTATGATTATAACCGGCGTTTTGACTCTTCTGACGGCGCTGGCATTCTGGTTTATCCCTCCCTCATTCCTCAGTGACAGCTCCTGAGGTTGTTTTTATAGGTTCCTCTTCCCGGACTCGTCCACGAATGCCTGCTTCCTTACACCTGAAGAAAGAGCAACGGCCGTACAGAGGCTTAAGGTACCGTAGTAGCCTCTGTCCTCCGACGCGAGTGACTGGTGCTTGGCAGGAAAATCAAACGGGCGTAGAGAACAAGCACTTTAAGAAGGAGCAGTACGCCGTCTTTTCACAGCCTTCTTCGGAATCCTCACACATCGTCTTGTCAGGCTAATTGAAGCATTGACTGACCCAAAGACCTGGCTCTTTGCCCTCTTCGCGGCCCTGGAGAACGTCCCAAACTCCTTGTCGAACCAGCGCCAAATCATTGTCTCTTCGTTCGGGTTTACAAGGCTCCAAACCACCCTTCTGGGATGCGTCAACGGCCTCATCGAAATCGTGACAATCTGGACAGGCGTCACCATCGCGTCAAGAATCCCGAACTCTAGGGCATACGTTTCTTTCGCGTACAAAATACCCATGATACTCGCACTTTGTCTCATCAATTTCTTGCCATGGCGCTACAAAATTGGGCTGCTCTTTGCGCAATGGGTCACAGGTACGAAGATTTCGTGGTCAACGGTTTTTTTTTCTTACAGCTGTGCTACGAAGGCATCGGCACCACAGCATTCGTCCTTTCTCTGTCCTGGATTTCCAGCGTAACTGACGGACATACGAAACGCGTCACGGTCAACGCCATCACGCTGTCCGCGTACTGCATCGGCAACGCTGCAGGTCCATTCATGTGGAAGGCAAAATATCAGCCTAGGTCAGGATTGCTTGTTCTTCTCCTATTTCTGTGCTCTTCGTTTACTCTCTCTCCTTTCTGAAGAGACCACGTTCCGTGGATTGTCATCAGAATCTGTAACACCAGTTGTATGGCTCTCCTGCTCATGGTTCGATTCCTCTTATCGACCGAGAACGGGCGCCGTGATCGTGAACCCCCTGATGAGACGTACGAGAACATCTATATCGAAAGAGTGGGGAAGAGCGGCGTAACGGAGTTGGTAAAGGTTGACAAGGTAGGTGGTGCCCGGCCTCGTCGATTTGGGCATGCGTGACGATTGTGAAGGAATTCTTGGACTTGACCGACATCCAGAACCGTGACTTCCGCTATGTTCTTTGATCAATTGAGTCAGTAGAAGGCTGTAGAAGGGCAACAGACGGTCCAGAGTATAACAGGTAGATTCAACAGACTGAAAAGGAGGATTTTACAAGTGTACATGAGCACGAATGCCAAGAGATATCACGAAAGTTGAAGTCCGAGCGAACGTCTTCACACAAGGTATATTTTTGGGCCGCGGTTCTTAAAGCGCCAGCAGCTGGTCCTGGTCAACGTTCACCCAACTGGAACGCTTGGAACTGGAATACGAGTGGCAGTAAGAGGGATGTGAGCTAGGTAGTTGCAATCAGAAAAATCATGAAAGATGTACTGACATCCTTTTTTGGGATGAGCTAGGAGGCAGCGTACCGAGTACGAGCTTGACTGTCTTCACCTCGAAGCCACGGAAGCCAAGAGAGATGCTGCTGTCACGAGCGCCATCGGCCGAATCGTCGTCTGCTGAGCGCACGAGGTACAACTCTTCATCCTCGTCTTCGAGTAGATTGGTCGTGAAAGCTTTGACAACAGGGAGATGGCTAGAAATCCTCAATCGAGCCTGAGCATGTCCGCCGAAGGCTTCGTACAGCCTGAGGACGACGGTAGCTGGCTTGTCTTTGTCTTCAAAGTCCACAGCTTTGTCGAACGAGTCGTATTCTCCGCGCTTGACAGTCTCGAGGAAGACGTTTCGGGCACCTTCAACAACGAAAGGCGACTTGAGAGGTGTCATGAGACTAGGAGCTCCAGAACGCAGGCATCGGACTATAAGAGGGGGCTTTCAGTTGACTAAAAAGAATGAGGAAAGGCGGACGAACGTCTCAGGGGTGAATTGTAAAGGTAACCGGCGACTGGGACGTCAGACTCCACGAAGTGGCCCTCGTGTGGTAAGATAGCCCATGAGAAGTGGTGTTCTCCTAATTTTTGCATTCATTGGTGAACGTCCGCAATGAGGAGACAGGACCCATGGACCTACCTTGGTCTTGTTCGGCGTCGGGGGCAGTAGCTGAACGCAGTAGAGAAATGCGAAGGACATTGCCTTGACACGAGAAACCGTATTTGGATTCTGACAGGAAGGCGACTCCGTAACCAAATTCACTCAGATCGGCGTACTAGAGAACCCGGGTCAATCGCGAAAGACCCAGCCAAAGGGTGGAGAACGAACTTTGTGACCGCATACTTCGAACTAATTGTGAAGTACTTAGCTCAAGAAATGACAACGGAAACTTGCACATACCTTCGCGATGTCCCATGTCGTGTTCTTGTGCGTCGGTCTCTGAACAAATCCGAATTGAGTCTCGTAGGTGGCGTTGTCGCTGTGGATGTTAAGAGGAAGTTCGACTATGATGACGTAAGCATGTAAAATCGACAAATAAAACCTCCTTTAACACTCACATTTGAGGAATTCGTGGCGTTGGTGCCAATCGACGACGGCATCGAAGTTGAAGAGAGATCGCGAGTTGTCCTTAACGGTAGCTTCAGGAGAGTTGGCACGACCGTCACAAGATCCATATTGACGTCAGACATACCTGGGACAGCATCCAAGGAAATCTACAAAGATATTAGACGTGATACCACATGGAAGAGAAAGCGAAGACGTACCGTAACTGTGATTGTGCTCTGGCCGTACTTGACTTCCGCCCTGACAGAGCCACGAAGGGGCCCTTGAGAAACGACCGAGATATTGGAGAACGCGAGAGGTTGGACTGTTTCCAGATGATGGATTTCGACATCTGCAGACATCATGAGCAACTTTCGATACCAGACAGAGATCGCCGAACGAACGACATACCCCAAGCATCCCAATAGTTAGGTCTGTCTTGGAAGATAACGAGGCCTCCCGTCTCGCCCTCCGGAATGAGTTCGCGGCTGAAGGAGACTGTCATCAATTGCTGGTAATAAAACCCAGCCTTTGACGTACTTCAACTTGACGTCGACAAGGCTGCTGATGCGGCCCTTCGAGATCGTCAGCTGGACACTTGCATTGCGAAGGACGAAGTGGTCGGATCCGTTGGTGTAAACTAGACATTGATCAGCCAACATTAGTCTTCATAGGCGAGCCTAACGTACCCGACACAGGCTTGAGCTGAGCACGAAGAGCATTCGACGGATGCTTGAGCTCTCCGTAACCAGCGCCGTTCGCGCAATGCATGATTGCATAGCCTTCTCTGCCGCTATCCGATGCCTGAAGAACCTGCGCCTTGAGCGCCGAACCAGCTTTAGACAAAGGAATCTTGATGATATCCCAGCGAGGGAAGAAGGTTGTATTATAGGCAACGATCTTGCACGACCCTGCGAGCGTCTTGGAACGAGTGGACGCCGTAAGAGGAACAGAATCTGGGAAGAGGACTGAGAAGGCTTCTTCGAGGAGATTTTCACCATCTTTCTTGACCTCGGAGTAGAGGACTTCGGCGTCGTCGTAGACCATACCACTGTAAACGAGGTAGATGGAGTCAGCAAATGAAGCTCAATGACAGCGAAGAAACATACATAGCCGATCCAGGAAGAACTAACATCGAGAAGCACAGTCAATATCAATCTCAGCGAACAATCTTCTGAAGACGCACCGTCATGGACTATCGAGACGAAGATCAGGATACTGCTCACTGGGTGATTAGAGTAACTCACATTGGTTCAACAAAACCTTCTCCCAGGATTCATCAATCTTGCCCCTGGGATAGACATACTGGCCGCTGTGCTTGTAGACAGAGGCCAGGGTAGCAACATGCTGAAAAGGAAAGGTCAGAGCCTTGAATATATGCTCCTGCGACGACGAAAATCGCTACTTTACCTCAACGTCACGAAGCAAAATTTCCGAGTGACGATTGCCCTTCTTGATAGACCCATGAGAGGTGTACGTACCACGATGGAACTAGGGCACCAGGAGGCATGAATTAACGCGTTTGTTTCCGAGAAGACTCAAGACCAACCTCGAGGTATAGCTCTCCATGCCAGTTGGGAAGGACTTTCCCTTCTTTGGAGTCCTTCTCGACAACTTTGAAGAACTCGTCAACTGAATGACCCATATTAACAGGTGGGAGCTCGCGGTGGGTGTTCGTTACAGCTCGCATGCGGCGGAGCTAGCGAAAATGTAAATCAGTTGATCAGGGTTCCTCGGAAAGATAGGCACACATTTTCCAACATCTTCGCAAGAGGTCCTCCTCCACCGTCGCCATTACCGAAGACGAGCAAGGAGGTATCGGAGGATTCGAGGTTCTGGAATATGTGCATCCATTAGCTAACATCTTCTGGGTCAACGCAAAAGCCGAACCTTGTGGTTGGTCAGACCTCTGTTGACATCGCCGACAGTTGCTTGTGCGGTATAAGTGTCAACTGAAGCAAAGGGATAAGAAAAATGTGGTCTAACTAGACAGGAAAGCGAATACCTGGCGTCATGTGGCAAAGCACTTGGGTCCCATCAATGCCTACCCAGTTGAAAGTGCTGTGGGGGAAAACGTTGCTGTTCGACGATTGACCTCAGCAATGCACCACAGAGGGTCGAACCACATCGTCTCACATATTGTTCCTATAAAAAGGAGGATTGGTTTAACGAGACAAATATACAATACGAAGAAACTGACCAAGAAAGTTTCTGCGTGAAAAAGTACTTCATCCCAGCACCACGAATCAACTGTGGCAAGGCGCCAGTCAACCCAAACGAATCAGGCAGCCAAGACGTCTCGCAGCGTTGGCCGAACCTCGTCTCGAAGAAGCGTTGTCCGAAGAGGAACTGTCGCACGAGAGCTTCACCGGAAGGCATGTTGGAGTCGTTCTCCACCCACGAGCCGCCAATGGGGTGGAAACGGCCATCGAGGACTTTCTCCTTGACGCGGTCGAAGAGGGGCGGGTAGAGCTCCTCGAGCCACTTGTACTGTTGTGCCGAGCTGCATGCGAACCTGTGCTCAGGGTAGCGCTCCATGAGGTCTACTTGCGTAGACCACGAGCGGGCAACCTTCTGCTGCGTGACGCGGTATGGCCAGAGCCAAGCTGTGTCGATGTGGCAGCTGAACAAGAGTTGAGTGCTCATACGTTCCTGAAGACCATCGAAAACCTTACTGTCCTGAGCACGGGGTCAGCGACTGAGAAGGTGAATTGTTCTCTTCACGTACCGATACCCCAGATATTAGACTTCTTGGGGCCCTCTTCATACACACCAGAGCCTTTCTTCTCCCATCCTTCACCAAACACCTCCTCTGCAAGCTTGCGGCATCTTCCAATCGAGGCAGTGTCAGCCTTGCTGAATACGTTCATGATTTCATTGGCGGTAACTAATGCCTTATTCTGCAGTCTAGAGACGATGTCAGGATACTCTCAACTCAAAGTCCATGAATATCGTACGGTGTATTGCCAGGAAGGGTGTCGACGAGCTCTCGAAGCGTCTGGAAGTCCCACAGCAAGCCCCATGCCTCCATGTTCGGCACAACAAGGTCCGCCGACGCCAGCGAGAAATAGCGGTTCATGTCGGGCGGTTGGATGGTGTCGCCGTTCCAGGGCACGCCAAACATTCCGTTGCAGCTCGACTCAATGACGAATTCGTGGCTACCCGCTTCGACGGCTTCTTTTGGGATGATGTATTCGACTCTGCGGTCGCCTCCGTATCCGCCAGTAATGCCTAGGCATACGTTAGTAAAACTTCTCTTTATTCTAGAAAGGAAGCAAGAACCTTGAAGCGGTACACCGTCTGTGGTAAAAATCATGGCTTCGCATCCTGGGTCGAATTCAACTGTCGTCCAGGTCAGTAATGAGGCATCGAAATGCGTACAAACGTACATTGAACCCGTTCATACTGCTTCCAGTACTTTGGAATGACGACTGAAACCTTCCACCAGTGATTCGTCTGCGGAGGCTGGTCAGCTGGTTGTAAACATAGTAAGAGTGAGACTCACCCCTACAAGGAATGTCAGAACCCCTCACTAGAGAGCACACGAGCACTCACATGAAGGCCCAAACGAGTCTCCCTAAATCCAAATGAGTTATTTCTAGCTCGCTGATATACGGAGATGACGTACCTTCTTCGCCGTCTTGAACTTTTGCTGCATCGCCTCCTCAAACGTCGGTTTCGTAAGGCCAGGTGCACTCCATCTGTAGACACCGTCAGAAAGCAATCATTCGACCGAAATGATCTACCTACACTTTGAGCTGCACATGCTCGGCGTTGTCGACTCTATGCGTGAACAGCACCGAGCCTAGGTTAATGTCGGAGTAGTGACCGCCGTTGAAGTTGCCCAGCCGGTCCTTGGTGAGGTTCTTGATCCATTTTGCCCCGGCACTGTAGTTGAGTTCTGGATACGAGCTGGAGCCGTGGCCGTGGTTGCAGGCCATACTTCACAAAAACGAGGGAAATGTAGTGGTGTTCTTGCAGGCTGGTTTGGCGTACGTATTCGTAACCAACCCTGCATCCTGGGAAACTGTGGGGAAGTAGCGGATACTGCCGGGCCGTCAGCCGGACACAACTGAGAGTGAATCAGAATATTATCGTACTAGAGGGATACCCGTGCGTTGCACGGGGCCGGGGTTTCAAACTCCCTGTCTCCTTGTCTCCTGTTTCGAATATTTTTGTTCTTATTTGCTTTTCCTGGAGGGCTTACTTATTTATTTACTCCCCCAGCCCGTTCGGCGAGAGATTTCTTCTTAGACTTGTTTTTCTTTATAGTATGAAAGCACCGTATTGCATGTTTTTGTGCAATAACATTCAGGTCTCATCTCTTTTTGCTCACTCGGGGCCCTCGTCTCTCATGCTCGTCTCTTGTCACCTTCCTCTCCTGTCACTCGTCCCATTTTAACCATTGTTCAGGGCCGTCGTTGCCCCGTCTCTCGATCCCGCCATCGTCTCGAGATACATTCCCGGGCTTAGCGCCTACCATCCTCCGTTTTCGGGTCTTTACAGACCAAATGTTGGTCTACGTCGCGGCCACCTACTCTGTTCTTTCCTAGAGAACTCACTTCCTCGCTCCTCTGTTTCTGAATCGTGCGAGCCATGGTTAGAGCCGCATAATTGCGGAATCCATCCCCACCCGTCAGCAGGCGGTGATTCGGATGTGTCCTCATTCATTCTTTCCCTCTACACGACCACCCATAGGCACATCAATGCCCGTGCATATGCAGTGGCGGAACGCCGGAAATCTCGAGAACTGCGGCCCGCTACCGATGAGCCAAGAAGGGAGCTACTTCACGCTGCTGATCCAGTTGAACAGCTCAAGCGACGCGTCAAAATTAGAGAGGCATCAAGGTCAAACATGCGTAAATTGCAGCTCAATGAAATGGAAGAGCACAATATCAAAGAGAAAGGTAACAGTTGGCATACCTTGTTCGTTTCCGTGTTGAGCAGCTCGTTCCCGCTCCCGCCGCGCACGTTGTGCAAGAGTTCGGTTTGATGGCTGAGGTGCCTTTGGCTCCTGCACTTGCTGGTCTAGACGAAAGGAGTGAGCATGGTTTTATTACCAATGAGGTGGGAGAACCATGTGAGCCCACCTTGGTGAATGCCCTCTCGTGCAGCTCTTTCGCGCTCTCGACGCGCACGCTGTGCAAGGCTTCGATTTGATGGAGGAGGTGCCCCAGCATTCGATGTGGGCAGGTTGGAATCTGATTGGTATCGATGAGAGAACGATGTAATGGAATACGAATGACATACCTTGAAGCTGACCCTGGGCAGCTCGCTCTCTCGCTCTGCGCGCCTTTTGAGCAAGGCTCCTCCGTGTGGCTTGCATCTGTTTGAGTGTGGCAGGTGGGGTAGGAGGTCCTTCAACGCAATCCTGCGTCAGTAAACACGCTGCTGAGGAAGGGAATAGAATGCTTACCCTGGTGCTCACTCGCTGCCAGCTGGGCTGTCTTCCCTCGTGTGACCGCCAGCTTCACTGCAGCTCTGAGAGTTCGGTAGTCAGCGAGCAGCAGGCGGGTCTTCGTGCCGTGCCTCTCTGCTTTAAGCTCACTCGCGCTCTTGCTGCCGTTGTCGTTCTCTGCGTTCAAATGCTGCTACGATGGCGTCGTCGAGACTGATTAAGTGCTGCTGCCAATCTGACATGTCGGTCAATGTTGAATGCCAGTCGAGCGGGCTGAAGGTGACGTACCTGGGGCCTCTGCCTGCTAATTTATACATCTCATCGCAGCCCGCTATGCAATGGATTGGTCAGCCCACAGTGTGCAGTGGCTGGCAGTCGAGAGGCTGACCATCTTGACGTTGTCTGCGAGCATGGTGGTTCGAGGTGGACGCTGGTCGAGTGGATGGGTCGAGGTTCTTCGCGAGCACAGTCGTTCGAGAATCGAGATGGACGTGTAAGCGATGATCGACGGACACGGCCCGGAACGGACAGCGCTTTCTGAAGAGACTGTTGGTTATCCACGTGACCTGGATAACCAACTTTCTTATCTAATCTAGCGAGATAATAGCGTTGAAGGATAAGCAAAAGTTGACGGTCAACTTTTGAAGTTGTCCACCAGGAAAGGGATACTGTTTTAGTATTTAGATGTACAGGTGAGTAAAGGGGTACAAGTCATAACGCACTAATATACGGACGCTTGCTTCTACTTCATGGAAGGTGTGTATTGAAATTTGGAACAGGAAACGACCTGAAGCCTGAAGAGAGAAGAGAGCCAGATTGCTCGAGGGCGATGAGGAAGCAACGGGCCGAATGGGAATGGGACCTAGCAGAGTTAGGGTGGTGGTAGCAGGAAGGTGGAAGGAAGAAAGAAGACGGATATTCCCGACTCCCTTATATAGGGGGAAACGCGTCGACGCGTCAATGCACGGACCATGCATGCAAAGGCACGTGAGGCGCGATATTGATCATTTGCTGAATTCCTGTTTGGTTCTGACTTCCATATCCTCTACCCTGTACTTAGACCATGACAGGAAGAGAAAGACATGCGAACTCGGACCTCACTGGGGCAACGGGAACGACTTCCAACTTAGATCCAGAATAATGGATTGGCAACTCTCCGTCCGTTGATTCCAAGTCCGCGACTTTCAGCAGCGGGATAGAACACCTAATGCCTTCGGCGACGAGGCTGCGTGTCGATGAGCCTTTCACTTTCCCAGTTACACACGACTCTCTTCGGCCAAGCCACCAAGATCTGTTGTCCGGCGATAACTCTCCCGCTTGCTTCGTGTCGGCTCTGCTTCGCGTTTCGGCGTCAAGGATTTGCGTACGTCACCTTTCGGAAGCATGCCTGCCTTACTCATTCAGAATAGCCGTCCACTTACTATTTCGCATTTGGTAGGCAACCGCAACTTTGGCTATTCCGATGATCACTAGAGTAGAGCAGATATAAGAAGTCTCTCTGCGACGGAGGCACCATGACTTTCCACCAAATGGTTTCTAGAGGACTCATACTGCCGCCGATATTTGCGCTATTGACACTGCAAGTCGGAGCAAAGCCGCAAAGCTCTCCGGCGTCGCTAGTTAAATTATCTTATGGCTCTTTCGAGGGCAAGTTATCAGCAAATCTTGTCGAATTTCTAGGCGTGCCATTTGCCTCACCCCCGTAAGCCCTCCACCCCTCCGTAACGAACTCTAACAACTTACGCCTTGCCAGTGTTGGACCTTTCAGATTCGCCCCGCCAATAAAGCCGAAAGTGTTCCATGGAACTCGTCAAGCCACTGCTTTTGCTCCTGCTTGTCCCCAACAAGCAATGGAAGTTCCGCAGTTTCCAGGCTTCCTTATTCCTCCCGCCAACATTTCCGAAGACTGTAAGAGCCCAACTGACGGTGTGCAATCCTGTGTTTAGTTCCTTTTCCTAGGCCTCTATCTCAACGTCATCAAGCCAGCGACTATCGCACCTGGGGCAAAGCTCCCAGTTCTTTTCGTAAGTGTTTCTCGCTGAAGTCCAATCGAATAATGGCCTGACCGAAACTTCCTCTCAGAATATATTCGGAGGTGCGACAGGCCAAGATAAATTCTTATGAACGTTGGCTTAATCCCTTATAACCACTCAGGTGGCTTCCAAATCGGGGACACGACGCAAATCCATGGCGATAGCTTGGTCAATAGGTCTCTGAACCTTGGAGAGCCAATTATTTACGTGGCAGCATCCTATCGTATTAATGGTACATACGTTTCGGCTTTTGAGGGCGAAGACTGCTTATTGATGTTTCGATCCTAGCTTTCGGTTTCCTGGGCGGCAAGGAAGTTCAGGCTGCTGGACTAGGGAACGTGGGTTTACTGGACCGTAAGCAATATCGTCCTAGAGTTTTGATTTTTACCTGACCTTCATGTTATTGTACAGAGAAATTTGCTCTTGAATGGGTTCAGAAGCACATTGCGGCATTCGGCGGTGACCCAAAGAAAGTTACAATGTAAGCTAATTCGCCAGCCTGTCGCCGGGCTTCTTTTTGCATGCTGATGTTCTTCCGCAGCTGGGGAATAAGCGCTGGCGCGGTTTCCGTCGGCTTACATATGCTACAGAACGAAGGCAGTACACAAGGTCTGTTCCGCGCCGGAGCTATGGTACGCACGAGGTCGGAAACTCCCTCCTCTACGCTCGTTAATCAACATATATGCCAGCAATCCGGTTCTCCAATCCGTCTCCCCGGTATTCTTCGGCAACAGAAATTTTTCGACAGCCTCGTCGCCGACACGAACTGCACCGCATCGTCCGACAAGTTGAAGTGCCTTCGAGATGCACCATTCGACCAGCTAGTGGCCGCGATCAACCGGACGCCTAGCATATTTTCTTACGAAAGTATGAACCTCGCATGGCAGCCTATGGTTGATGGAAAAGTCATCGTTCGTGATCCTCTTGTTTCTTTGCAGCAAGGCAAATATGCGAAGGCGAGTTTTCATTGTCAAATATTGGTTGCGTTCTAAGTTGAATTTGCCCCCATGGGCGTCCAGATACCATTTATTTCTGGAGACAGTGAGGATGAGGGAACGCAAGTCTCGTTTTCGTAATGTGCTGGACGCTCTGACTGACCAACTTCGTTGTACTCAGGTTATTTTCGTTGTCCACGACAAACATCACGTTCGTTCATTCATTCCTCGCGTCCTCGTCTCACCTCGGACCCTTCAACACAGGACCAACGCGCAGTATATTGAGTACATGAAATCCAAGTGGGTGTAGTCTTTCCAGACCCCTCTTTCCTGTGTTCATGTTCGAGCCGTATCAACTAGCTATTTCCCAAACCTCACGGATAAGGATTTATCGGCTTTCGGGTCAGCTTATCCAGACGATGTTACCCAGGTGTGCCTACTCGTTTCTTTTTTTCGAGCCTCGTATTCATTTGGTGCTATAACTGTGATACAGGGCTCTCCATTCTATACAGGAAGCGCGAATGCTTTAACGTTAGTTGTTCTTCCTTTCCTTGTCCTCTTGGTATTTAACAGTTTGATCCAGACTACAATATAAACGATTGGCAGCAGTCCAAGGAGATTTGGCATACCAGGCGCCACGTCGACTCTTCTCTGAGATCGCAGCCAAGACGCAGCCCGTATATGGTTTTAGTGCGTCTTCGTCTTCTCCAACGCCGCACTTCCAGTCATGTAAATGCATCAACAGGGTACATGCGCCCCAGTCAACCACCAATTTTAGGCATTCGACACGGCGCTGACAGGGACGAGTTCGTCGGAGACGGCACTAATCCAGACTTCATCGGCACCGATGCACTCAGTACGATAAATTTGCTTTTATCCCCAGTCTCTTCTGCTAACTCGGGATGTTATCAGTCTACCTTACTCGCAATGGCGATCCGAATCCGCCGAAGGATTCGAAGAGCTTGCTTACAATCGTCAAATGGGAGCCTTACAGTTCGTCTTTGGATCGACCGCCCCTACTCACCTTCGTCGACGGCGAGTCATTGGTTAATATCACGTTCGACACGTATAGAAGCGAGGCGATGGAGCTGTTGAGTCGGCTCTCTCTGAATGAGATCGGGAAGCCTTTCTGAGAGCTGTCCACGGAGTTGTTGTTTATCGATATCCTTCACTTAGATCCCTTTTCTTCCATATTTTCATTGGACTACTATTTATTATCTGAGTTCGTTGAAGTCGGTAATAAAAGATCACTACGTTTATTGGTTAGCCTTACTTAGTACACACGCAATAACGATTTGAGGCTATCAAGGGCGAGCTGCGTCGAAGGGTAACATGATTGTGAGGCGTCGACGAATTTGAGCTTAGCTTCCTGTCTTGTGTTCGTCTCTTGACCTCCTTCCGTGATTCCTTCCTTTCTTCTCCATGGGTTCACGCAGTGATGGGTTCGTTTATGATCCTCCCTTGCGATTTCCCCCTCGTATTCTGTATACGCGTAGTTAGGTCACTCTTTGCATTCAAGCTTGCCCTGGCTCGACGCGCTTCTTGCAATGAGATTAATTTAATAATAGTTACTCGGTTCTCGTATTTTTGGGCCTATACTTTCCTCAAACTTGGCCTAAGTACTACATGCGGTAGGATTGTAAGAATTTCTGCACATAGATGATATGTTAGATTCAACGAAAACGCGAAAAAATCGACCTTGTTATCGACTCTTTGTTTTCCTGAGCTAGAGGGAAATAAAGCGCTCTCTCGAGGCATGGGCATCGTCGTTCGAACCGCGGTGCGAGCCGCAATCGCGCTGCTCAACGTTCCCCTGATACCTGGTGTCTTGCCAGCACCAAACACCGAAGTGGGAGCAAGTCGTCGCCGGATCAGAGCTCCTAGGAACCATCGAGATTCTGGCTTCTCCGGACAGGATTGAGCAGTGTCGGCGTGTCCGTCTACTGCGTTTACGACCAACTGAATCCATTCCAGTGGGTCCGCCAAGAAAGTCGCACATCTATTGGGGCAAGCCGGCTCAGGTGAATTCGCGTACATGCTTCCTATGTTCTCACTAGACTGAGAGAACATACGGAAGGCCGATGGGGGCAATTTTAGCCTATCGGGCTACAAACCTATTGCGTCTTGCTCTTAGGTCCGTGTCTGAGCTCAAAACGCCTCCGAGAACCGACTTCTTTCGCGGATCAACAAACAGAGGGGGCTCCGAAAGACATAAGGGGATTTGCAGAGCTTCCTTCAAGGATCGACGCTCAGATGACCGTGCTTCGCTGTTGCGACGTTTGCCAGAAGGCAAGGCGTAGCCTTTTCAGGCAGGAGGCTAAAGGATCCGAAGTGAGTGTGGCGTACGTGTAGGGATTCCCATCCATGGCAGCAGTGGACCGGTGAGCTCACCCGAACTTTTGATTTCCAGAATTTGCCCAATCCTTGAGAGCAGGTGCCGTCGCAATCTGGGTCGGCCTGTCGTGTACAGCCTCCCATTTCCTCTCTCAAGCCTCTCTGGGATTGCAACCGCACCGTCAGGGGAGTTGTTGCTTTTAGAAGTTTAGATCGCAACAACGTTTGAATAAGTACGACGAGATATCACTCCTCCATGACAATCATCGGCGTCGACGCACACCATTTCCTGCCTGCCCATTGGATGGATGGGGACAGCTCCATGCAATGCGGGGTAGAGCCGACAGATTGGAACGAGGCGAAAGTGGGCACTTGAAAAATCAAATTTGAAGGCCAACGAGCGCCTCCGGCCTAGCACAAGGCTCGTTTCTTTTCGTGTTTCATATCACACAGGTCACAGAGCTGAAGAATATACAATTTATTAGATATATTAGATAGTAACTAGATTACAAGTGGCAATTTTATGTACTATACTATAGTACGGCAACGACTGCAAGGAGGGGGAGATGGTGGCGATGGTGGCGCAAGTCCTCTTCCCTCGCTCAGCCACTGTGGCCCCATCCCCAACCCAACCCCCCGTCTGATTTCGCCACCCAGTCAACCCCGTAAAGCCTCTACGCCGCGCCCCCGTCACCCGTATCCTTCCCTTCCCCCTTTGCGATCCAATGGCTAGCGGCGACATGCAGATGCAGAGTGGTGGTGATGCGCAGATGCGCAGAAGCGACGCGTTGACGGGGTGGTGGGGACTCGCCAGAACCAGAGGGACGACGGAGAGGGAGAGCGGCGGTGCACTATCCACCACCGCTCCCTCATCGCACCACTTTCACCTGTCCCCTCATCTTTGAGACACCAACGCCGCCGGCCTCCCACCTCTCCCGCTACCTCGCATGATCAATATCACATACGACTGCAGGGCCCACCCACACAGGTGATGCGGTCCACGTGTGGTCAGAGCACCTAAAAGCACAATGACACAGAGAACACAGCAGCACACAACAGATTGGGCGCTCCGAAGAGCGTCATTCTCCGTTATGTGCTGCTCGTGCTCCTGCGTCGTCGCGCCCCGACGTGTCCAGCGGGCAACGAGGGTGGTTGGTGCAGATGGCGAGCATAAAAGGGGCGGTTGAAGTATGTCGCACGTCAGCCTAGGCTAGCACGAGCGACACGTGCTCCGTGGTTCCTTTCTCGTCGCCGTTCCCTTTCTTTGTCCCCGTCCTCTCAAGCGGCACCCAAACACCACTCTCCTCTCCTCTCCTTCGTCCTGAGCGATCGAGGTGGTGGCGGCGAAGCTGAGGGAACAACGACAACGCCGACGAGACACGTCGCAGCACACGCCGGATTGGACACCTTCCGAGAGTGTCATTCTCCAGTATGCACTGCCTGCGCTCTTGCGTTATCCCATTCCCAGCGTGCTGAGTTCTGACAGCCGGATGTCGTGTGTGTTCGCCATACGCAGACGGGCATGCAAAGGGCAGGACAGGCGACAGTGGGCGATCCCGTGCATCAGCTCGTCGCAGCGAGCGCGATGGTGGTGCGTTGTTGGCGAGTGGAAGATGGGGAAGGTCGCTTTTTCGAGCTCAACGGCAAGGTACGACGGGCGCGTGTTCTTCTTTCACAGGCCAAGACGCGTCCAGGAGAGAAGGAGGCGGTGAGACGAAGGCGGCGGCGGGTCGACGCAATGAGGAAGGTGCCAGCTCATTTGACTTCGAGCTCGCAGCGTGCGAGAGAGAAGCTGGGGCGTGTTGCATGGCAGGACCCAATGGCTAACGGCGACGGGCGTTGGAGAGCATGGGCGGGGCACAGCGGGAGAAGGACGAGAGAGATGAGGGGGGCGGGGCGACGAGGCCAAGTCCAGCGTGGGAATGGCGAAGACTTCGCCAGAGCCCCGCCAAAAACTGTGAACCAAACTGTGAATCGGCCCTCGAAAACTGTGAACCGCTGCTTACGAAAAGTGTGAATCGGCGTTCCCACCCGCCAACCGATGGCGAAGTCGAACCGTGGGAGCGGGCCGGTTGGCGGGAGCCGCGGTTCACGGTTCACAGCGGAGTGTGAAATTTTATACCAGTTGTCCTAAGACCCTCTACCTAAAGGTAGCGGGAATATGTAACTTGGATCTGACAGGGCTGAAATTTGAATGCCCGTCGTCGTTATCTGTCGCGCTCGCGATTCACTACGTCAGCTAATTGAGAAGTGCTAACAACATAAGGGACTGTGGGCAATTGGAACTTGTTCGTGAACTCACCTAACGAGGAAGAGGTTGTTTGGGAGTGACACTGAAATTTGGGAAGACTTTGGGAGGGCGCAGTAATGACGATAGCAAGCTTCGCCCCGGCTCCGGGACCACAAACTTTGTTCAGTGACTAGTCTGTGAGTCATGTGGCATCATGACTCGAAGTGATGACTTTGATCGCTAGTCACTGGGACTGGGAGTCATTTTTGAGGCAGATTCATATTATTTCCTCCGGACCGAGCCCCGAGGCACTTCGTTCATCACTCCTTTTCCGCTAGGCTCATACAGGCCCCCGTCTCGGATGTGGGGTTCCCAATCTTATAGGAAATGGCTCAATGCAATGATACCTTCGGCGACGAGGACGATCTGTCTCTCGGTGATGAAGTACTTTCCCATTTGCCTCCTGATGCCTCTGCCTCGCGTTTCGGCGTTAGTTCGGGTACGTCACCTCTCGGAAGCTTACTATTTTTGCATTATTTTTGCATTTGGTTAGCAAGCGCAAATTTGGCGATTCCGATGATCCTACTGCAGGGGATATAAGAAAGCGCAACTTCTGCAGCGAACTCATCGCAATTCCCTCGAATGGTCTTCAAAGGACTCGTACTACAAGCAATATTCGCGCTGTTGACAACGCTGCAAAGCTCTGCGACAACGCTGGTCAAGCTGTCCTATGGCTCTTTCGAGGGAAAGACATCGGAAAACCTTGTAGAATTTCTGGGAATACCATTTGCCTCACCCCCGTAGGCTCTCATCCCATCCACAACGGACGCTGATGATTTACACTTTGCTAGTGTGGGACCTCTCAGATTTGCTGCGCCAGTAAAGCCGAAAGCGTTCCATGGAACTCGTCAAGCCACTTCTTTTGCACCTGCTTGTCCCCAACAAGCAATAATGCCTCTTCCGCTGTTTCCGCCCACCAGTGTTCCTCCCGCCAACATTTCCGAAGATTGTAAGACCCCAATTGACAGGGTGTGCAATCTTGTGTTTACCTTTTTTCCTATTATAGGCCTCTATCTCAACATCATCAAGCCAGCGAAAATCGTACCTGGGAAAAAGCTCCCAGTTATTTTCGTCAGTGTTTATCGTTGATGATCAAGCAATTACCTGACCCAAGCCTCCTCTCTCTCAGTATATATTCGGAGGTATGACTGACCGAGGAAAATGGATGAGATGAAGGCTGGTTAAATCCGTTGTAACCTCAGGTGCCTTCGAGATCGGAGACACGACGCAAGTCCATGGCGATAGCTTGGTCAATAGGTCTCTGGACCTTGGAGAGCCAATCATTTACGTGGCAGCATCCTATCGTGTCAATGGTACATATTTTCCGTCTTTTGAGGGCGAAGATTGCTTGCTGACACTTTGGTTCTAGCGTTCGGTTTCCTAGGTGGCAAAGAAGTTCAGGCTGCTGGGCTAGGCAACGTGGGTTTATTAGACCGTAGGCAACATCATCCTGGAACTTTGACTTCTGCCTGACCTTCACGGGCTGTTGTACAGAGAGATTTGCTCTGGAATGGGTTCAGAAGCACATTGGGGCATTCGGCGGTGACCCAAAGAAGGTTACAATGCAAGTTGATTCATTAGCTGCCGTCGGATTTTTCTTTAGGATTCCTTTCTGATGCTACTCCACAGCTGGGGAATAAGCGCTGGTGCAGTTTCCGTCGCTTTGCATATGTTGCAGAATGAAGGAAGTACACAAGGATTGTTCCGAGCCGGAGCTATGGTACGCATAAGGTCCCAAACACCTTTCATTTATTAACATATATGCCAGCAATCCGGTTCCCCGATCCGTCTCCCGGGCATTCTTAGGCAACAAAAATATTTCGACAGCCTCGTCGCCGACACGAACTGCACGGCATCTACCGATAGGTTGAAGTGCCTTCGAGATGCGCCATTCGACCAGCTGATGGCCGCGATCAATCGCACGCCGAATTTTTTATCTTATGAGAGTTTGAACCTCGCATGGCAGCCTATGGTCGATGGAAAGCTCATCGTTCGCGACCCCCTTGTTTCTTTGCAGCAGGGTAAATATGCGAAGGTGAGTATTCATCGTCAAATGTATATTGTGTCTTAAGGATTAATTTGCCTTTCCATGGCCTTCCAGATACCGTTTATTTCGGGGGAAAATGAAGATGAGGGAACGCAAGTTTCATTTGTATGATGCACCGGACGCCCCGGCTGACCGACTTCTAGGCTATTTTCGTTGTCCACGACAAACATCACGTTCGTTCCTTCACTCCTCACTCCTTGTCTCACCTCAGAGCCTTCGACACAGAACCAACGCTGAGTATCTTGAGTATATGAAATCCAAGTGGGTGTTTTTTCCAGACCCCTCTTTCCTGTGTTCATATTCGAGCCGTATCAACTAGCTATTTCCCGAACCTCGCGCATGAGGATTTACCGACTCTCGAGTCAGTTTATCCAGACGATGTTACACAGGTGCGCTTACCCCCCTTCCTTTCGGACCTCGTATTCATTCGGCACCATGACTATGGTACAGGGTTCTCCATTCAATACAGGAAGCGCAAACGCTTTAACGTTGGTCGTTCTCCCTTGCCTTTTCCTCTGAGCACTTACACTTCGATTTAGCCCACAATATAAACGATTAGCAGCGGTCCAAGGAGATTTAGAATTCCAAGCGCCACGTCGATTCTTCTCTCGGATTACATCCAAGACGCAGCCCGTATACGGTTTTAGTGAGTTTTCATCTTCTGAGTCCCTCTATTTACTGAGGTTGAGGCACCGATAGGATATACGCGTACCAGCCAGCCAGCGCTCCTGGGTGTTCGACATGGCGCTGATAGGGATGAATTCGTTGGAGAGGGTGCCAACCCTGAATTTATTGGCACGGATGCACTCAGTACGTCAAATTTTCTTTCATTTGAAGGCCCTTCTGCTGACTCTAGATATCATCAGTCTACCTTACGTGCAATGGTGATCCAAATCCGCCGGAGGGTTCTAAGAGCTTGCTTCGAAATGTCAAATGGGAGCCTTATAGTTCGTCTTTGGACCAACCGCCCTTACTCACCTTTGTCGACGGCGAGTCACGGGTTAATATCACGTTCGACACGCATCGAAGCGAGGCGATGGAGCTGTTGACTCGGCTCTCTTTGAACGAGATTGTGAAGCCGTTCTGAGCGCCGCCCATGAAGTTATTGCTTACCTGTCCTGCAACCAGTTCCGCTTTCCTACATCAACAAATATCATGGTCGAAGATTGGAGTTGAAATACTATGCCTGGGGCCGTCATTCAAATCGCAGTGCGAATGCAATTGTGTTATTTCATGTTTTTCTGATGTCTGATGTATTGGTTTTTGCCACCGAAGTGGGCGCAAGTCGTCGCCGGATCACAGCTCCCAGGAAACATCAAGTTTTTGCTTGGTTTTTGCGACTTATTATTCTCCCGATAGGATGGAACAGCGTCGGTGTGCCCTGATTGCTGTTTGCTGTATTTGCGACCCACATCCATTCCAATGGATCCACCAAGAAAGTTGCGCACTTGTTAGGGCAAGGAGATTTAGATGAAATCGCGTACACGCTCTCTATGTTCTCAAGAACAGGCGAAAGGACGAGTTTCGCCTCAGACCACGAGCTATTAATACTGCTCGGGCCCGCGTTCGAGCTCAAAACGTCTCCGAGAGCCGACTTCTTTCGCGGATCAGCCCACAGAGATGACTCCGAAAGCTATAAGGAGATTTCCAAAGCTTCCTTCAAGGATCGACACTCAGATGACCGTGCTCCGCTGTTGCGACGTTTGCCAGAAGGCAAGGCGTAGCCTTTTCGGGCAGGAGACTAAAGGATCCGAAGTGAGTGTGGCGTACGTGTAGGGATTCCCATCCATGGCAGCAGTGGACCAGTGAGCTCACTCGAACTTTTGATTTCCAGAATTTGCCCAGTCCTTGAGAGTGGGAGCCGCCGCAATCTGGGTCGGCCTGTCGTGTACAGCCTCCCATTTCCTCTCTCTCAAGTCTCTCTGGGATTGCAACCGCACCGTCAGGGGAGTTGTTGCTCTTAGAGGTTTAGATCGCAACAACGTTTGAAGACAGACAATACGACGAGATATCACTCCTCCATGACAATCATCGGCGTCGACGCACACCATTTCCTGCCTGCCCATTGGATGGATGGGGACCTATGGGGACAGCTCCATGCAATGCGGGGTAGAGCCGACAGATTGGAACGAGGCGAAAGTGGGGTCATGATCGAGGGCGCCAAGGCAAAACGGAAAGGAACCAAATCAAACAGATCAATTGGTCATGAAGCCCAGCCCGGCTTGTCTCGATCGCGGTCATTGCGCAGGTGCTGTGAATCGCGAGTCATAGAACAGCCATAGACTGCGATAATAATTCTGGACTGCCGGCTGGTTTCGCAAGCTGCCAGAGGTGGACGAGAGTAAGAGATGGCCGAGCGTGTCTGATGTTTGGGATGCAGGGGCCTGCAAAGATCCCATGATCCATTTTGACGTATTTGCGCTTGACTGCCCCGCATCTTAGCATTGCTTTTCCAGACGATCAGAGCGTTCAAGAATGTTTCCGGTGCCGCCAAGGATGTAAGGTCAGCCGTCAAATCATCTCCTGAGTACGATATCTCCTTAGTTTTGGAGGTCAGTCGTGAAATAACAAAGACACGGACACTGGAGCGGTCAACTGAGGGTCGAGAGGGACAAGCAAGGGTGACGAACAGTTGGGAGAATGAACGAAGCCGTCGAAGACTCAATTCTGACTGATCGTGCGACTGTGACCGCCTGCACGTGCCAAGACAAGGTACGACGTGACACCCGTCCCCAAAACGAGCGGCGGACGTGACGAGACCATCTTCGCTTTCCTTCCTTCCTTTCCAACAACCACTACCCCCCAGCAACGATGCCCAAGATCCACACACTCAAGCCAGGATATTACGGTGAAGGCTCTGTCGAAATAACCCCGCCGGCCGCACCTGGCGAAGGTCCCATACGGCGGTGTACGCTGTCAAAAAATGGCCTCGTAACTCAGCCATTCGAGGGCATCGACACTGTCTATGATGTCGTGGCATATGCAGCGCGTACCCACGGCAGCAGGAACGCTCTCGGGTGGCGAGACATCGTCGACGTTGTTGAAGAGGAGAAGGAAGTGACCAAGGTGGTCGAGGGCAAGGAGGTAGTCGAGAAGAAGAAGTGGAAGTTCTTCGAGCTCAGCGACTACAAATACATCAGCTTCATCGAGATGAAGGAGGCCGTCTCAGAGATCGCCCGGGCGCTTATCAACTTGGGCGTTACGAAGGAAGACGTGTTCAACGTGTACGCACAGACCAGGTATGTCCGCACAACCTCAGTCCCCCATACGTGGATCTGACCCGCGCATAGCCCAAATTGGCAACTTATGGCGCACGCCTGCGCGTCGATTTCTACCACCATCGCCACTGCCTACGATACTTTGGGAGAAGATGGTCTGACACATTCTCTCAACGAGCCGGACTGCGTAGGTCTCTTCACCAACGCTGAGCTCCTCCCGGTTCTCCACCGCGTTCTCGCCAACACTCCTACCGTCAAATACGTCGTCTTCGACGGTGAACCCACTCAAGCACTGGTCGATGATCTCCATTCCGTGCGCGAGAGCATTCAGGTCTTTAGCATTGACAAGCTTCGCCAAATTGGTCGCACCCTCCCCAAGGACCCACTGGAGGCCCGTTTGCCGAAGAAGGACGACATTGCTCTGATCATGTACACCAGCGGCAGCACTGGCGCCCCCAAGGGTGTTTTAATCTCACACGCGAACCTCGTAGCTTCAGTCGGCTCCGTTTACACCCTGCTCGGACACCACCTGACCTACGAAGACAGCTACCTCGCCTACCTGCCCCTCGCTCATGTTCTCGAATATATCGTCGAGATGATTATGCTCTTCGTTGGGATGCCTTCGGGCTATGGACGCGTGAAGACCCTCACTGACGCGTCTGTGCGGAACTGCAAGGGCGACATAGGCGCCTTCCGTCCCTCCATCATGGTCGGTGTCCCTGCGGTCTGGGAGACGATTCGCAAGGGCATCCTCGCCAAGGTTCATGCCGGCGGCGCTGTCAAGCAGTCCGTGTTCAACGGCGCCATGACCTTGAAGAAGAAGAACGTTCCTGTTCTTGGCCAGCTAGCTGACAGTGTTGTTCTCGCTGGTGTTCGGGCTGCAACTGGTGGCCGGCTTCGCATTGCTCTGAGTGGAGGAGCTGCCATCAGTCGCGAGACCCAAGAATTCTTGACGACGGCTCTTGTCACGGTTCTTCAAGGCAGGTTCTTCGTATCCTCGTGCTTCGAAGGCTTCTAACCGTCAATTTTCAGGATATGGATTGACGGAATCATGCGGCATGTGCGCCATTCTCCCACCTGAGCTCATGCGATATGGGACGGTTGGCGTGCCGGTGCCCTCTATTGAGGTCAAACTGCGTGACGTTGAAGATGCTGGCTACCTCTCCACCAATAACCCTCCGCAGGGCGAGGTCTGCATTCGTGGCCCCTCTGTCGTGACGGGATACTACAAGCGGCCTGACCTCAACGCGGACGAGAGCATCTTCACGAAGGACGGTTGGTTCCGCACGGGCGATGTTGGTCAATGGAACCCAGATGGAACACTCTCGCTCATCGATCGGTATGCTTGTTCGTCAGGTTCTGTTGGTCTGATTCTGATATCTTCTCTATTTTAGTATCAAGAACCTTATCAAGCTCGCTACTGGCGAGGTGCGTTCTATCACAGCGGTTCGTCGAGTCATGTTTTGACTGATCATCCTAGTACATCGCCCTTGAGCGTCTCGAGTCCATCTACAAGGCTTGCAACCTCGTCGCCAACGTCTGCGTCCACGCCTCCCCTGACGCCAAGCAGCCCATGGCCATCATCATCCCCCACGAGATCCATCTTCGTAACTACCTCTCGTCCAAGGGTCTCGACGCGACGCCTTCCCTCGCCGACCTGTGCAGCAACCACGACATCCAACAAATCGTGCTGAAGGAGTGCAACTCTGTCGGAAAGAAGAACGGATTCAAAGCCATGGAGCTGCTCCAATCTGTTGTCCTGACTGCCGATGAGTGGACGCCCGAGAGCGGCCTCGTCACTGCCGCGCAGAAGATCCAGCGGGCGAAGATCGCGAAGGCGTTCGGGCACCAGATCGAGGTTCGTTACCTTTGCCGTTCTATGTTGTCGTTGTTTGACATTTGTATTCGGTTTACAGGCGGTGTACAAGCACGATTAGTCGATCATTGATGCTTTTCACTCATTTCCCTTGCTAGGTATACTTTCTTAAGGGTCCCTGTGTTTTAGTATCGCTTCTGTGCTTCATTCCACATCCTTTTGACTTCCTTTTGTACTTGTCCTTTCAAACACTCTGACCCGTCCAACACGTAGGCGCGATCTTTGGGGCCTTCTCTTGTTTCGTCTCGTCTTTTACATCTGCATCATCTTTTATCGTTGTATTCAAAACTTATACTCAATTCATATTAGTTTTCTCTTCTGACAACATGTAATGAACGTGCTGAATGAAGCATCTTTTACACAAATTCGTTCCGGCTGCGAAGACATGCGTAAGATGTGCTGCTTACATAAGCGGTGATCGATCCACTGATGTCTCCTCGCCCCCAATCTTGCCAATGGCCACCATAACAACTTGGCTTCCCTTGGAATTATGGGAGCGGATTATCGACGAAGTCGACGCAAGTTCAACTCCAGACTCAAGGCAGGCCCTCTACTCCTGTACTCTGGTCTCTCATGCGTTCTATAATCGAGCCCGATTGCATACCTTCAAGAGCATTCGGGTGGGTTTCGTTCGGGAATGCCACTTCGTTACTTCAAACCGCGCTCTCATCTTGTGCGAACTCCTGGAAGACAATCCTGGCCTCGTCAAGTATATACGACATCTCACGGTTAAAGTTTTCCGACATGAAGACACCCCCGTGAATGAGCCAGGCATTGCCGGCGTGGTGACACTGTTGGACTACCTAAGAACTGCTCGAGATGTTACAAAGGTGGAATGCTTCACCCTTGATGCTTACGGGCTTCCCGGTTTGATCTGGCCGCAACTACCTGCATTCTTCCGGGCGTCAGTCATTCACTTCTGTCGCGCGGTACCAATCAAATCATTACAGCTAGTCATGTTATACGGATTTCTCTTTTCTCCCCTTCTGGGTTGCGTCAACATTGAAGACCTCGGATTGCATTATTCCATGTTCCACGGGAATGAGAGCCAGTCGAACCAGCATTCGGACCAAAATCCACTTCCCCCTTCCAGCTCCGACATTACGCCCTTCGCTTTCTCTTTCCCTCAATTGAAAACGTTGACGGTTAATGGATATATTAGAAATCATGTCTCCGTTGGGTGTGTAGCCCAAAGTGCCGCTAGACATCCACAATCGATGCTGGAAACTGTCCGGGCTGAAGTAAATGGAGTAGACGATTTTGCTGCATTAATGGCCATTCTTTTCGGCGCGAAGGAGTCACTAAGAGAGCTGAAAATGTACGTATCCTCGATCTGCTTTGTGTGAACTCTCCTTGAGCTGATTCATTTTGACAGCTCATTTCGCGATCTCGAACCTCATGAAATTGTGAAGCTCGACGTCGGAAGCTTTTGCAGTCTGCTGCATGTTGTGTCGGAGAATCTGCTGTCCGATTGCGCCTCATCAGGAAAACTGACCACGTCTTTCCGAATGTTCAATCCTTCGACACCTTCGTCCTCGATCAAGTCTATCACCATCCGCATTGAACTGAATTTCTACAATGGCGATAATCTGGGAGACGTGTTCAGTGGGGACGACTGGTCACTACTGGACCGCTTTCTGACGGGGACGAAATTCCCTGCTTTGCGATCAGTGGAAGTTGAAGCGATGATTGATTGGGCAACGGACAGAGGGAATGAATTGGACCGACTTTATCTTGAACAAGCGTTTCGTTGGCGTATCGATTCAAGTTTGCCGCTGCTAATCTCTTCTCCGACCATTGGTGTCCATGTTTATGTAGATGCTATTCGTATGCGATTCTAGTTTCTAGGGCTTCAAATTTTGGAGAATTGCTTTTTTCTTCTTCTCTGGGATCCGTGCTCCAGTTTGGGAATACATTTTCGATAGGAGGGATTGAGTGAATTATATCAGCGAAAGCCAACACGTAGTACTTTTTCAGGCTCTTAATAGATGCTGTTCTGTGCCCGTCAAACTAGGGGAATAAATGTCGCCTTTGTTTGAAGGGGTTTGCATAAGTTTATTTCGCTATTGTCTCAATTGGAAGAAAATGAAAGGTGAAAGGAGAACTGAAACGCCGACACACCAAAATCTTATATTGGGAGAAAGCAGAGCTTATACATCTACATAATTGCTACAAAAAAGGGAGGAAAAAGCCTTCTATGCCGGCATAGACAAAAGCTATAGCAGCAACTCGCTTCGATCGAGTGACCTCAGGGTTTTTGCTTGCGTAATTACGTAAGACTTATGAGCCCTGCGCGCTGCCACTGCGCCATGCTGCTTTTGTTGAGCATTTACAATTGGCCCAGAAGTCGAAGAAGCGCTTGCCAAGGGAAGAAATAGGGTTCGAGGAGGGTGAACACCCAAGTGCGGTTTACCAATGTAGTACCCAATATACTGAATTATTAATGTCCTTTACAGTGAATACGTGCAGGGAAGCGCGTTAATCCCAGATTTCATCTCCATCCGAGATGTCGTGGTCGCGTTATGATGTAAGAAGGCGCTAGGCGCCCGTGTGGCGCGTGTCCCAATTTGATCATCAACATGAATGAAGTGTGATACAATTATTTCACATATCTCATAGGAATCACTTCCATCATTAGAACATTTTCCCTTGAAGTTCAGGCTTATTGTGTCTGAGTTCTGAGGTCTTCGACGGCGCCTACTTCGGAGATCGGTAACCTTAATTAATCACATTATGTGATAAAATCCCTTCCCCCGAACTGCGCAGCGACTAAGTGTTCAACTCAAGTTCCAACCCGAGGCGCCAACTTTGTGAAGCCGAGCTTTTGGACCCACAGAGGCCTAAGGCAGGGGTCGGCACCTTTGCACACCAAGTCGGCTAACGCACCGAGCCTCCTAGGCGTTTGACTCTGGAGCGTCGCATTCTTCCAACAGCCAAAAATCAGATCAAAATCTCTATCAGAGTGCACGCCGGTGCGAAATGAAGAAAAATTTCGATACTCTACGTATCCACTTAGATCAAACTGGGCATGCAACCCCTTCAGTGACTCTGGCGATGTTCACGTTGGTACAAGGGAACATCTGTAATTGTCCAGCCCCAATTATATAACAGTAAAGCAGAGTAAAGACAGACAAATTTAAGGTATCAGTTCAGCGTTCAGTCTACCGTCATCAGTTTGTAGTCATCATCTCATCAACGCCCGCGCAAGATAGACCGCGCCGCCAGCCATTAGACCCAACACCAACACGCCCGCTCTCAACCGTGCACTCTCAACCCCTGCGCTGACACTGCCCACACTCGTACTTCCAAAGCCGTCGCGGCTCATACCAGAATGCCCGTTCGACGTCGCGAGGACGGCAGAGGCGATCGTTGCCGTGTTGTGGCTCTTCGTATGCGCGCTCGTCGCAAAGGTCTGCGTAGCCTGACCAATGCTGATCTGCTCCGCCGCGGTGTTGAAGAAAACGAGTGCGAAGCCAGGCGCAGGAACGGGGATGACGCAGCCTGTCGCTGCACAGTCGACGGTGGTCACGTTCAGCTCGCCTCTGAACCGACCGTCAACTTCGAGCTGGTTACCGAGGGTCTACCAATACAGTCAGACAGGCGGAATAGGAAGAAGAGGAGGAAGTATACCTGGCCGGCCCATGTGATGTTGTCCTTCGAGGCGACGCTGTCGGCTTCGAGGTATTTGACGCGGACAGACCCAGGGGTACCTCCGTTCGGTACAGTCAGCGTGACTTGCAGGTTGCTGGCACCTGTATTGTCATCGACGTAGTTGAAGAGAGCGACCTTGTCGAGTACGTCGTTCTCGTAGATGGCGTACGAAGGCGTGTAGATGGAGCCTGCAGTGGAAGTGAGGTCGACAATTCGGGACGTGTTCGTCTTTCCGAAGGCCTCGGCGAGCACGATGGTGGAGTAGTAAATGGAGCCGACCGTCCATTGGTTGTACGAAGATTGGTTCGTCGGAGGTGCGGTGAAGGGCTGTCAGGGGAAAATGAATGACAACGCATACCAAGAACGTCGAGCGACTCACGTTATAGAAGACGTTCTGACCACCGACGTGGAGCATTCCGTGAGTAAAGTTCGCCCAGGCCATCTGGAAACCATAGTCCATAGCCCAAAGCGCCGCACCGTACGAGTCGCTCACTCCTGCGAAACCACCGCATGAAGCCGTATTGGTCTCGAACATGAAAAACGGCCTGCCAGCAGCGGTCGAGAGGGCGGTAGACTCATAGTACGGGAACACAAGGTCGACAACTTTCTGGTGGTCGAGATAGTTCGGGAAAACATCTTGAGGGTTTTTGTGAACGTCTCCAGTGTTAAATTGAGCAGCACAGTTGTTATCGGGGTAACTGTAAGATGATCAGTACCTTGAAATGATCGAGAAGAGGAGTGCTCACTGTTCGACAGTAAAGGCATACATGCGATCCTTAAAGCGGTCGATGAACCCAGTCTCCCATACCTGATAAGGCTGCCAGTTGGCGCTTGCGATACTCGGTCCCAGAAGCATATTCTTGTTGATGATACGCGGGTTATTGTCCATGACCTCGATGAGATTTTGCACCTCATTAGCGTAGTCAGCAGGTTCGTACGGGGCAAGACGGCGTTTGAATCTGCAACGAGTCAGTTCATGAACAATGAGGCTGAGGCGACGGCGTACTCCACATAGAAATCCGGTTCGTTACCGGCCTGAAGGGCAAGGAGGTTGTCACCAAGGATGTTTTGGGCCTCTTCCGCAATCGTGAGGCGCCAGTTGGTTGAATCGTTGAATGGAATTCCGCAGAACCATTTTACGTTCAGCATTGATGAAATGTTGTTCGCCATGTAGAACATATCGATAGTATAGAGCACCGCAGGCGTTTTGGTCTGTTTTCTGGTGAGTATCAAAGTAGAAAATAGCATTATCTGTGCAGACCGTTTGCGTTGACCCTGAGTCTGTCTTTCCAAATGTTCGCCCATCCTCTAATTCTGGTACCATGACGGCGAACTCTTGCGTGTTTCCACCTAACCGGATGACCACGCCGCCGGCCCTCTCCTGAAGATTGGCCATTAGGTTCAAGAAAGGGACCTGGAGGAGGGAGCTGCAAGAAATTACGGATCAGATGCATATTCGTTCAACTGAAACATTGCATACGAGTTCTTGCCCACTATCCGCCATGATTTATCAGTACAAGGAACAAATGAAGAAAGGTTGGTACCTACAAACTTGGCTGATGACCGACATTTCGATCGAGAAACCCCAAAAGCCACCTCCGACATGCGGTATCGAGATGCCGCTGGCAGCGGCCGCATCTCTTTGGAGTGGTAGTTCGTATGCGGTGCCGGGGAGGGGATTGGGCACGGGTGGGGGATTGAGGAGTGTGCGGTTGTATGCAGCCAGAGTAGTCGCTACTGGTGCTGCGGGATCTGTGGGAGTTGCGGTTTGTGCCAGAGGGATCTGGCCGTAGACTGTCACTGCGTGTGCGGTGCTGAAGGTGGCGCTCAGCGCCACCAAGGATGAGAGCAGCATTCTTGGCGAGCGGACTGTGCGCTAAAAGAAGGACTTGGACGACGAGCAGGCGAGTTGGGAAAGGAGGGACAAGAAGACCAAGGCACTCGGGCGATGATGGCAAAGAGAAGGGGAGGTTGTGGGTTGCGCTTGGCATTGCTGCCCAGAATGAAGGGGCAGGCACGGAGAATTTTGATTGGCCCAGCCTTGTCCTCCCGTGACGCCAAGGTGATCTTGCATTCTACTCCGGGTTGAAGGACACCTTCGAAGCCTCAGTGAAGCTTGAAGAACCGAGGGAAGGTATAGTGAATGATATTCTCCAGGAGTACACGTGCTGAAGGCAGTCGTTTAATAACTTGAATGCCAGCCTTCAGAGCAATTTCAGAGGTAAGTAATTCAGGCTTACCGAACTGAAGGTGGTTTTCACCAGTGGTTATTGGTGCAGGAAGTATGACGAGCTGGAGGAGTAAATCGTTTCCCTTCCGATGCTAAATGAGTATCTTGACCAATGCTATTTTTTGTCGCACCTGCCATGGTGTGCATGTGCATATACTTATACGCCCGGAGTCCATCTGGCGGAGAGAGGAACAGACACCCAGAATCCGATGGCGACCTCCACTATCCGTGATGGAAAATGTGCATATCCGCTCTTTTAGAAGCGTCAATTGACTTGAATAGAAACGGAATAGCAGAAAATTCGCCGAACGCTAAGGTTTTTTTTACGATAGTCACCTCTCTTGTCGCATATATGCGGCTTCAACAAGAGCAAAATTTATACGTGGACTGTGTTTGCTTACCTTGAAGTGCCGAGGAATATCATGATACCGGGTCCGCGAGAGATAGAGCAGAATAGAGACTTGGGCGACGAAAGAAGGGCCAGACATTAGGTGCGCTTAAAGGCCGTAGCAAGCAATGAGCAAGAGTTGTGGCTATCTGGAAAGGTTTTCTGAGTATCAGGGTTACAAGCTGGAAATCTCGTTATAGAGGGTCAATCGAGACTAGTGGACGGACAAGACAGAAGGCTTCCGAGGGATGCAACTCGGAGTTCTCAAAAAGTCAAGCCAAGCACCAAATACAGACAGACGATCACAAGATGTTTGCCGTGGAATACAGAACGAACACGCCGGTTATATGCTGACAGCAGAAAGTAGGACTTCACTGGACATTTTGGCGGCCCGGGTTTGCTAGTGTCTTATTAAAGAACATTGAACAGAACCAGAATTTCCCGTTTCTAGCGCTCCTTTCTTGTCGGACAACTGCGTAGAGGAACTTCGATTGCAGACAAGATAAAGCACAAGAAATGAACAAGAGGGGCGGAGGAAAGGGGAGAAAAAGTGGGCTGTCAAAGTGGGCTGTCCAAGATACTTATATTGACATCACATTCTTGGCGCCTCCCGACAAGAAATCTACAAGATCTTCCAAGACCCCGCCAACCAATCTCTCGTCGCCTCAAAGACAACCTTGGCAGCCTCTACGCCGTCAATGGGATGTCCCTCACCATCGAACGCGAGCAGCTCCACTTTACGACCCTCCTTCTCCTTCCCTGTGTACCGCACCTTGAGCGCATGGTAGTACGCGATGCCGTGCGAAGTGGCGACGCGTCTGTCAGATTTTCCGATCAGGAGAAGGACGGGCACGCGCACGGAGTCGATATATGCTGTCGGAGAGGCAGCTTGCAGACGTTCGAAGATTTCTAGTGACATCAGCGGAGGCGGTGTGGACACATTCGGTGATGGACTTGTGTCGATGCCAGGTCGCAAGGACGACGAGACAGGGTAGGACACGCCGAACTCGGAGAAGTACCAGTCTGGAATATCTGTTGAGGAAATCTCCCCCACAGAAATGACTGGGTTCCGCAACACGGCGGCGGAAAAGAAATCAGGGTATTTTCCAATCACTACAGAGTTCAAAATCAGCTTCGAGGGGTATGACGATCAGAGAGATGGACGTACAATGTGCAGTCAGAAAACCACCATGACTACCGCCCATGACCAGCTGCTTGCCAGGACCTTCTTCAGAAATACCAAGTTTCACGAGATGCCGTGCAGATGCAATGCATTCCTCCACATCTAGCTCGCCGCACCTCCCAATCAAACCTTGGAGGAAGGCTTCTCCGTACCCCGGAGACCCGGTATAATTTGGAAGAGAGATAGTGTCTGTACGCGTCAAACATTTAAGCGCATATGCCTACGGAAATTAGAGCAACGGTGACCCACATCCCTCGAGCACGAGCGCAGTGAGATAGGCAGAGAATGCTGTTGATGACGCGCCATGTGGGCCACCATGCGGCGACGTAATACAAGGCAGAACCTCTCCATCTGACTTCGCCTTTGCGGGTTGGATTAGTATAGTCTCCACAAGATGCTGACCTGGAATGGGCATGACCGACGTCTGGATACTGGACAAGGCCGAAGAAACTAATCGGTAATTGGTCTCAGAAGGAAGAATAGGGCGAGACGATAAATGCGTACTGTATTCTGGCAACTTGGGTTTCTCGAGAGAAATCCACGCAACCTCATCCGAATTCACAAACGTTCCCAACATGAGCTCGTAGGGGATTGAAGGTGAACTGCGGCTGTACACCACGTTCGAGTGGCCGTCGGTTCCCAATACCGTCCAGCTAAATAAAGAACCGTCCGCATCAGGTGTAAGGTCCGTCACTGCACCATCCTTCGACGAAATCCGAAGCACGGTAGTGCGAGGTCCCCAGTGCGAGTGCACTAGAATCGACGAATCGATGAAGGGCGATGTTGGCAAGTTATATGCGGGGTAGAGTCCTGGGAAGAGCTTGATATCGGGTAAAGGCTTATCAGAGAATCCGACGAGGGGTTTGTCGGCTGATAGAATGTCCAAGTTGGTGCTGGAGGAAATGTCAAGCAAATGGAGGTTGGACGTCGCTAGATGGGCGCCTCCGCTCGCGGCTGAGAACCAGACTAGGCTGGATTTCCCATCACGGGTAAAGGTGCGTGGCGACCGACAGGATAGATGGGGAGGGGTCAATTTCTTGCATGACGCCGTGAGCATCTTGTCATCCTCGCCACTCCGCATCTCAGCAGGAAGACGAAATTGCCATATCCCAGAAGGCCGATTGAAGCACCCTTTGATACCAAGAATTCGACCGTCCTGAGTGAACTCGTATCCAGTGGCGTAGATTACGTCGTCAGAGTCGGGCGAGAAGACTGGTTGTCCGAATCGAACATCAGGAGCACCGTCCGTGCTTAGTTGGAAGAGGGAGGCCTTGGCTGAAGTGTCCCATCGGAGAATGAAGATACGTGATCGTCTCTTTCCTGTCAGTCCTTCTCCGAAATCGGGGTCGAACTTGAACTTTCGAAAGGGATCTTTGTTCTCCTCGTCGGGCACTTTACGCTCTGCTACATAGACGAGTGCCGATTCAGAAGGGGCGAATGATAAAGATCCCAAGAACTCTAGAGTAGGAGCATATGATGAAAGCTCCGATCGTCAGTTTGAAGTGCAACTCACCATCGGCGTAGAAATCCCCATGTTGGTCCGTCACATCGAGAGAGACTTGCAGGTATCCATCGACCCACAATTCCACATATCGTGCAGTGCCCTTGTCCGACTTGACAGCGCGAAGAACAGCACGCTTTTTGCCCGAATCTGACGCGATTTGGGCGACAACATCCGGGGTGTCCTGCAGGGTAGTCGAAGTGATGGAGTTGCTCCCAGAGATCACAAACGATCTGGCTAGTGTGCGTTTCGTGTTGCGGACATGATCGCGTGCTGAGTAGGAGACCTGGATGGTTATCGGCTTCTGGGCGTCTATGTGTGCACACGGTAGATCACAAGATGAGAAAGCGTATACGACGGCGACGCACCATTACCAGGTCCACCGTTTCCCGTGAACTGTACACCTGTTGGTATCGGGATCTCGGCTAGTTGGGTATACATTGAGACGAGGCTCGTTGGGTGTCCTCTGGTGGTGATGTTGAAACTCGACTCGATGACCAACTATGAACGGATAAACGATTTTTGCTAAGTGCTATGTAGCAGCATTGTAGCTCCCATCAGGAAGGAAGGAAGGAAGGAAGTGTATTAACCGGCAACAAGGTCCCGTTCAGGTAACGGCCGGCCCGGTAAGTAAGGAAAAGTGCGCTTAAGTACGAATATACATACTACTTCTCATCTTACTCCGGACACCACACTGCTGACAGGGCCAGATGTTATCGTCGGGAAAATACAATCTTCTGTTTTTAAATATTGGAGTCTCGAAAATGTATTCCCTTTGGAGTACCGGCGGTACTCCATTTAGGATCTCGGTACTCCATATAGTAATGGATTCTCGAAGCTCTAAAATTTAAAAACAGAAGATTACATTTTCCAACAGGGAATATCTGGCCCTGCCAGCAGTGCCAACCCCATCACCGCGCGATGATCTAACCACAAATGCAAGAGGGTCCTTGGCTCAATCCAAGGATATGTGGGCGGCAGGATCACGATTAAAACCCTATGGGAGTCAAGCTGGGTTCTCCCACACTTGACTAGAGATTTTAGATCTCAAACTCATTGTGATCCGGGACCATCTGCATCTGCCAAAGACGACTCAACGGTCTCAGAAGGTTGATGCAGCAGGTGACACGGAAGTGAACATTGTCTAAGATTCTCCTCTGAGTAAGTGTCTCAACAATAACCAAAATGCAATGGAAAAAATTGCCAAGGCAATATGGTTAGTGCAGGGGACTACAAACACGGGGAATAGTTCTGAGTGAGTGCATGCAATGCAGGCAGTTACAACTCAAAAAGGGCAAAGCAGAATGTAATAGTTTATTTAAACTTTACTGGTGCTTCAGACTTCCCTTTCTTAGAAGATGAAATCAGTGCCCGAAAATATGAGCATATGGATGTCGTCCAAATGCAGACCTGGCACTCAATAGACATAATGATAACTTCTGTGCTGGAGGCGGCAGGAAGGAATGAGGCACTCTCCGAGTGCGAGGAGCTCGGACGTTGTGAATAATCTCCTCTCCCGGAGCCATAGGCGCATATTTGATAGCTTTCTCATACAAAGATAGACTTGATTGTGATGGCGGCCTCCGAATCTATCTCTCTGCCCATTTACGTAGCTGGGGGGACGCGTCCGTATTCGCAGCCACCTACACCATTCGTCACCCCTTGACACTCAAGATGGTCGGTTCCCAGCCAATGATGGCTCGACGAGCTCGAAGTCCGCTTTAATCAGTTTGAGGGTGTGCTGGAGTGTGAGGCTCCGGTCTGCTCTCGTCGGTAGCAGCCTTCTCCACCGTCCAGTTCCCTGAACAGATAGCGATGTGGGTCGTCGGCGACGACGAGGGGAGGTGTTGCCTAATCTGCGCGAGAGTGGACTTTTGATGCTGTCACGAGACTTGCATACTGTCTTCACACAGTTTCATGCGAAGTACTGGCAGGTCTTGGCAGGTGATGATTGTAGATGAGTGGTGGTGAGGCAAGTTTCAAATCACGCCTTCAAACCTCTTCGAACTTGCTGACTGATTAAGTAAGCAAGCACCTCCCATTGTGGGCGCTTCTGCAAGCATTCACCACTTCGGAGGAGATCGACGCAAAGTAGTGCTGTAAGTAAAAAAAATTCTGTTATCATCTCTAGCATTTTCTGAATATGATGTCTTGCTTTTGACAGCTGGGGAGAATCTGCTGGTGCTCTCTCCATTGGCTTCCACTACCTCTTGAATGATGGCAACTCCGGAGGTCTCTTCCAGGGCGGGTTCATGGTACGATTTATTTCTTCCCCTATCATTTCTCCAGCTCGATTAACGCCACTACCATAGCGGCGATATCGCAGAGTTCTTCGGACTCGCCAACAACACTGATTTCACTGGCACAGATGCTCTCAGTTCGTCCCTTCTCTTCTTCTAATTGCATCCTCACTGAAATTCTTCTTGGATGTAGTTTACTTCACCAACTATTTGAACCCCAACGCACCGCCTGGTTCCATCAGAGCTCTCCGTAACTTCCGCGGGCCGGTCTGAAACCCCTGGAGCCCGAGCGCAGCTCTCTTCACCTTCGTCGAGGGCATTCCATTTGTCACCATCACGGAGGATACGTTTCGTCAAGCAGAGATGGAATTGTTGACGAACCTTATTCTAGCTCAATTCGGCCAGGGTACTTAAATGCATTCTGTCTTGTAAACGGAACCGCAGCCCTGTATCTTCCTCTGTCCGTAAATGAACACGAATACCCAAAATGCATCCCTTCGTCGATCTCCCATCCCCTACGCTATTTCAAATGCCTCCTTGATCCATTCGAGAATGATTGGGGTTAATTCACTGAGCTGCTTCGTCTCCCCTGCGTAGAAATCAAGGAAAGGATCGTCATGAACCCCGAATTTGTCGATGACTATCTTGGTGTTCCCGTGGGCTTTCCCGAAACGATCCGCGAACCGGACGATATCGTCACGAAGGCTTTCTGCGCCGCCGGCGGTGATGAGGACCTTGTCGACTATGTTTCCTACGCCATCGTACCACCTGTCTGGAGCGTAGTGCGCGTCGATGTATTTCAGGTCTTTTTCTTCCCGGACGCGGTCTAAATAGGCCCTCCCAAAATAGGCCAGCTTGGGCGCCGCCACAATGTCCCATTTGGGATTCTCCTTGTATGAGGCGACACCGCCACGGGGAAGCAAGTCCGTCCATGGTGACATCATGTAGGCTCCTCCGAACTTGATGTCGGGGGGTAGCTCTTGGAGTCCTTCAACGGGATGGAGTTGGTGTAGGAGGAGCTGAATGACGAGGTTGCCTCCGGCGGAGTCTCCGGTTAAGACGATGTTCTCAGGTTTGATGCCATCCGCGAGGAGTTGTTTCACGGCAGCAATTGACTGGCGAAGTTGAGTCGGATACCCCGCACTGGTCACAAGAGCTGCACATAAATAAAGAATACGCATGAAAGTCCGTGAATTAGACGCCAATATTGGGAGCCTATGTCAACACTTACTGTAATCCAACACTGCAATCGCAACACCTTTGCAACCCGTTCGCGTGAGCTCCTTCCGCACATATCCCCAGAAATCGAGGCTGTAGTCTGCCAGGGGGAAAAGGAAGCCCCCACCATGGAGATATAAGATGACACGTTCCGGGTCCCTCTCCCCGACCCAAAGCAGCTTCGCGTCCTCGACGTCTTGTACGCGCGCCTCCAACAAATGCTTCTTCATGTACTTCTCATAAGTCGTCACTGAAGGTCCCATTATGTAGCCCAGGAGGTCCATGCGCTGCGTATATACGATCCAGCGGAAACTGGCGTCGTAAACCACGCGCCTCCAGGGCTTCTTCTTTTCATAAGAGGTGAACGGAGACGAAGCAAGTCTCCAAAGCACGACAACGGCTGTGCATTAGATGGGTATCGAGCGAGAAAAAAAGGAACAGAGGGACGAACGCTGTGCCGCTGTGGCAAGGCCCAGTCTCGTGTAGTCGAGCAGAGAAGGGGCCGTCATTGGCATTAGGGGGGCAGGTCGCCGTCGAACTTGTATTGCAGAGACAGACCCGGAGAACGATGAGGACGAAAAGGACATGGCGGGGTGCTTGACCCTTCTCTCTGCTTTAGATGGTCTTTAAACTTGTTCGGCGCCGCATTAAATGCTGGCTCTCGCCTATCTGGCCGATTCAACTACTGCTTCATTAATTTGGAAGGAAGTTTAGTGGAAGGCGCGTCACTGGATACACGGCTGGCGATATGGCGCCTTAGCCATTCGTCTTTCCTTCTACTCTATTGGCGCGGACCAACGCCTCAAATGCATCCTCGGGGGAGCTCAAACCCCGGCAGACTTCTCTAAGGAAAAATAAGCTTAAACGAACGTGTTGTCTCACTAAAGAGATGCTGCTCTACCTTCGATGTATCAGACTCATGTATCAGAGGTCGAACTCGAACCTGATGCAAGAATTACATTTACCGAAACACAGAATCTTTGCCACTAGGCAGTTTTCCCCTTCAATACGACCGAGACGGTGCCTCGTGATGAAGATGTCGACGTAGTTTTGTACGAAATTTCGACGCTCATGATTACCTTGAGCCTCTTGTAACGTGTGGCAATCCTGTGTAGGAAGTTGCCCAATCTATCATCGTTTCGGCTCAGCGTCGATCCGAGGATGATCCAATTAGTAGGGTCTTGAATGGACTCTAGTGATGTGAAAACAGTAAAGTATTCCATGAGGTGGTGCTTTAAGAGATCACATCAGCTTGAAGGTTGAGTAGAAGGCTGGGGTTACAACTCACGAGATCGAGTTTTCGCGAGAACATGTATGCCAGTGGGAGGGAGAGGGTGCGAGTGCTGGGACACAGCCAAAATTTAAATGACAAAAATTTAATTGATTAAATTCAGAAACAAATTGAAATTGAGTAGTAGTAGAATCAAATTCATACCATAAAAATAAAGAAATAAAAAAATTTATTAAAGAAGTTGTCAACGCTATCTGTTTCATTTGATTTTTACTTTGTAGCGATTCTGTTTCAGACATAGGTAAGATTATTAAGGAACCTATTAAGGGGATTATTATTAATAAAGTAAGCATTTTTGATTAGATTAAAAAAAAATTATTCTTATATTTTTTCTATAGCCTAGCGTTATTTATATTTTTAAATATAAAGTAAAAATAATAAGCCCTTGCTTTTTGTGTATTTATATTTTCTCTTGCTTTTGTTTTGCAACGCGATTTCTCGGATAATGGGTATTCAGAGTCCGTAGAATAGCCACTGAATTAGAATCAAGGTGAATAGAAGAGATGGCCTCGAGTTTCCTCTCTGTTCCTCCTGTCCCAACCTTGAGAAGATTCATCACCGTATAGGCATTGCAGGAAGTAGCCCAGGAACCTGTTGAAATATCGCCCTGTTTATAGGAAACCCAACGAATATCTTCAATCGGCGGATGGTCAACGAGGAACGCGAGGATTAGGTGGTCGTCCACGAGTAAATTTGTCCCTTGAGGAACAGAGGCATCATCAGGATATAGATGAAGCTTCCGAAGGTGAGGGAGGTGGTAATTCGTGAAGAGGGGTTTCGCTCTACGGTACCTGACGACCTATAAATCGTACCTCCAATTCCGGGGAATGGGACAAAAATGAGACGAAAGAATCTTGGACCATGACCCCATGAAGGACCAACTTCGTCAAACTATGGAATTTCCAGAGCTACGGACCCGACTATCAGCGTAGCACAAATAAGCGCCCGTTATTAACTCACAGACGATGTTGGAGAAGGATAGTGCTTTGCCGCAGAGATGGTTGCTAAACCCAACGCCTCCAGACTTGGAGAAGCAGCTAGAATTTCGAAAACATCTTCCGGATTAATCCCATGTCCGCGAGCGGTCCAGGTAAAAGATCGCACATGTTTCATCGTCCGAATGGCATCCAAAATATGTCGAGAAGTCGCGGCTGCCGGGATGGATTCGTCATTCTGGAGGGCTATATTTGGAGGGAACTTCTCCTTGGAACTGTTTTTTGTGTTCATTAATTCAACAATGCGAATGTTTTGTGAACGATCCATGCGTTTCGCGAGGTGCTGCCATACCTCCACACGGTTCGCCTGTACTCGCAGCTCACGGTACTGCAGGTGGCCTGGTATTACAAAAGACGCCCATTCTTTGCAGGTGAGAGCAAAGAAAAGTAAAGGACAAGGCGATTCGATAAGAGAGAGAACGTGATCCTTGAGGTCAAATGGTAGGTCGTAAAGTTCCCGAGTTAAAAGGCCTTGGTCCACCACTAAATGGCTTGAATAAAGGTGTGAAGGGTGAGGCAAGATGCTCCTCACTTATTTCATATGATACTATAGCCCAAGGCTACACAGTGGCGATTTCAGGACAAGCAGGAAGGTCAGCTTGTGTGGTTTGATTTGTCAGCAAGCCGGCGGTGATGCACAGCCGCGTACGGGGACGGGTTCTGACGCTGACGACCACAATGGACGACCTCATAAACATAAAATCTCCCCCCTCGACGTCGCTGGTATCGACGGAGACTGCGACTGCAACTGACATGTCCTTCTCGCAGGCGCTGGCGAACAGTAATCCATCTGAAGAGGTACGGAGCAGCCGATAGCCAGCGAAGAAGGCTAATTCTGGAGATTGTAGGCATCCATATTCGTGGCAGCACAGCGGGGCGACGTTGAGCTGATGCGTGAGCTCATAAACTCAGGCAAGGCGAACGCAACCGACCGGGATCCGCAAAACATCACCCCACTTCATTGGGCAGCCATCAACGCCCACGTTGCTGCATGTCGGTTTCTCCTCGAGCAAGGTGCTGAGGTCGATGCCCAGGGCGGTGACCTCGTAGCGACCCCGATGCAGTGGGCGGCGCGTAATGGATATCTCTACGTCATTCACCTCCTCATTTCTCACAACGCCGACCCTACGATCACCGACTCGCAAGGATACAACTCGCTACATCTCGTCACCCACTCCTCGTCCATTATGCCACTGCTCTACCTTTTGCACCAACCCATCAATGTCGATTCTCGCGACTCGCAAGGACACACGTCACTTATGTGGGCCGCATACCAAGGAGATGCGTTGTCCGTGGACCTCCTGCTTAGGCATGGTGCCAATCCGAATCTCAAAGACGATGCCGGGCTGTCGCCCCTTCATTGGGCTGTAGTGAGAGGCAACAGGATCGCCATTCGCAGGCTCATTGAAAAGGGTGCCGATTTGGCTGCCAAGGACGGAGAGGGACGCACGCCGAGAGATATGGCTGTCGAGTTGAAGAGCTTAGGTGCTTGGAAACGTGCTCTCGAGGAGGGAGGAATGGATGAATACGGGGTCAAGCGAGGAAAGCCTCTCAGCGATGTGAGTGTAGATGCTCTTACCAGTGTTTTGTCACTGAGCGCTCTTCAGCGAAACACCAAAATCGCCATCTTCATTTTGCCTGCAATCTTCTTCTATCTAATGTTCATGACTCTTACGTTCCTACCATGGTACACTGGCATTCTACTTGCTTTGGCGGAATTCTTTGGGATGCATCATGTCTGTGGATCGTTCAGCTTCCCTCAGATTAACCACTGACAGACGACATTCATCAGATCGTTACGCGAGTTCTTTTGAACAAGGCGACATATACGGACAGTGTAAATCAAACACCTTATTTCGCCGGGATAATCTCTGGATCTATTCTCTGGGTGCTCTACTCTTGGTTTACACGGCTCGTTCAGCGTGCGTGCGCCGACAACGTTGACATTCTGCTTTCCATCTAACGTCCAGTTCAGAAACACAGGATCATGCCCTGTCGCACTTCCTATTCGCAATCATCCTCGGCCTGTGTACCTACAATTTCTTCCGTGCTGTGACCCTCGACCCTGGCACTTGCCCTAAACCAGCAAGTGATGAGGAACTGAAATCTGTTCGTCCCCCAAGTTCCTGCGTGTTTTTCATCGAAACTGAAGGTAGTTATAGATAATAGAAGACTTGGCGTCGGAAGGCCGTCTAAATGGCCAGACGTTCTGCATTCAGTGCATGGCCCGCAAACCTCTTCGCTCAAAACACTGTCGTGTATGCGATAAATGCATTGCTCGAAGCGACCAGTAAGTGCCCACCATGATCATCTCAAATCCGTCTCATCTCTCTCCCTTTTAAAGCCACTGTCCTTGGGTATGGAATTGCGGTGAGTATTTTAACCAGCGCCAGCGGCATGTGCAAGGCTTCTGAACCTCGAATAGTTGGCTCCAATAACCATCGCCAATTCTTGCTCTTCGTCATAACACTTGTGGTGGGGATCGGCCTTTTCGATTACCTTACATATGCTTGTAAGCTCAGCTTGCTGTTTTTCCGCCTCAAACTGCAGCTAACGTGTCGTTAGACTTCTCAACAATACCCAAAGCGACCCCGGGCGAGATATCACCTTCCTGTCCCCTTCCTGGCGATCTATGTGCTGTCACTTCGAAAGATCCTTTCCTCGTGTCCGTTGCCGTCTGGGCCACCCTCCAGCTGACATGGACGTCCGTCCTTCTCGCGTCTCAGCTGTGGCAAGTCGCAAGGCAGATGACGACCCTGGAAGTGTCGAACCTCGGTCGCTACGGGTTCATGGGCGGTCGTGGCGGTGCCTCTCTTTCCGGACAGATGGGACATCGACACCAGCACCGGTCTGATAGTGTCCTTCCAGGCGTTGACACTGAAGACACTGCCCTTGTCGGCTCCGATACAGGCGCACCCGCAGCTGGCGTCGTCCATCGCCACTCGGGTGTATGCGCAGGCTGTGGAACTAGCTTCCTCATGAATCTTCTCGGCTTCGACAGGTTCACGAAGGGTAAGGCTGTCGATGGTCTAGCACGTGCTAGCAAGGCGAGCAATCCGTTCGACTTGGGTATCGTCGGAAATTGCAAGGACTTCTGGACAGCTGGGAGAGAGCTTGGGGTCGAGTATGAGAAGCTGTATGATGTGCCACTGGAGGGATTCCGAGAGGCCAAGCTGAGGAGGGTGAGAGAAGAGGAAGAGGATGGTCCTCGGAAACCTTCTGGCCGGAAGGGGATCTTCATGGGTTTCGGATTGGGAAGGGCTAGCAGTAGCCGTGGAGGGTACGAGCCTGTCAGCCAGGTTTAGATGTTCGAGGACTACATACCCACCCCTTGCGCCATCCTGCTCATTGCTCAGTGTATATCTAGTAGTAGTTCATATCCTCGACGACATGGACCTGTAGCTTAATGATTGTTTACTTATTTAACGAACACGAGACGTCTAGGACCCCTACATCCTATCGGCCGTACGATAGATATATGAATGACGAGGATGATCTATGCGCGATGATTGCTAGTATACATACGAATGCAGGATACGCCGAAAAACCTACGACCAACTACAAGTACAGAAAATAGAAAGTATACTAAAAGGCCAATGCCTACTGGAAACAAAGGACTTAATCCAACCCGGGAATCTCATAGTCCATTGGAACGTCCTTTCGCTCAAGCCACGCGGCATCCTCGCTCCCTAAATCCACACCTTTTCCGCAGTCTAGTCGTCTTCTGGTTGGTAGTTCTTTCAACTCCACTACGGAATCCGATCGCACTATGACATAGTGCTCTCCATGCCACCCCAGGAAATCCACTGAGGGGATGGCGAGGGCCACGCTCCGAGCGTTCGACATCCAGAGCTCCGTTTGCACCTGAAAGTCCTTCTCTGACATTAGGTTGGGCTTCGGTCGACGTTTGT